ATTAAGTTTGGTTTCATTCTTCAATTTTATGCCTTTTTTTATCAGTTTATAACAGTATGTACAGAGAGAGACACGTTGAAATTACGTCCGGCGAAAAGAGTTTCGGATTTTCTTAGTTGCGAATGATTGAAAAGCCAGTGAAGCAGCAAATCTATCTTACATTACACAGTAACGGATAGCAGTCCGGTACGGATTGAATTTCGGTTGCAGAGCTTTACACATGAGCGACTCGTTAAATAAGATGGACTCGCCATTCTTATTGCTGCATTAAAAATTCTCTCTTACTTGCAAATCGAGCAAGAAAATAATATTTACAGTTCGCATTCCTTCGGGTACTTTTACGGAATATGAATAAGTAAGGTAAGATAATACGGCTGTGTGTAGATGCGTTTTTTCGCGCTATTTATTTGCATCCTGCTAGATTGACTTGATGCCGTTTCGAAACCGATTGAGCGGTTGGGAAATAAACGAATCGCGTATCTGGGTTACGAGGGTTTGAGCAAAAAAAATTGGGAAGGAATTTCGATTTGTGTGTTCCTATGGTGGCGAATTTCCTTCTTGTGTGGTGCGACCAACCGACGTTTATTTTCACCACATAATAAACACTGGGTGAGGTATCAAATTAGTCATCTGTCAGAGGCCGGTCCATAAATTTCAGATCTTTAATCGGCATTTCCTTGGCATTTGTGAATTTTTGTCTAAAGTGTGGGTTTAAGAACCGGTCACCCTTAGGTGTTTAGAAGCCTGAAATGTTTATTACATTTTTATAGTTACACATAATTATAAAATTAATTAGAATAAAAACATGGCTGCGCTGCGTTTTTATCGAATCTAACCGACAATTTGCAATTTGATAACGATTAAGGCCAGATAAAAGTGTTTAAAATCTATAATAAATGAACGTGATATATTAGGTACCTAATTGGCCCGGACCACAGAAATCGTATCGTTTATTATTTTCGAGATATCGGTCGATTAAATCCACAAACAAGTTCTGTTCGAAGTACTTTGCGTGTTTTGTATTTGCCACTCTGCGGTAAACGATAACATTTTGGAAAAAAAAATCAAGAAACACTCTCGATATGCGTAAGAAAATCAAAATTTTCGTAAGCAACTTGGAAACAAAAACCTAAATGAAATTCACCGAACGCAATCGGCTCACCTGTCGCACTACATAATCGGATATAACGATGAAAAACGCTTTTTAGATTAGAGAACGAGAACGCGGCCGAAACTCCATTATTGAAATTGATATAATCGAAAACTTACGGCGATTTCTCGTTGTGAATGAAACAAATTATCGAGCATGAAAAATCGAAAGTTCGAACCTGTGAAGCATTTCATTTTTTTATCATTTCCGTCTCCCCCCGAGCCAGGATCGGCTCCGTTGGCTCCGTCGAAATTATTCGACTGATTAATTGGTTTTAGTTACTTTTATATCACACATTTTCAATGATTTTACTGTCGTCGAGGCAAAACCAGAAGTTTGGCATCCATCGAAATGAAATTTTTTTGTACCCGTCCTATTAACAATCTTCACCAGCGTCAAAGAGCAGAGCCTAAAAAGCAACTTGGAGCAATCTTTCAAACTACAGCAAATAGGTTTGTAAGGAACAAAAATGAAGACACAAAATAATTGAGCAAATGCTATAAATCTCTCATAATAGAAGTGGGTACCCTAAAGGAGACATTCTAATGATCTTTAGTTGAACCTTAGCTGGACACAATTGGAGCATTTATAGAACTTCGAAAACAGGACTTATATAAAAAAATAATATATATTATATACTATAGAAGAAAACAGAGTTATACAAGGACAAAGTAACTATAAATATTGGTGCCAAAATCGGATATCATCTATGTATGTATTTAATCCGCATAATCAACCATTTCGAGCCGATTACCGCGGTATCAACTGAGGAGCACTTTGTTCTCGGTTTACTGTAAAAATTTGGTCTCGATTAAACGAGTTTTTACGAACGAAATATTTTCGATAAAGAGAGTGCCTTTAATTTCGATTTTTTCGTCGAATTTTTCTATTTCGAAGTATTGTGAGAAACATTACTCGAAACTAATTCAGATCCTTCATGCTTCTGATGACTCTTCACCCTCGCGCTGCACAAAAACTCGATGCAACAGGTATGTTAAATTCCTCCAAACAGTGGCGTTGCCGGAGAGAGCATATTCCATAATGAAAAATGCAGTTTTCATTATATAGAGAGTTTCCTCGAAATAGCTAGTAATATTTATATCTACATCAGTTTTCGATGAAGGAACCTATTGTTAGGTTAATACTTTAATCCTTTGATAATAGCTAGAGATTACCTAAAAACAATTTTTTGGTAAACTAAAGATAAATCCAATATTTAAAATAACAAATGATCCAATTTATCCCATTGCATCCATTCCATTATAGGTACTCCCAATATAGGTGTTATCCTATTTAGTTAATATAATTAGAGTAGCATGGAATTTAAAAAAACATCATCATATTTATACAAAGATTTTTCGCTGGATAATGATTTTCCTCTACGAAGATTTCAAATTAACTGATATTCAAATTGAACTTAACATGGGAATCTCTAAAATTTATCTACCGTCTCCATTCATTTGGAGCAAGAGTAGCCCTTAATTTATTGTAAATTGTAATTACACAACCCCTTCACAATTCTTGTTTCAATTTAGCAAAAGTACCAAAAAAAAGTTCACGGTTGATTTTAACGTACTGAATGAACTAATATCGCTTCATAAACCACCCTAAATGCATAATTATTACAAAAAAAAGTCCATATTAGTAAGATACACGGGGTAACGGTGCGTGGAAGAAGAAAATTTTATCTTCCGTGACCTATAAACTTATAAACTATCCGCTGTTCGTTCGCATCGAGCGGTTAATTCCCGTGTAAGTACGCGATTAAGGTCGAATTAAAGCGGGGTACGGTACCTGGACCGCTCTTAACTCGCAGTACCCTAATTATAGGTTCGCGCTAATGACGGGCACCGATATTGGACTTCCGGTAACCGGTGATTTCTTTTGAGATGTGCCGATGCTCGTTTCGTACGGAATGGAAGATCGAAAGAAGAAATCGAAATTCTACAGTTCGAATTTGTAAAGGTGTAACAATGAATTTCTGAAGAGCGTTTTAGCCGTAATTCGAACGAAACTGATGCGTGAAAAATCTTTAATATCTGTTAAATTAAAGTGTATTTTGTGAAAAGGGATTCACTGGCGCGCCACAGTTGTTGTTGAAGAGATGCAATACAAAAGACGATTTTTACGACGATTAGAAATGTATGAGAGTCGAATTTTTCGAATAAAATAACGCAAAAACATCGAAATTTAAATGTTTTCCATATAGTAATTACCTACAATAACTATCGAACTAACGTATAGGCGATTTAATTAGTTTTAAATAATTTTAATTGCTAATAAATAACAATCATTTTTTATTTAACTAATTATGTATTGAACTTTATTTGTTTTGTAATTACTCTTTATTGCTAAAATATTTTACAAAATTATAAAGCTTCGAGGAATATATGTATCTATTAGTAATTAATATTTATGTTTATCGTTTTTAAGCTTTTAACTTATTATAGAACAGAGTACCTTTAATTAGTAATAATAAGTATAATACACTTTGCGATTATAATTTTTATATTCCATAATAACATAGTAACGAAACGCTAACAAATAGGTATGTAGATAAATCTATAAATCATTATTTTTTACCATTTTTAATTTATACATCAACTCTATTTATTACTATCTACACGAAATCCGTACTCGAATACTCGACTAATTCGTGAATGAAAACGGAGAGGAAACTGAAAAAACCGTCTATCCGAGATCCGAGCGCAGTTACAACGAACGGATAATTACATATCGAGTGAATATTGTTTTCTATTGTAATCGGAGCTGCAGGTAAAGTAACTATCAAGCGTAAATTGACTCAATCGAACAACCTGTTGGTTGTAAATGGGCTGAAACGCCGACGGAACAAGGCCAGTGGCAAGGTAACTTTTTTTATCCAAAAAGGACTTTGTGATCAGCACTAGACAGATCAGAGCGTTCGCTTCGTGACCGGATAAAAATTGTCTTTCAAATAGAATGTCCAAAATACACTAATAATAACAAATTTTTATTATGTTACTCGAGTAGTTTAATATACTGTCGTTAAAATGACTGTTTTTTTATAACTAGTGGAAAACATAAGCTTTTTGACTATATGGCCTACCCTGTATATAGTCATCGTGATTCTTTTGCGTAACTATGCGTAATAATATTACGGCGAGTCGTAATGCTTTACGGTCACACATTTTTAATTGCTTGTCCTATTTAAACGGTTATGAAAAATTGTGTTACGATATTTCACAAAAAAATAAAAGATTGGTCAATAGACGAGAAAGGTAAAAATTTACTGTTTTTAGAAAATTTGTTTTACAAAATATTTCTACGATCTCAATGTGTCCTTTGTTCAACTCGCCTATGATATTTCTATAAGCCTGCTAATATACGGGGTATTATTTAATAAGTGCGACAAACTTCAGGGGGTGATTCTGCATGAAAAAACAATGGTATTTTCCTATATAAACATATGTCCGCAAATGCTTCGTTTTCGAGATACGGGGTTACTTCTCAAAAGCGAAGATTTACTTATTTCTCTGAAACCAGACGAGATATTCAAATGAAATTTGATTGGTTTTGAAAGGTAACTATTACCCCTTTTTTGCGTTAATAATAAATTGTTTTAAAGAAAAAAATAATATTGGTACGCCACTTCTTTCACTTCTATTTTTCATTTCCTCAATACAAGTTATCTAGTAATGAAGAAACTTTAACACCTCCATGTTATTCTAGCAAAATATCATTAATAATTATTTATTCATGCAGAATCACCCCCTGAAGTTTATCGCACTTATTAACACCCTGTATATGCATAGGGGAAATGTTTGTTGTTGCAAATATTTTGCGAAATTAAATTGGTTTTTCTTTACAGACGAAAATCCGAGCAGTACTACGCACTGTCCTTCGAGCTCCTGGCCAGAATACACCAATTCGTACGCACCCTACAGTCCACAAACAAATTATTACGATCCACATCAGGATTCGACGCACGTCCCGCCCATACACCTCCCGACAGGTAAATAAATTTTAAATTAATTTCTCGTACATTATACATTTAATTACGGTCGACGTCTGCATAATGCAGATATGCGTAATTAACTCCTCGCCGAAAGGATATTTACCCCGGCAATAAAAATATTTTGCATGTATGTACACGAGTTCATATTGGTGCACTGGTATTTCGCGCCAAAATAATAATCCCTTTTTGGGTTGTACTTTAATCCCTTATCGGAATTGCGCACCGAAAAATAACAATATCTAGGTACTATAGTTGAGTCCTACCAGAAAACTTTCAATTACTTTCTATAAATTGGAAATTTGGAAATATGTCTGTGTAGATAGGTATGTAATATTTTTAGGGAACGGGGAAAACTTATTTTAGTCTATAAAGGCTGTGGAGAGAAGAGAGTAAAGAAGAGATTAGAGAAGAGATTAGAGAAGAGATTAGAGAAGAGATTAGAGAAGAGATTAGAGAAGAGATTAGAGAAGAGATTAGAGAAGAGATTAGAGAAGAGATTAGAGAAGAGATTAGAGAAGAGATTAGAGAAGAGATTAGAGAAGAGATTAGAGAAGAGATTAGAGAAGAGATTAGAGAAGAGATTAGAGAAGAGATTAGAGAAGAGATTAGAGAAGAGATTAGAGAAGAGATTAGAGAAGAGATTAGAGAAGAGATTAGAGAAGAGATTAGAGAAGAGATTAGAGAAGAGATTCGTAGAGAAGAGATTAGAGAATAGATTAGAGAAGAGAGTAAGAAGAGAGTAGATAAAAGAGTTAAGAAGAAAGTAGAGAAGAGAATAAAATAGAGAAGAGAGTAGATAAGAGAGTAGATTAAAGAGCAGAGAATAAAGAAGTAGGTAAAGTAGTTTTGAGCAATTCCTGTATGGGATTAGTGCAGCGTGCAGGTAACAAAATTTATGGTGCAAAATTTCGGTATCGGAATATACTAGGACGTCCAGAAAGTAAGTTCCGTTTGGTAATTTAAAAAAAATTCTAAAGATATAGAAAAATATTTTATTGTTCAGTAATCTACGATTCTTAAGCTACATTTCTACATGTCAAAAAATTTCCAGATATTTTTCAGAATGTGGCACAAGTTGTTCTAACCGATTCTCATAGAAAGTTGCCGCCTGTGTTTTCGCCGCAAAAGTTTTTAAAATGCAATTTTTCAGTAACAATTTCATGAACTAGTGATCGAGAGATTTGTTTTCGTTACTCTTTACTTCGTCTAAACGATAGTGGAAAATCATGCGTTGTCGCGGATAATTGAAAACACAGCCGGCAACATTCTATGAAGATTGAATTACAAAAACTTGTGCCACCCTCTGAAAAATACTTGAAAATTTTTGGGACATTGTATGTAGCAATGTAGCGTAAGAATCGAACAATATTGTGCATTAATTTTTTTCTATATCTGTGCAGGATTTTTTTAAATTATCAAACGGAACTTACTTTCTGGTCTCGCCTAGTAACTAAGGTAAATTCGGAGCGAAATTCCGTTACAGACCCTTTCTTAATTAGTAAAATGCCGCATTCGATGTTGCAGTTCTTCCAGACTCCAGTTCCCAAGAGTACATCCACACGTCGCTGACGTCCCCGCCGCCAATCTTCAACAAAACCGACCTGGACATGATGAGCACCAGGTATTCGGACAGCAACACGTACAACCCGAACAACTGGCCGGCCAGTCCAGCCGCCTACAACAACAACTACTACAATCAACAGCAATACCTGAACCACCCGCCGCCCTCGGTCGTCGTCTACCCGGCGGCGGTCTATTCGACGACCGTGAACCAAAGCCAAATCCACTTCCACTGGCACCAGCCCAACGACAAGCTCGACTCGTACAAAAGCGAGCCCTACATCAAGGGCGAGCAGTACTTGGACACCGCCAGTCTGACCAATCCCCAGCGCTTAGAGACTGTACAAACTAGTGAAGTGGTGCACGCACACGTCGATCCTCTGAGGATCGACGATTCGGAACGAACCGCACAGTCCCAAAATGATCCTTCCGTTTGGAGGCCGTACTGATCGATTTTAAGTTTATTTATTATTGTAATATACGTTTAAGAAATTGTTAATATTTTTTTCATCGTTACCTTTCTAAAAAATATGTCTTCCTAAAATGACAATATGCTTTCGCCAGTAATTTGTCAAAATCGACAACCAATGTGACTTCTATCCATAACATTAACTACATTTAAATTACTATTTTTTTTATTAAATTAACAAACGAGCAAGCATGACCGACGAAGCCGTTCAAGTGAAAGACAAATTTTTCGTCGCCGGCCTGATACCCAGCCCGGAGTTCCAAAAATGTAGGTACATAGTGAAAAAATTGTACATGTCGCATCCCGGCCAGTACGAGAGGCCGGAGATACGGAGCATGCTAAACGTTGAATGGGAGGAATTCCTCACAAAGGTAAGTTTTCCATATAAATATAACGCTTTCGTTCAAAAATATACACTACATTATACTAAGGACGGAGGCGAATCTTGGCCTCTGGCGATGAAGGATTCAGTCCTCTTCAATGGATGCCTTTTTAGGGGCAATAACAGGAACTCCAAAGATTCGCCTGCGTAGCACAGCCCAATTCAGACACTCTAGAAGGCCCCTGCTTCCAAAATATAACGCATTTTCAGCTAAAACGAACATACGGAAATGGAGTTTGGGGAATAAGAAGGAACGTGATTGTTTTCAATAGAGGAGAATTCGTGGGCGACGATAAAGTGCTGTTAGATAACATTGTTAAATTATACCAATTCTCTTTCAACACGAATTGGTCCGATATGGGGAATTGCCACCTCGTTGATGTCTTCCAGAATATTATGGATAAATTTGTAAATACCAAATGACTTTAGACTTGTACATATCGCCTAATGTTAAATTAACATTCCAGAGGCAATTGGTTTACATGATGATATCAATAAACGGAAGAGTTATAGGAACTTTGTTATTCGAAGTGAGTGTGAAATAACTACACAAAAATAGTTAGGCACTCTAGTTAATCTAGCGCGTTTTTTAGCTCTACAGCGATATAGTACCACTAGCTTGTGAGAATTTCCTCAACAAGTGCAAAAATCCCGAAGAAGGATTCAGCGGTACACCCGTACATAGGTAAATTGCCACAATACATTTCAGAAAAAAACATATTTAGGCTTCTTTAAGGATCGTAAAAAACAGCTGGGTACAATGCGGCGGTTGGGGCATCCCGGAAAGGCAAATGCGCTGCGAGAACTACGTAGTGCCGCATAACAGAAGAGGCGTCCTGTGTACTACAAATACAGGCAGACATAAAAACAACACATCCCAATTTTTCATCACGCTAGGCCCGACGCCGTGGATGGACCAAAAATACGTGGCATTCGGGTAAAATCGATGCGATTACACCTACACACATTTACAATAGTAAGAAGCCGTCATTATCTTTAAGGCAACTAATTCAAGGGGCGGAGATTTTGAGGCAAATCGAGGAAGTGCCCACTTACTACGAGGCGCCCAAATACTCTATCATCATCGAAATGACCGGCGAGGTTACCCTCGACAGGATTCCCGACTATCTAAGCTCGAACCAACGCCAGGAATTCGAGGCTTTGCTGCCCACCATCTTCTACGATGGTCTTTTAGACGCGAAATCCTACGACCAAATATCGCCGACGGCCTCTAAATTCGACTGGATGAAATACAAGAAAGGAATGTACGGTTTGAAATCGGATTTGAAGAGCTACTTGCCGTTTATGCATTTGCTGGACTACATGATACCGTTGGGAGGCGAAGGTGGTAAGTTGCAATTCTACGAGTACTCCTCTATTTACATGGGAATTTATCGTATCGAGGAGGATCTCATTGTGAAATTAATAACTACACATACAGAGTGTTAATTAATTGAGTGCCGACACTTCAAAATGTGAATATTTGGGTGATTTTAAGAAGAAAAGTTTATATCAATAAATGTCCCAAACTAGTTTTCGAGCTAGAGGGTGTTATAGTTTTAGAAAAAATAACTTCTATCATAATTTTCTTATTACTCCAGATATTTTTATGACATCTTGTACACACTATTTAATTATTAAGGAGCATTTTTTGAGACAAAATATTTTTTTAATTTTTACCAGTGACGTCCGTACGGAGTTTGAAATTAGTATGTTTGAAGAAAAAATAGTACGCCACTGCTTTTTCTAAAAACCAAAATTATTTTTAAAATCCTCATTTATTTTGGAGCAAATTCGGCCCAAAGACTTAATTTTGTACGACGCACCAGTTTCGCGTAAAAAAATTAAAACCAAAACAATTTTTCCCAAGTTCATTGATACTGCTTTTGATATTTTGTTGAAATTTGGTAGGCGCTCACTATGCATGGAAACACTGTTTTTCGGGATAAAAATTAATTTTCTACTATTACCAGTGACGTCCACGTCCGAAATTTCATAAAAATATTTGGAGTAATAAGATAATTATGATAGAAAATTAATTTTTTTTTTCTAAAATTTTAACACCCTGTATTGATATAAACTTTTCTTCTTAAAATCATCAATATATCGCACCGTGTGAAAACGCTTTAAACAGCGTTAAACGCTTTAAACTCTAAAGAAAGTTTTCACACTGTGCAATACATTGCTGCAATATTGCATTGCAGTTTTTATACAAGCGTTTTTAAAAATTATCGTATCGCATACGAGTGAAAACTACTTATTTGAACCTTTGTATTTTGACTGCAATGCAATGTTGTCGTGTGAAAACCGTGTGAAAACGGTCTAACCACTGTTACTTAATAATCTTTCTTTGTCCAACTCGTAGAATTGACCAAATTGCAAACAAATTTACACTCTTTTGCAGATGATAAGAACGTAATTGACAGTAAAATTGCCGAGGATATAAGGCTCACTATTACACAGAAACTGAACTCTTTTACGTTGCCCAAAATTAGCGATATTACGCTGTAAATTAAATATAAAAAAATTATGTAAACGATGTAGGTATAAAATAAAATCAATATCGTCAACGATAAACTTGTTATTTAATCAACAATAGTTTAAATTCAATACGCCTTAACTAATTATACGGATTGATTCAGATAATGTAATTTTGTATGGTAATGTGAGGGTATTGTTGTCTCCAAGCATTCACCTAAAACGCATCAAATGTTTGTACTTACACTAATTAATACCTAATCATATTTACCTCTTCCTGTTGAACGGAATCGCAGTAACTTATATCGAGCAATCTAAGTTTTGGTAGTAATAATAGAGCTTTTTTAAACGTATCACTAGTAATATTTTTATTCCCTAATAGATCTAATTGCGTCAGTTCCTTACACGACATTATAACAGGCATGATAAGAGCATCGTTTAAACCTCTCCATTCCGACAGAATTAATCTTCAATACAGTTAAGAACCCATAAAATGGTTAAAAATAGAGAATAATTATTTACCTTTTGAGTTGCGGGCAACCCTCTGCTATAAAATGCAAACAATTTCCGGGATCTTTATTAATCAAACACCATCCGAGATCTAATTCTTTGATGTTGGGGCAATTCGCGAATCGCCTAACACCTTCGGCAGTCAATGACAACGTTTTCCATGAACTCCAGGTAGAAATTTGTTTGTTGCAATCGACTAGAACTTGCACCACTTGATCGAGTTTCTGAAGTTTTTCGCATAAATCTGGAATAGATTATGAAATAGTTATGATAATACAAGTGTTTCTATATGCGTACCTATGATTAAAATTTTTAGATGCGGATTGGCCTTCAATAATAAAATGAGTTGATTGTCATCGATGTCCGAAGAAGTGAGGTCTAATGCCGTTAATTTGTTAATTTTATGCCAGCTTGAACTAAACCATAAGGCCATATCACGCCAGCTGAGGTTTCTTAATCTTAAATCTAAAAAAGATAGACTCTTTTCATTGTTTTCTTTTAGTTTTTAAAGAGCTCGAATGAAGCAGGTATTTAGAATTCTTTGGTTTATTGTAATTCAAGGTATTACCTACTAGCTCTGAACAAAATATTAGTCGTACTACGACTTCAGTGTCCACAAATTTACAATTTCCTAACGATAAATGTGTAAGTGTAGAAAAATTTGCTTCCAAAAGTCTAAAAGTAAAAGTTCTAAATACAGGATGTCTCACATAAGAACCGTTACAGAGCAGGGGCAAGTAGGGGAGCTCAAAATACGTTGTTTAAACCAACTTAATACAGCCAACTTTTGAATTAAAAAATAGAACAAAATAGTTTTAAAATGAAATTACGTATAAAATGCACCAATATTTTTTTAAATCATCCATCAGATAAAACGTTTTATAACACATTAAGGGAGCTTCATTCCTGATGTCCTGCTGAACTTCTTAGTACACTCGTGTCATATACCAAATTAAGTTGTTTTAAGTTTTAGTATTACTGAGATATTATTTTTTTAACTCTTAACTCCACTTTAATGTAACTTTTCATTAAGTTAAGTTCGGTTAAACAACATGTTTTGGGTTCCCTTACACTCGCCTGCCCTTTGACTGTTCTTATGCGGGACACCCTGTATACTCTTTATCAGAAAATATGAAATAAGCTTACGAAACAACAAGGTTACCGAAACCATCAACATCGTCACTTCCACACCAAGATAAATCTAATTTTTTCAATGTTTTACATCTTTCCAAAAAATAACGCAAAGTATCACAGTTTACCAGGTACCAATATGGCTAGAATTATATTAATTAGTAATTATTATAATACATTATTCGAAAAAAAAATGTTACAATACCTTCAAATTAATATTTTGATATAAAAGAGCATCAGCCGATATCTGATTCCACCTCTTATTTACTCTAGCGCATCTGCTCAACGATTTTAAATCTAGATATTGAAATATATGTAAAATTACTTCATTCTAAAAATATAAAATCGTCAAAAATTAAATCATTTTAATTCGCATATTGAAACATACTGGTAAAGAAGAGAAAAAATCAGTTCCCAAATCCTCAATGGTTATAGAAACATTATCGATACATTGGTTTTTTGATGTAACCGGTTCAGTTAAGAGATTTAATAAACCCATAGACATTACACTAGTTTGTAAACCCGTAGTGGGTACATAGCCCCCTAATAAAATAGCTTCTACCGCATAATGGTACTCAAGATGAGTTTGATTGAATTCTAACCGGATAGTACTAAAAAATAAACAATTAAACTTAAACCATATACATATACAGGGTATTCCAAAATGACATGCTAATATTTAAGGGGGATTCCTGGACCCATTTTAAGGAAAAACTTCATATGAACCTTTGTCCTAAACGTCTTAACTTTTGGGATACAGGGTGTTAAAGTTATAAGAAAAAAATATTTTTTTGTAATAACCGTGATACTATTGTAGATATCTTTATGAAATTTGGCACGTCTTTTATGAATCAAGATGCATTTTCTGATAAATAATACAAATACAAATAATTTTATTATTTTCTGCAGTGCCGTCTGTACGGGTTTTGAATTAAATGTTTTTGGAGAAAAAATGGTACACCACTGCCTAATATTGAAATAAAAATTATTTTCAGAATCTTCATTCAATTTAGAACAAATTTGATTTCTTGACTTTTTTCCGTACGACTCATCGTTTCGCATTAAAAAAAATAAATGCATTAATTTGTCGGTTGTCGATACCCTGTGCTAAAATTAAAAAATAAAATATTTTAGGCTTAGGACATATGTTCATATAAAGTTTATTTCTTAAAATGGGTCCAAGATTTACCCCCTCAAATATTAGCATGTTATTATGGAACATCCTGTGTATGTGTAAAACGTGTTAGTTAAAGTTAAGATATTTAATTACTCTGTTAAATAATTAATTTGCTTAATTTTGGGGTGAAACTTCCTGGAATTATGGGGAAATTTTTCTGGTTGGCCCTCCCACAGCAATGCCCAAGGCCTTTCAGTTTGATACAATAACTTGGCCCAAATGCGAACCACTGCACCGGGATTGTATATTTCATAAACGCAAATATCCTTAGGTATGAGTGCATGTTCGAATCTGTAAGACAGCAGTAGGTATTTACGTATGCGTAAAGAAGAACATTTAATCTTACTGCACGGTGACATAATCTTCGGCCCCGAGTAAATCGTAATCTTGGGGTCGATAGTTCGGTTGGTAACTTTCGCTGTTTTTCCACCATTTACCGTAAGTTCTCTACATAACAAATTACTTGCATTACATAACAATCTCGAGCTCAATTTAAAAATTTACTTACTAGGCAATATGCTTCCGGAAAATCTCCATAGGTAGGATATTTCTCATACTCTCCAATTAAATTAGTAGGAGCGTAATAAAGACTAGTAGAATAATTATACCTGGACGTATAGTCGAGAACGCTTTGTACATAAAATTCAAGCCTTGCCATTGCTTCTGGAAACCTTGAGGTCCCCATTAATTAAAAAATTGGGGCTGTTGTGTTTTCATATTATTTAAAAACAGTCATATGGTTTCCTTAATCTATTGTCAAAGTCAAAAATGACGTTTAACATAGAATTATTTTTCTGGGACCTTTACGAAACGTGTTTTCAGGCCATAAACAAATCTTCTTTTTTATTAAAGTTGAATGTTTTCAATGATGTTTGTCGAATAGATAAATAATTCTTTTCAACGAAAAATAACAAGTTTATATCCTTATTAAAAAACAATGAACAATATAACAATACTCCCGTTGCCTTCACAACCTCCCTTGACCGCACGTTACTCTTCTCGCCTGCGGCCTCTTACTTATTTCTACCATGATGAAATAAATCCTAACCTAAATAACAATATTTTGATAGTTTATATTTTTTTCTATTTACATAATACTGAATGCAAACGGAAGCTTGAGTGCGTACACATTTTTTAATTATCGTTAAGTTCAGTGCACAAGTACACCTTTCCAATAACCGCCCTGTAAACAATTCGTTTTCCTATCGATCTGTCACATTCCAGGATTCTGGCAAAATAAAAATGCCTCAGGAATACGACTCTAAAGTAAACATGCATTTGGACGTTAATAACGGTTTAGATCGGTAATATCCTAATTTTTCTATAAGTTTGTAAAATCTGAAATGATTTGTTTTTAGTGTTACGGAGCTAGTTCAAACACGATTAATCGAATCCGGTTGGAGAGATCAGGTGAAACTTGCATGCAGGAAGGCTATCCTAGAGAATGGTGACAAGCATGTACCGACTGTAGATGAATTAATTACGCAAATTACCCCAAAAGCCAGGTCGATGGTTCCGGACGCCGTAAAAAGAGAACTTTTACATGAACTCGAATTGATTTTAGTCAATGTTGACAAAATAGGGTACAGTAAGGCCTATTAAGTATTTTATTATAAGGTAAATGTGACAAACCTAAGTGTGTCAAGGAATTAGGGAAAATAATTTTCAATCATTCTATACGAAACTTGTTTGGATATTATTATAATTAATTGAGATTCAGTAAAAATACCTATTTAACAAATAAACTTAATCACAGTTCGTCTTTTTTGATATTGCAATCACAATTTACCACAGTTTTCTGTTTAACAGCCTCCATTCCCTCCAAAACTTGCACCCTGCTGGTAAGAACCTTGCTGAATTCATTGAACATATGCATGTGGTAACAAAAAATATTCTTTGGTAATAAATGCTCGTTAATAAACCGCCTGCTATTTTCAGCTATAGCTTTAGCTTCTTCATCGTGGTCGATAGCCCATTTTATTTTCTCAACAATATCACTTATATCCTCCTTAACGGGTATATAATGTACATAGGGCTTGAGATCTTTATAGAAATATTCATAGTATTTTGAAGCTGGTTTAAAGAGAACAGAGCCCCCTGCGAGCAGATATGGCATTCTGTATGCAGCTACAGTCCCGTCAATACCGAGCTGGTATTTGTACTAAAACATAGAAGACTATTTGTCTTGTATATTCGGTGATTAAGGAAAATTAGTACTTACATCGAAGAATTTGAAAAACGAGACATATTCCGCTTTTGGACCGTAAATCTCCTCTTCGTCTTTGTAGAAGAAAAAATTAGTTAAAGATGCGTTGAATAAGTCGGGATTGTTGCGGGCTATTTTTATTAATTCTAAACGGTATTTATTGGAATCCCTGCCTCTCCAGAATAGCCGGGGAATGCGATTTTCCCATTCGATATTTGAATTACCCTGGACCGAAAGTATATCTAACGAGACCCTACAATCAGAAATCTCATTATAAAATTCCTCTGTTATTTGTACATCTTTTTACCTCCCCATATTTTCTAACGTGGATTCCGTAATATCATAAGTAGGTAAAATAATATCGTAGCTATCGGTACTTCCACACCAAGAAAATATAGGATATTTTTCATTTAAATTTCTAGCGGATAACGGCCAATCGCCCAAATTGGAGAAAAATTCAATATCTGGTAAAATAGTCTTTCTCGTTAATGATAGCAATATGTTATCAACGAACATATTAAATCCTACATGCTTTCCATAGCATTTTCTATAAATATTGTTATTTTTTACTACGTAATGACACAAACTAACGGAGTAAGGTTGGTCAAATTTTTTTATTACCTAAAAGAAATTTTTAGCGGGTAAGTACAGGGGTAAGTATGTTGCAAAATTGTTTGCAACATAGGCAACGGGTGCAACAATGACAACTTCCATTACTCTCATATAGAGGAAAAAGGATGAGTGACATTGTGGGATTCCTACTTTCTCCGGATTAAATCACTCTAAGCACTGTTATTTTAAAATCTTTTAGTTAGAGTGGGAAAGTTGCAATCCCACAATATCACCCTTTCTATTTCCTTTATAAGTGTTTAATGGAAGTTGTTTTTGTTGCATCTTTAGCCTATACAGGTCGTACGAACTGATCCGCTGCAAGCGTTAGAATTAGAATCTCAATCAATACTATAAGATAGTAAAGAACAGAAACTTGTTTATCGGTTGCCGGTCGATATTAGAATTCGTCAATTCGCTTCGCTTGGTCCACTAGCGAATAGCGGGGATAGCGGGCGTGATTATTTTGTATGCTCTCTTTATTCCTTACATAGCAAAAGTTCAATTAGCTATCTCATAATTCTCATTGTATGCTTGCAGCGGATCAGTTCGTACGACCTGTATACCAAACTAAGATGCATCAACCTGTACAAGGGTAATGTAAAAAGTTCTCGGCCTGACAATGAAAGACCGCGAATTTTATTGAAAAAGTACATTATTTGTTCTTATTAAGTCGAAATCTTTAGTTCAAGACCATTCTCAATGATTCTGGATCGGTCTGGATTGTTCTAGACGCTTCTGAAGTTCTGGAGCGTTCTAAATGGTTCTAGACAGTTCCAAATGCTGGAGCGTTCTAGATTGTTCTAGACAGTTCTAAATAATTCTGGAGCGTTTTAAATGATTCTGGACGATTCTAAATGATTCAGGCCGAGAACTTTCTCCTCGCGTATATTGACTACCCTGTAAATATACCTACATGGTGTTAAAACCTCTTGTATATTTAATTAGATACATACACTTTTCCTTTTTATATTCCAATCGATAGGCCCAAATTCGTCTAAGCTAGTTTTTATTAAATCCGGCACAGGCCCACATTCCCAATTATTAAGAACTTCCTCAATTTTCTGCGTGGGACAATTGCAATCATCTGATAAAATTTGTTCGTTTATCACATAAGGCGAGTCGGCTAAGTGTTTGTTATCGTATCGAATAGAAATTTTCAAGCTCGAGCAAAATTCGTAGAGCTTATATCTAACTATAAAACTTCCGTCGTTTCTATCAAGTACGTTCGTCCATACTCTGCAATGTTTTCGATTTTTTGATTCTCCATCAATTTCGACCAACAATTTACTTTTAGAAATATCGCTGAAAATTACGCGAAATGTTGAGCTTCATTACAAAAATAGTGTTGTATATTTTACCTTTTGTTGCTGGGATTGTGGGCCAGCTTTATAAAAAAATATCTTGCCGGCATTACAATTTGATCGGGCTTCAAACCTGGACCCCAAACTTCACTAAATTCAACATTGTCATTGGTGGATATTAAACAAACTTTTTTTAAAAGTAAACATAGCAGTAACAATTTACATAAACATTTCATTTTAAAACTTATCACGAGTGAATGTACAAAGTAGGAAGTTAAAACAAAGTAGGCAGTGAATAGTTGTCAAATTTAAATGCGGTTAGGTTAAATCTAAAGAAATGTCAACAAACAAAACTCTCGTTGAGCTGTATATCTACTACATTCAATACCATAAAACTATAAAAGAAGAAATTTTTCTAATTGACTTGACATAACCACAAAAATTAAATTAGGTTATAATCATCATAAACATTCAGAAAATGTGCTAAAAATGAAAATATTGTAAATAAGTTAATATCAATAAGAAACTCTACAAAATGCAAGTTTCCGACACAAATAACGTTAAAATTTACAATCTAAGTGCTGGTAAATCCTTGCCAGAGGTGTTATTTTCCGTTTTTCTTCACTTTCTTTTACTAACATCTGATTTTGTAGTGGTTATCTGAAAGGAAACGTCGTGCTTTACTAAAGAAAAATGTCGACATTAGAAGGAGGATTGAACTTATTCAAGATTTTGATATGCCAGGTGTCAGTTCCACCGTGAGGGTATCGAAAGATGGCAAATACATATTAGCAACGGGCACATATAAACCCAGAGTAAAGTGCTTCGATGTGAACAATCTCTCGTTAAAATTCGAACGTTGCTTCGATTCTGACGCTGTAACTTTTCAAATTCTTAGCGACGATTACAGCAAGGTAACAATCATGTTTTTTTTTAATTTAATTTGTAATTTTTTCTTGTCTTTTTAGTTAGTGTTTCTACAATGTGATAGATACATCGAGTTCCACGCAGCTTACGGTAGATATTACAGGTTGCGCATACCAAAGTTTGGTAGAGACATGCAATACGATTACCCGAGTTGTGATATTTTCGTGGTAGGAGCTTCCTCGGACATATATCGGTAGGAAATTAAAGTAGAATTAATTCATTTGAATCTTTACATTTTTCTTGTTAGGTTGAATTTGGAGAGAGGGCAGTTTATGACTCCATATACTAGCACAGCTTCGGCTATCAATAAATGTGTCATAAATCCAGTGCATAATTTATTATTATGCGGTACAGAGGAAGGTAAAATCGAAGCTTGGGATCAAAGAAGCAAATCGATGATTGCTAGTTTGGATTGTGCACTTACCTGTGTTAATGAAAATAAAGAGTAAGTAAATATGCACTTAAATTATAATTTATATTAACTTATATTTTTGTAGCCTCGAACGGTTTCCATCTATATCAGCTTTAAAATTTAACGGAGGACTACAATTAGGTGTCGGTACAGCGTCCGGGCAGATATTGCTGTACGATGTAAGATCTAACAAACCTTTCTACGTTAAAGATCACATGTATGGTTTACCGATTAAGGATGTGGAGTTTCATTATCAACATGACCTCGTTATGTCATTGGATAGCTCGATATTGAAAATTTGGGACAAAAATAACGTAAGTCAATTAAAATGTCGGTTTGATTTTGTCCAATTTTATAAATATTTGCAGGGAAAATTGTTTACTTCGATAGAATCATCAGTGGAATATAATAATCTGTGTACAGTGCCAAATACCGGTTTATTGTTTTTGGCTAACGAAAATCCGAAAATTCAAACTTACTATATTCCCAGTTTAGGACCGGCGCCTAAATGGGCCAGCTTTTTGGACTCGTTGACTGAAGAATTAGAAGAAAACACTGCAGAAAATATATACGATGGTTATAAATTCGTTACCAAACAAGAATTAGAAAGTTTGGGTTTGGATCATTTGATTGGTACCAATTTGCTGAGAGCATACATGCATGGGTACGTTATTCCATCAATAATAATACACTGGTAATTAAACAATGACATTTCAGGTACTTTATGGACGTTCGTTTGTATAAAAAAGCCAAATCCGTGGCCAATCCATTCGAATTTGACGAATATAGAAAGAAGAAAATCAAAGAAACTATTGACAAAGACCGCGAAAATCGCGTACAAGTTAACAAACTACCTAAAGTTAACAAAGATTTGGCTTTGAAATTGATGAATGACGAACAAAATTCGAAGAAAAATAAAGCGGCTGCCGGAACGATTCTCAAAGACAATAGATTCAAAGCTCTATTCGACGATCCTGATTTCGAGATAGACAAAAACACCGATGAATATCGATTGTTGAACCCGGTCTTGTCCCGTTTAGATAGCGCTAAAATGAAGAAAATGAAGCAGAAATTGGTGTCGCAAGAATTCGAACCTGTCGAGGTGAGATATACTTTCATAAATCCCGTTTTGTTTTATTTAACGACCGTTTGCAGGAGGAAATGGAAGGCAAAAACAGTTCGGATGAATCTGAAGATGAATTCGAAGACATGGAAGAAGACAGTTCAGACGACGAGCACACTTGGACTAAAGAAGTGAAGAAGCAACATAAAATCATACAGAGGGAACACAGACAAAAAGAAAGGGAAGAAGAAATGAAGTTGATGGAAGAAGAAGCTGCGAAACAACCTAAATTGTACGAACTTAGACACGGTGAAGAATTCAAAGGGCTTAATGGTCTGAAGAAAAAACTCAACAAGTAATATTTTAAATTTTTTAAAAATTCGTTTTCTTCACTTTTCTTATTTTTCTAGGGCTTCTCTCAGCGAACGATTACAAAACGAAGACACGTCAGTTCGACTGTTGGGCTCAGTAGGCAATCGAGAAATGACTTTTTCGACTAGGAAGAAAAGGCCCACGAAATTCGATGAGAAAAATCGTCACATAGAAGAACGCAAACGTGTAGCCAGAACAGTCAGACCAAAAAAAACAGGTTATAGGAGATAATGTTTATGTAATAATTAAGGTGTAATAAAATATATTTTGTTAAACAATAGAGTGGAATATTTATTGGAATACATTTGTAAAGCTTACACATACCTGATAATTTCATAATGAACAGCACTATTAAATACAAGAAAGATATCCTACTGAAAATTTCCACTACCGGAAGATTAATTACTGGGACATTGTTGTTTAAGGAACAAAAATGCTTAATTCTCAAATCAAATGATGTGGTACATTATGTGTATTTATAAACATAAATTCAGCGTTTATTTGTAGATTAAAATTAGATTAGCAGGGCCAATGACGGTCCGGTCTTTCACATTAAAGCGAATTGAAGCGTTATTATTTATCTACGGGTTATCTTTGAATAAAAGAAAATGTTTAATTATATTTCTTTCACTTCGGTCCGGTGTTTACGACAAAAACGACTCGTTACACGGCTGTGCAAATGTTCCGAATGTTTCATTAAATATTAGGTTTTTCTACAATGGTAAGTTTCGATCCCATTTTGAACATATTCGCCTGTAATTGGGATGTTTGCGGTATGAATTGCAACGTTAAATCGATTTACCGAAAATGAGCGAAAGTAAAATTGTAGGTAAAGCTCGCGGGTTGGAATTCGTTGAACAAAAATTCATGAAAACAATGGAAAAGTTCAATCCTGAACGAGTCAATTCGTCATCTTCTAGTTTTGAGGTAGGCTCATTAACATTATTTATTTATTTTACTATTTATTTGTTTAACACGTTCAACGCTTTTTGTTGTTGTGGTGGATTCCTTTAAATAACTCGCCTTTAGTTTATGAAAGTATGTGTTCAAATGGAGACATAATTTACTTCATTTTTAAGGATGGGCATTCAGGTAACAATTTTATAAAAAATCAAATTTACTTTCTTTTTTCTAAACTCTAAAGCATGTCATTAATTAATTCATTCATAAGTTGTGAAATTTTTTATACGTTGTTAAATATTTTTTTATTTTCAATATTTATGAACAGTGATGTGTATAATATTACCTAATTAAAAACTTCATTTAATAAACTGGTTAAGTATTTATTAAGTTAACTTGTAAATTAAATAATATATCATATATTTGTGGATACAAAATTAGATGTTATTGGTACATATTAATTAATTTTTCGTTGGTATTTCATAATGTCTACATTAAATTTCTGTGATTTCTGTATGATAAAGTATTTTTCTACGTAGTTTTATTCCTCAATTTATCAAACATTATTTTATTACATCATACTATTATCAATTTAAATGGACATGTGCGTGAGATTAAAAAATAGGTATATTTTAAAGTATTCTTGCATCTTCATTTTAACCGTAGGTCAGGGATTGTAAATTCAGTATAATCTGAAGTCTGAATAATTCTATAACCGATTATTAACTTGCCTGCATGATCTGCAATTTTACTTACCCTCTATAAAATACAGGGTGTCCCGTATAAGAACCGACACAGAATGGGTGTTGTTTAACCCAAAACATGTTGTTTAACCCAACTTAAGTTATCACAAAGTTACATTCCTAAGAAGTTATAGGTCTTTTAAGAGGAGTTACAAATAAAAAAAAATATCTCAATAATACTCGAATTTTAAACAATTAAATTTGGTTTACATTATGAGTGTACTAATAAGAGTATTAATCGATTGTTGGGAGAGATCAATTTGTATTTTTTTAAATGTATTCACCAGTGATGATACTACCTTAAAATGTTACAGAACTTTTTTACTTGATGTATGATTAAAAAAATAATTATTTCATTTCATAGGTAATTTCATTTTGAAACTTTTTTATTATTTTTGTATTTAAAATTCTTTAACGTTTTGACGAAAAGCACTAAATAATAAAGTGATGTACACTATCAATGTTACTTAAAATCGTAGATAATTCATAAGTTGGCAGTTAAAGTTGAGATAAACTTTTTACGCGGGACACCCTGTATACCTAATTGAAGTATTTTGCAACACATACATAACCTGTGGTAATTGCTAATTGTTTTTCAGGACAATGAGATCGTACACGTTACACTTCCAGACACTTCGACCTATTTGAGCGTCACCACCGTGCTCAATTACTGCAAAAGTAAAATATTGACGCCTTATTTGCGATTTTTGAGCTTCGTAGGACTCAGATCGTTTATGAACCAACATGAAATCTGTATTCACAAAACAGTCTACAATATCGCATATCTTCTGTTTGCTGTCGGATTTATGATAGTAGGTTAGACGCAAATTTGGAATATTTTTGAAATTTAAATATCTACAGATCCACAGGAATAACAAGATTTTATCTTACTCATACAGGGTGTTTCTAAACATCGTGCACATCCGAAAGGGGATAATTCTTTGGCTTGTTTTTTTTAAGCTCCTGCATTTATTAAGCTCAACTTTGAAATCTAGATTGCATTATTGGGTATGTCAGATGGTTGCTGAAATCTACAGGGTAATATTTTTTCGGGAGTCATGTTCCCAGGTTTCTCCCGAAATTTTTTGTTATGCGCCGCTGGTACAGTTGTATTAAAAAGAGGGTAGATTTTAAAAAACAAATTATACCCTATACTCTATATCCTATATCAAATTTGAGCTAGATATCTCAAAAATTCAGCTCTAAGAAAAAAAATCTTGTAATTTCAACACCCTGTAGATCGGTAACGAAACTTTTGCGGACCTATATTTATACATATGAACTTTTAGTCATGAAATAAGCCAAAGAAATACCCCCCTTTCGGATGTGCAAGGTGTTTAGGAACACTGATTATTATGCACTGTTTAAGCTTCCAGTTTTGCGCATTTGAACTTAGTAGTTTCAGCTATTTCTATCGATCTGTACCTAATTTAATTTTTGTTAAGCGGTATATGCGTTTATACAAATGAGTACAAGTTAACAATTTCTTACCACACCATTATTTATCGATTGACAAATCGAATTTAAATTGGGCGTTTTACTATTCTACAAACGAATTGATTTTTTATGGAAACATTTTTATCGCTTTTACGTTCATGCTGTATTTTTTTAAAAATTAAGTAATTATTTCTCCAGCGATTAACGATTTTACGCCGAAGCGTGGGAATATTCGATTTTAGTTTATGATTTGATCGTAGAACTATTTTTACTGGTTTTTATAGCTAAGAATATTGAATTCTGGAAAGAGATTAGAAAAAAATATTTTGTAATAAATGTTTACTAAACTCTAAATGTGACCCTGTGGTTAAAATTTCGGATGCGAAAAATTGATTTTACGCCTGGGATCTTTAGAGAAATAAATTATAATTATATTTCTTCTTTAAGGGTATGTTTTACAGTATATGTCATGCTTTCGAAGAGAAAGAGGTTTCTGCTACATGTATGTAACAAGAAACAAGACTCTAATGGCCGAATACGAAACAATTATACACGAAACATGCGAGGCGTCTATAATTTTCAGTTTCATACTACCCAGCATCTTGCATTTAGTGGCTTATTTGCATTTGATATTCGTCTTCAGAAATACCGACGACGATCAATTACCTATTCTAATGGAAAGGGTAAGAACTTATGCAGATAAAACACACTTCAAAACCTCTTAAGAAACTTATCGCTGACCTACTCGTATAACATACAGGGTGTTAATTGTTTGAGTGCCGAAACTTCAGGATGTGAATATTTGGATGTTTTTAAGAAGAAAAGTTCATATCAATATATGTCCTAAACCTCTTAGTTTTAGAGCTACAGGGTGTTACAATTTAAAAAAATTAACATAATTTTCATAATTTTCTTATTACTCTAAATATTTTTATTAAATTTCGGACGTTGACGTCACTTGTAATAGAAAATTAATACTCACGATATTTTTTTTTATTTTGTGCACACATTTTGTGTGAAATTTTTTTAATTATTAAGGACCATTTTTTGAGGCAAAAGATTTTTGAAAATTTAACAGTGACGTCCGTACTGGGTTTGAACTGAATACGTTTGAAGAAAAAATGCTTTTTTAAAACTGCTTTTTCTAAAAAACAAAATTATTTTTAAAATCTTCATTTATTTTGGATCAAATTCGGTCCGAAGAGTTACTTTCGTACGACGCACCATTTTCGCGTAAAAAAACAAAAAGTAAAACAATTTTTCCCAAATCTATTGAGACTGCATTTGATATTTTGTTGAAATTTGGTAGGCGTTCTCCATGCATGGAAACATTATTTTTTTACTATTACCAGTGATATTAGCGTCCAAAATTTCATCAAAATATCTGGAGTAATAAGAAAATTATGATAGAAAAGTTATTTTTTTTCTAAAACTGTGACACCCTGTAGTTCGAAAACTAAAAGGTTTAAGACATACACTGTGCTTTATTCCAGATCGCAACATACCCAACATAGGTCATATAGGCTATAGGTGCGATAAAGACAACTTCCATTAGACACTTATAAAGGAAAAAGAAAGAGTGACATTTTGTGTCATTGCAATTTTTCACTCTGACAACTTACTGTTATTTTATTAATCTTTCTTTGTTCAACTCATAGAAAACTCACCATGTTGCGGTCTGAATTAAGGCAATCTATTGATATAAACTTTTCTTCTTAAAATCATCCAAATACTTCACATCCTGAAGTATCGGGTCTCAATTAATTAACACCCTGTACACCCTTAGCTCTCTTGTATATTCTGATGGGGTTAAATGTTCAAGGGACTATAATAATTGTAAGTTTCTAGGTATTCTTGGCATCTACTTCGATTTCTAACGGCTTCATTAGTCAGCGTAGATTAGTGAGAACGCTTAGAGTGTTTTTTACAATAAGCCTAATATGGTTAACTCTTTCCTTCGCTGTGGTCAATTACATGATGTTAAATGGCGATGTAGCTTTCAAGTGGATCACAAGAAGGTAGCACCAAACAATTCTTCTATATTGTACTTACTCACCTACTCCTTTTAGTGATTAATAATTTTTTAGTCCACACCAGTTGACAATGTTTTTGAAGATAGTCCTGGTGATTAGTACATTGTGGCAGGACCTCATACAATGTACTATAATTTCGAATTACTGTCTGCAAGCTGAGTTGCTTAGATCCTTCGTTCGGTTTATGAGAGAAAGGCTGTTGCAGAGTCCCGTGCTGCCATTGGAATGGATGAGGGTGAGTTTTTTTTTGAATTTGCTACATTCAAAAGTAATAAAATTTCTGGACTTCTAGGACATCGAAGACTTCAAAAAGTTGCTGTACTATTTCAACCAGAAAATTTCGCCGTCCGTTTGCTTACTGATAGTAATGAATTTATCGTATGCCCTGTCTGGAACGCTTTGGTTATTTCGGTATCATATTATCGATAAAGAGACGTTACCAATATTCGGTTTTAGCTTGCTGAATATTCTCCTGTGGGCCTTCATGGCTCTAGCACCTTTTATACAGGTAATTCATTATACGAGATCAAACTGGAATTTATTATTCTTTTTGTGTTTTTTTTTTCAGGCAGCAAGGCTATCCAATTCCTGCGAGATCCTGAAGACAGTCGGGCAGGAATCAAGGGCTCGCCCGTACGTCCACCAAGATACTCCCACGTTGGAACTGGATTCAGTTTTGCTTTACACCACTAGTTTAAAAATAAACGCTCAACTTTTCTACCTGCCCATCACGGGGAGAACATTATTCTTTTGCTTAACCATAGGCGGAATTGTTATACTGACATTGGGCCAATGTCACTATTTTACTACATCATAATTTGTAAATTTTATTTAGAGCATTAAATTCGTTATTTATTTATTGACTTTTTGAATTGAATAGTTAATATTAAAAGCAGTTAACACTGGAAATGAGAAAAATAATTACAAGAAAAAAAAGATAAGAATTTATAGGTACGGTTTGGAGCATTTAATAAAAAAAAGTGTTTTTTTTTTAATTATGTTCTTTACGATGAAGAATATATGCAGTAGGTAATAATTAATTACCTATTTATATGATGTTTCCGTGATTGAAGAACGGACTGATATGATTCCCACAATGTAAAGTTTAATCGATTTCGAAGTGAATCCATCGATTCGAAGCGAGAAATTGAAAATGCCTAATAAAATTGGTTTTTATTAACTCGACGATTGAAAATTGGAAATATTGGTTCGCGACCGAATTAATTGAAAAACCAATTAAGAAATAGTTGTCCCACGCGGAATTAAAAATTTTTGCGATAATTTCACAATAAGCGCGTTAAATATAAATACGGCATGACGGCCCGAGATGAGATAGTCTAGGATCGAGCCGAAGCAATCATGAAGGTCTCTCTAGTTTTTCTAATTTTCGGCTTCTGCGGCATCGCCCTCGCCGGCCACAGCAACTACAACTCCAGGCACGACGCTAGCCAGCACGACAGATACCGACACTCTGCTAGAAATGTAAGTTTCCAAACTTCTTTTCCATCAATAAAATTGATTTAAATAAGTACTTAGATGTTGTCTTTAAAACAACAATCTTACAAAAAGTACAATGTTTAATTTGCTGTTTAATTACACTTATTTAAATCAACAATTAAGATAAATTTATTATGGATTGAAGATGTGATGTAATAATGAATATTTTTCTTGATTAGGTTTATTTATTTGTTATTTATGTGTTATCTACAGAGGTATTATTGAAACTAACAGAACGCTAAATTTAAAATAAATCGATATTTTTTTAATGTATTTAGAAAATGGTGCAAAAAGAAGAGTAACTGATATAGGATTAAAGTTAACATAATCCTTACAAGAAATAAGCTGGGGATAAAATGAAGATATAAGCAAAATGGAAAACAGAAGTAAGGAGAAGAAAAAGCAAAAGAAGTAACTTCGTTAAAGAAGTACCCCAAAATTAGTGAATAAAGGAATATTTATAGAAAACCCCAGAAACTGCCTTTGCAAAACTTTCAAGAAAATTAATCAAATACTGCGAGAATGGGACTTTCGTAATAACATTCAGCAGGGATCTGTACGAGTGAGAAGGAAGAGGATCTCTGCACACTCCGATTACAAACTACCACAGCCTCTGGTAATATTCGTAATAATGACACTTGTATTTACGTTTTCAGAGGGCGGTTTTGCTAATCGATGAGGAAAACGAAAAGGACCCCACCGTGTACGCTTCTTATAAGCCATACGCACACGAAATGGACCCCACGGTTTACGGTTCTTATACGCCTTACTCGCCTTATATAGTCGGTGTGGATCGTACGCCTGCTTACGAGCCGTACCCTCACCATAGCCGCCAACGCTACGGCTTGGCGTAGAAATTTCGAAAAAATAATATTTCGTTAAATTCCATAGAGTCTTCTTTCCATCGACAGCGTGAGCTACAATTGTATAAAAATTGTGTGTTATGTTATTAAAATTTTAAACAAACCAACTGGCGTTGTGTGATTTCATTTAGAGGATGTCCGATACTCGATTGGGCGATTATTAATTGTGGAATTTTCCGTTTTCAGAGGGCGCTTTTGCTAGTTGACGATGAGATCCCCGTTATTACCGATAACGATCCGTTTCCGCGGATAGTCACTATGGAAGATCACTTCAACAAACGTTTTGGTCCTCGTTATCACAAACATCATCATCGTGATTTCATTCCTTACACCTATTACTAAACACTTCGAAACATTAGAGTAGACAAGAACTTTAACTTTACAGCCAAATAACTATTTGTCCATAAATCTGATATTGAAAGATTGGCTGCTACAAAAACCACCTAAATGTACGAATTATTGTTTCCTGTTAAATAAAGAGTTATAAGTTCAAAGCGTGTTAATTCATTATCTAGACTTGTTATATGGACAAGGTTTTCTTGAAATGAAGGGAAAGTTTTGGAAAAGTTGTTCTCTACTCTTCTGTATAGGATCTTCCTAATATCATGAACATCGGAAATCTTTGAACATCTTTGAAATCTCTAAAATTTACTAAAAAAAAGTAAAAAAAAATACAAAGGAAATTTCATCAGTAGTAAAATGGAACACGACTGCTACAAGATATTTCCTGTTCCAAAATTATATTCGATGGCTGATGATAAATGATATTCCAACGTAGTGGCGGAAGGCCAAAAGGTTGGCCAGAAGGTTTTATTTAAGGTACTTAACCGAGCACAAAAATGCAAAATTTTTATTGTCTTTTCATTGAATTTATATTGACCAAAAAGTTTTTAGTTATTATTGAACCTCTATAAAATTGGCTATACAGGGTTTTCCACGGCCGCCGTGCATTAGAACTTTTCGGAGTTCCTAAAGAGTTACGAATCTCAAAATTTAGGAGTAAGGTATCAATGTTGTGAGTTTTTCTAAAATATTTTCAACCATATGTGACATCCGGATATACCGGAAGTAGATATCAACTTCGTTATTTCTAATGGAAAGTACCATTTTTGACTTCATTTTTGGATTCTGTGGCCCTTTTTAACTTGACTTTGATAATAGCACCAAATGCCAAAAATGCACCATTTTTAAGTTATTTCATCTTTTTTGATTTTTTGGAAAAACGGTCGAACTTATTTTCTAGGATATCTCTGTTAATAATGCACCTAGAAGTTTGAAATTTGGTACCGAAAATGTCCAGACACAGTACTAAATGAAACAAAAGTGGGTTTTCATGGTCCATATACAGGGCGTTTAAAATTATCTGACAAACTAGGCTAACTTTAAGTGGCCATAACTTTATTATTTCAAATGGATCACCCTGTATTTTTTGGCGTTGAGCATATAGATATTCCCTATACCTAAATCCAGTCGTTTTTGAAATAATCGAACTTTTATTAATTTTGTTATGGTAACTTGACTTGTTATTGGTCTTCGTCTTCTTGAGTTATCTAGATGGCTGTTCCATGCCTAATATATCATAACTACGCCATAAACTAATAACTAATAACTTAAACAAAATTTTGAACATACTTTTTAGATAATATTCAATAATCCACTAATTGAACCAGTTGAAGATTCTTTTTGTTAATTTAACTTTGATGTTATAATCAACCCATTTATTACATTAAATTCTTTTGTTTTTCATCACTTGTTATTGAAAACAATTGGCAAAATTAAAAAAATTTGGGGTAGGTTCATTATTATTCTTAATATGGATAATGCCGGAACCAAGAACCGTTGTTTCATTCTTGTAACTTTGCCTCTCGCCATTGATGTTGTGTGGTTATCGTTCTTTGAATAGTCTACATATTTTGCTAAAAATTTTATTTTATTGACGTAAATGAAAAATACGTAATTGTAAATAAACTTGATTAGTGTATTCTTCCCCAATAATCTCTGCGTTTTGTATTGATTTAAGAAAAATTTGAAGAATTCAGACTAAAAATTAGTTTAATTGAATCGGTGAGTTCGAAAACCGTACATGTCCAAAATCAGCATTCCGAGAAAATAAATAAAAACATTTTATTATGTATGGTTTTTATCCTAATTTTACGAATTTCAAGGAACTGTGCTACGTTAACGGCTAAATATCTAGTAGGGTTTTCGAGCTCAATCAATAAAGAGACAAATTTTAAACAAAATGGCTATCTTATTAAATTTTGGACTTGTATGGTTATCGAACTCATCGATTCAATTATTGAACTGTTTTATTAATGATAAAGTTATGACATAGCCATGACGTATTAAACTCATCGAATAGCCATCATCTAGATAACTCGAGGAGAGTATAACCATAGCATAATTAATAAAAGTTCGATTATTTCAAAAACGACAAAATATACTTACTCAATGCCAAAAAATACAAAGTGATCCATTTGAAATAATAAAGTTATGGCCACTTAAAGTTAGCCTAGTTTGTCAGACAATTTTAAACGCCCTGTATATGGACCATGAAAACCCAGTTTGGTTTCATTTAGTACTGTATCTGGACGTTACCGATACCAAATTTCAAAATTCTAGGTGCATTATTAACAAAGATATCATAGAAAATAGAAAATAGAAAATTCAGATTCGTAACTCTTTAGGAACTCCGAAAAGTTCTAATGCACGGCTACCGTGGAAAACCCACAAACCATGTTTTGTATTAGCATCTGCAAAGAATCATTCATCACCACTCAACTCCAAGATGTCTAATTACCCCTTTCAATTAGACCATGTCTAAAAATGCAACTTTTTTGGGAAAATTCGACCTCTTTGGGATGTTGTAAGAAACTGATTTTTTCTGCGGCTGAATTTCCATTGTTCGTATAATATTTATTTGACTTATTCGATTTCGCATTGGTAATTTTAGCGGGAAGAAATAATATGAAAATTTCAAATTTCTACTTTATTTATCACATGAATTAAGGATAATTCAAAGCTGCTTGACCAATGTAAGTGCGTCCACGTCCTTCTGCTTCGGCATTAAAGTTAATGTGACTAGGTAAACCCAACATTTCAGTGTGTATCGGATCCATTTTAACACCTCCAAGTCCGTGGGCATTTATTAACAAACCCCGCTAAAAATATCTATATTACAATTTTATCCAACTACATATACAGTTTGTAATAACAATAAATAAATTAAAAAGTATTTTATAGTTTAATATAAAATATCATTTTCTTTGAAAATAAATAGGTAAATCTTACTCCCTTAATTATCCTTTGAACTCTTCCATTGCAAATAGCAAAAAATAAAACTAATAAAATTACGTAAGATCTCATACTGGACGATACTTTCAATGCGACTGAATGTGAGTAAAATTCGATTCTGCTATTTTATTATAGCGCTTATCAATTATTTTTAGGATGGGCACAAAAAAATTATTTTTAATAATTGTAACGAGTAATAAGAATTTAATTAAATCTACTCAATAATTTCATCGCCTTTAAAATATTTTTCTCTACCTTTAAATTAATTCAATGTAACGATTGTTTTCTTTGCAATGGTAGAATTATTTAATTTCTGTTAAATTATAGATACTTTCTTACTTCGTGTACTAAACGGACGACAAGAGCATTTGATACAGCAGATATTATAAATAATAAAATGACTTGTAGCTTCATGGTATTAACTACACAATCTTCAACAAACTAAAAGTTTGTTAATTGCATTTTGATTTATATTTATAAAAATAAATTTAAGAAAAACCTACGTTGAACCCACACGACTTTTAATTCATTTTCACCTCGAAAAATCATTATTCAAATTATTATTTAGCCCAAAAAGTCAATTAAAAAAACAATAAAACAACTTATTGAACATTCCTATGTCGATAGGTCTGTTGAATTTACAAATCTTTAATTTACAAATTATTATTTACAAATCTTTCAGAAAAAATTATTAAGTTATATTTTCAAAAAATAATTATTACGTTTATTTAGATAAGTAGTAGATGAAATCTTTTTGAATAAATTCCCTTTAAACAATTTATAGTCTTATTTATTTTTTGTAATATTTTAAGATCAATTGCTTCTTTATGCTTAAATGAAATTAGTCTTCCAATTTACCTTCATTAAGGATTGCAGTATACATCAAGGATAGAATAATGCAATGGTACTAACGAGACAATACTTTCTAAAATAATAAAGCCACTAAATCAGCCTAAATCAAATTTACATGGTTTCTCAAGGTGCCTAAGAATGCCAATGAATAAGGATCGTTAATTCCAACATATGTAAATTTTTAGAGCTTCCATAACACCCAAAAAGTATTGTTCTTAAACACTCATTAGCTCTCAGGAGAGGCCTAAAATTTAATTTAATTATACTAGAGCGAATCAAATATCAATCCGGAATTTTGCTTTAAAAAATGTATAAGTAAATTAAACATAATTTTGAATTTGTTCATATTATTTTTTTATGTAATCTCCTCTTTTATTAGCACAAATTTCCCACCGAATCGGATGTTTTTTAATCTCGTTATCAAAGAATGAATCTGTTCATGTCTGTAACCAATTGCGCATAAACGTTTCCACACCCTCATAGTCGTTAAAGTAATGACCTCCTAGTTTTTCTTTGAATGGCCTAAACATGTAATGGTTACATGGCGATAAATCGGGACTGTAGGGTGGTTGTTCTACAGTTTTTTCCAATGAATTTTATTCAATTCTTGAGTTAATGCATCTATGCTTGGCCCAACGAATTTGAAACATAATATGGACCACATCCAGATTTTTCCATTTCTAGAGTACAATTGACTAATTCATCTTCCAATTCACTCGGTTGATTGTTTTGGGTGTATGTTTTGGAAGCATTCAAAAAGCCCATTTTCTTTTCTCGTGCATTTTTAATTGTCTCCGCCATTGCTTTTTTTATCCCATGCTTGCCTGTTCTTGTCTATTGTTTTAGAAGCGATTCTAGAACATGAAAATTAATTTTTAGCCACTCCATATTTAAAACGTGCCACTAGTCCATATTGTGAAACTTACTCATTTTGAGATTAATATTTTTTTTCAGAAAATTGGAATATTATAGAATATTACAACTTAATAGAATTAATTGCAACATGACCTTCCTTGTGGTCTTATCCACTTTCACATAAAATAGTATTTTTTGGATTAAAAAACTTACAAAGTTCGCTAGAAAATTAGATCGCGCGTTACAGAAAACTAAAAAAGGCTGTCATAAATATAGGCGTGCATCCCGGATCATTGCAAGTGATAGATGGGTCAAGGAAGGAGTGATGCTTAGTGTGTGATGATCATTTACTCGATATAAAGCACGTTATTTTTAAAATGACGGTGGTCCAAATTATAAGACCGGTCCATATTTGGCGCACTTACTCTACTAAAAGCCAATCGGCTCTAACAAGCTAATCTGATTTACTCACCTTTATGTTACACCACTGTGCAACTTAAACTTTGCCCCATTTCCGATTGCAAAATGATCATTTCTATGAGTGGAACAAAGAAAGATTATTAAAATGACAGTTGTCAGAGTGAAAAGTTGCAATGACACAAATGTCACTCTTTCCTTTTCCTTTGTAAGTGTCTAATGGAAGTTGTCTTTATCGCACCCATGGCCTATATAACCTATGTTGCGATCAAAAATGGAGCAACCTGTATATCAAGACTTCATCTTACTCATTTCAACTAGGGAGCGTTAAAAAAGAAAATTCCGGTTCATATTTGATTCGCCTCGTATTTGATAACTTGTAGGTATTATGTCTTTTTTCCAAATTGTCTGATTAAATGATATTTGTAAATAAAGGCAGAATCTTGCATCTTTATTTCTCTATCTTGGGTAAAGGACAAGAAAACATAATTTTAAATAAATATGTATATTTCAAGGAAGAAAAATAAAACAATATTCAGATTTTCAGTGGTTCTGTTGTCCAAAATATACATCTCCTTGCGCGAATCCTTTTCCTGATCCATCCAAGACGGCAGGAATGCCGAGTATCGAAAAACGAACGGGTTCCAATTCTCCTTCTGCTGAACCTCGACCGTATAATTGCATTCCTCTCTAAAAACCATAAAAAACACAGAATAAAATGTATACTCCTACTATCCAATGAAACTAGTATTAATAGCGAATAAACTTTTTAACTCGAATATTGTATATAGTTTACTCCTAGAAATTCTGGTAAAAAATGGGTCTTACCATGTACCCATGGTGTGCCCACGAGGATGCAACGACGGCGACCAGGAAAATGAGGACGGCTGCGAACTTTTTCATGTCTTTCTCTATAGTAACCGTTTTTGATTGGATTTGGTGCATTTTATAGATCGGTTTTATCGATTTTAATTACGAGGACGCGTCGGCGGACAAAGCCGTAATTTTTGTTTTCATTATTTGGGAAGCGGAGTCGAATACAACGTGACAATTTTATAAGAAATGATAATTGCATTGTGTGTTTCGTTAAAATTTTTCTGCAAAAATTGTACAATATTTAATACTGTTAATTTTACAGCATTGTCGCAGCTAGTAAAAAATATTTCTTTACTTCATATGAACCTACGTCCTAAACGTCTTAACTTTTGAGATATAAGGTGGTAAAGTTTTAAGGAAAAAATCACTTCTTTACTGTCATTTCCATATCACTTAAAATTTTTTTATGAAATTTGGTGTACGGCGTTTATGCATTGAAGAGCATTTTTTGACCTAATAAACATTTTTTTATATCCAACAGTGGCGACCGTACTGGACTACAAATATTTTTAAGTGGTATTAAAAGTGGTCTCTACTTCCTCTTGAAATAAAAAAATATTATTGAAGGCCCCGTTCAATTTAGAACAAATTTGATTTCACAATTTTTTTCTACGTTATTTTTGGTGATAACTCAAATAGTGTTTTTGCAACACTAAAATATTCCTTGGGTTGGAATTTATGTTTTTTGGACAACATACCATCAGGGTTATTTTTGGCAATAACCCAAATTGTGTTTTTGGCAGCACTAAAATGTTCCTTTTGGTGGGAATTTGTGTTTTTTGGACCAGTATATTACAGTTATTTTGGTAATAACCCAAAAAGTGTTTTTGGCAACACTACAATATTCTAGTATTCACGTTAATTTGCATAAGGATTTGTCCTGTACCCGCCTAGCTCCTTTACTACCGCTATACAACCGCCTTCAGGAACCTTTGTTGGAGAAAGATGGAAATTTAGAAGAACAAAATGATTCGTTATTCAAAATTTAGCAGAGAGGAATTGGAAGGAACGTACATTACGATTTGCTAGACGAAACGAAAACGTTGTTAATTTTTTTAAACACTCCCTTCTTTTCCTATAGACTCTATAGGAACTATACTAGACCTTTGAGATGAACTCCAAATTTCGAAATTATTCATCTCACAAAACTAGCAGAAAGCGTAACTTGGTGGTACCAACTTTGATTAAAGCGGGATACTTTAGTGCATAAATCATCCATAAACCATTTGGTTAATTATAATTTATCATTCGGTAAATTAGTTCAATAAATTATATCCATTTTAAAACAGTAATATGTACTTTTATTTCACTATCAACAAAATTGAACAAATTAACAATGTTTTTTTTGTAAACCTACTAATCACAAGTTGCTTTGTCCCCGTTTGCCAGTACTTCTTATATTACCGCCTAATTACTATCAAAATATCATCATCATACTACATGGCTCGTCGACGTCTTTCTTGAATAACCTAACGTTAAACATACACACCCGCATGTGGACTTCTTCTTTCATATTGCACATTTACATCACTGTCCAGACTAATATAGCTCATCAGGATTAAACTATCACACTAGCTCAACGATTCGCTATAATTTTTTTACAGCAAACTATAACTATTCCTATTCATAGAATAATTTTTGAAACGCTACTACGTTAGTATCACAGAGGTATAGAGTGACAAAACAATGGTAAGAATATTAAATAATAGTCTAGGAACAAAATCATTTGATTGAACCATGCTCTATGCAGGCGTCATTCGTGAGGGTTGATATTGTTATTAGCTTCGTTCGGAATGGATAGGCATTTTTTTATCAATTTTATCAGTTCTAGGTATAGAAAGCAGTCTCGACCGGCCGGTTTGCATATTTCCCGATGGTCCAAAGGTACGTCGCATTTTATGCCAATATCTGGATCTGAAAATAATTTTAAAAAATTGATTGTAATAAACTAACATAATTTTTAGACAATAATTTGTGGATGTAAACAGCAGTAAAGTTCGTACGTTTTTAAATGACAATAACGTCACGAGCCAGCTTATTGCAAAGTTGCCGGGTTGTAATTGAAATTCCTTATATGAGAGATACATTTAATTTAAGATTATACGAATTCGCGAGTATTAATTTAACTGAATATTATAATACAAACGCACGAAAATCACATCAAAAACTCCAGAACCACTTAGAACTTTCTTCAATCACTTAGACCCCTCCAGTATCATTAAAACTGCCTGGAATCATTTAGACCGCTCCAGAATCATTTAGAACTGTCTAGAACCGTTTAGAACGCTCTAGAACTGTTTAAAACTGTCTACAATCATTTAGAATTGTGACAATCATTTAGAAAGTTCAATTAACATTGGCACTAGGGAAATTTTGAACTGCGTGTAAATTTCTAAAAATGAAGTCATTGTCATTTTAAACCGTACAAACTTTAGCTGAAACCATCAAGGTAATAGGAACAATTGGGTTTTTATCAATTGTCACATCTTGCGTTCCCTGCTATATCTGTCGATCTGTAGAAACTTTACTAACCTGCAGATTGATATGCTACAATTTTCAAATAAATAAACACCATGTAAGTAAACGATGTTTCTATGAAACTGAAGATTTCTATGTTAGATTTTTCTTTATTGATTATTTCCAGAAATCTCCTGTGTAATTCCAAAACAAAACTGCCGTCTGTAATTAAAAATGCATTTGTAAGTTAAAACAATGATTTGAACAACTGCTGATGGTTATGAAAATGATGACAAGTACTAAATGTAATGTTGAACAATTATTCATCAAATAGAAACAATAATTGTCTAAATTACGTAAAAATTAGCACGCAATCTAATTGCTAACAATTAATAAATTGTCGGACAATTAAGCATGCTATACATAGAAAAAAATCTATAGCATTAATTAAAACTTAAATAATTGATAAATTGGTACCCAAAGCAATTGATTAAAAAAATTAAAAATACTTCAAACGTTTGTGAATCCTTGAATTCTATTATATTACAAAAATAAGTAAGTACGATTATTGATTAATTCAATTATCGACTAAAACGTTTAATGTTTCGACTATAAAATTATTTTCTATCAAAAATAAACATTTCTAGGTACACCGGAAACGAAACGAGACCATTATTGATCGCCTTGAAAACGTAGATAGTTATTTATTATCTACAATTACGCTTACTTCTTTGAACTTCCAACAATTCGATGCTCCTTCTCAACAAAGGTAGAGTGAAATCGGCCAGAGATGAGCCTTTATGCGGAACGCTGTACCACATAATTGCTTTGGTTTGATTGAAAATTCTTGCGACCTCCTCTTTCCTCTCGGCATTTTCGAACACTAAAAATATCGAGATTATGTCGTTATCGAGTCAAACGTTAATAATCTGATGAAAATAATCTCTACCGTTTATTAAAATCTGTTTAATATAGAGGCCACCTTTAGAATGACCTACCCATATGATAGGCCTGCCACCCACGTTTAATTTCATTAGTTCGTTAATCATTTCGTTGCTTCTGTCTACCAGGTTTGTCCTAAAATAATCAGATTTTAAGCTAAAATAAAAAGCGTAAATGTTTAAAATCGTAACCTTCTTCGTTGCTTCGTCCACGTAAGAGTCCACAGAACATCCGTAGTGTAATTTACAGCGATAATTCTAGCATCAGGGCAGTCTTTGGGTAACCAATCTTTAGGCCAACATTCGCTGAAATCCTTGCCAATCATCTCAATATCCGTGCATTCGCCTTTGTTTTCTCTCAAATGCACTTTATTCGGTATTTTGGAATAAACATCCAACCAGGTTTTAATCTGGTGTCCATTAGTAGGCACATAAAAATCGTTGGCTGTAGACCGCCTTCTAACCGGAGTTTGATTAACAAGTTTGTGCCTCCTCGTCCTCCATGTACCTGTTTTTAACAACCAGATTACACACACTCAAAAATGTTTTGCATATTACATATGAAGTTGAAATGCCACTGGCTATTTATTATTTGAAATGTCTTTTGTTAAATTGTTTTTATCATATTATGATTTCTCATGCATTGAAACACCTGTCTTCAAATTTTCACTTCTGTACATCCAAAATCTTTCAAACTGCTGCGAAAAATCATTTTTTTGATTTCAACTTTGACACTCTGTATCTTTTTTATTTTCAATATTTTACCAAAGCAAGTTGGGTCAGATCGTAATATTTTGAGGCCCAGAATCTTCCCAGAATATTCACTTTTGGACCATTACTTATGGACCACCCTGTATACACTTTCAAAAATGTTTTGCATAAAAGAATAAACATTTAATATAATGAATTATTTGTAAAATTACTCATTAAAATTAGTTTCCAAAAGGCATAAACATCATTTAAAATTAACAAAAACAATTTACCAAAAGACATTTTAAATAATAAATGAGCAGTACCATTTCAACTATATAATATGCAAAACATTTTTGATTGTGTGTAGTTCAAAAGAAAGAACCACCACTTCACCACCACCGCTTCAAAACGAACAAAAATTTAACCCTCATCTTCCACGTTTTTACACCACATACTATTAAAGAGTAAAGGTAGAGAGTAACATGAAGGTTTGAGTGAGCGTACCTTGCTTCCAGGTCTTGTCCAACCCCCCGTGCAATCCGTGGATAAACACCACATCGACGGCGATTTGCTCGGGCTCGTGCAGCACCACGCACTCCACGGACCTCTCGGTTTCGACATCGGCCGTTGCGTCATCGGAGATAACGGCTCTTTCGCAACCGTCGTGGTCCTTCGTTATCCTTAGGGTCACCGGCAGGGATAGGTTTTGGACGGAGGCCAGCGAGTTCGATAGGGTGTTGGCTATGAAAGCTACCAAAGTGGGGAACAGTTGGTGCCTGACGTTCTGGTAAGTCGCGTGGGGATTGCGGAATATCATGCAGCACATCGAAGAAATCGGCGGGAATATCGATTTTAGTAATATGTCTATAGCTACCCATAATTTACTGAAAAAAGTCGGGTTTTTTTATGTAAAATTGGCGGTTTAAATTAGTTCTTACCTAGCTGATATGACTAAACAGGAGATTTTTGATGCGAATTGAACGTTGACTTCTGGGTAGAGTATGCTTTGATCGCACATTATGTCTTCGACTTCCATTTTATCCATTTTAACTGAAACAAATACGAATTTAATGGTAGTTTGTTTCGTTTTTGAGAGGATACCTACAAAAATACAAACAAAAATTTCATCTGAAGATATTTATGCAAATAGGATGGCAGGTTGTTGCACTTTGTGTTATGACAAATTCGGAAAAACTATCTTAGCCATTCGGGTGATAACTGAATAATTTTGAAGGAAACCAACCGTATTAAAGACTAAACAACGAAAAATAATGTCAATTCTTAAACATGTTTTATATGTGATCGGATATCTATAAAAATACGTAATTTTTATTTGCAGATTATCGTTGTAGAGTCAAAAGGTTGGTTCGATTTGCGAGGATATGTCTGTATAGTAATCGAATTAAATTTGTATTTCGGTGATATAATGGAATTGTTAAATACGCCGTAGTTTATGATAAAAATTTTGTAACAATACGAAGACAAATGCGTAGATAACACAGAACAATTCATTAATACACTGATTAGGTATTTTGCAACACGTAAAAAGTAAACATATCTATGTAGTAATAGGTAATTTAATCTTATTTTTTTGGTGCAATAAAATTCTTTTGATTCCTGTAGTTAATATAACAGTAGGATGCACATAATACAAATATTTAATTACCAAAGTAATATTATTAATATTGATAATAGAATTTGATAATTTATTAATGTAAAAAGGCATTTTGCAAATTATTTATAATATAATAATAATTAATAAGTTTTTAAATATTTTTTATCAGAAAAATACATCCGTATTATGCCTTTGAACTTTTTTCCTTGAACCCTTTTACTATAGTTATACGAGATTTACAATACAGGATGTCCCGCATATAAACCAACACAGATCAGGGACTTGGGAGCCTAAAATACAGGGTATCCTAATGAAAAGTAGCGCATTTAATCAACTTATAACTTCTAAACGTCCAATCATAAAAACATGCGGTTTTCGCAAATGTGTTTTATTATAAGTTTTGGTACAGTGTCACAGAAATTATGTATTATCACTATTATCAGTACAGGGTTTTATCAAAATCTCCTCTGTTAAATTCACAGTAACCACATTTTATTAAATGGAACACCCGGTGTTTGTAGAGGTACTAAAATATGTTCTTCTACTCTTCAAAAATGGATTATTTGTACATGTTATTCTATAAAAGAAGTGTCCTATTTGATAAAATTTGGTTAATGTGAATTAAAAAAAAGATTTTGATAAAACACCCTGTACAGGTGAGATAAAATTTCTGTCTCACTGTAATAAAAGTTAAGGTAGACTGGGGCAAATCGGTTGTAAAATTTGAATAGTTCAAATTAAATCCTAAAATGTGGCTTTATTTTTTCTCTTATTAGAAATGCTGATACCACATTAAATTCACAACTTCCAAAGCTACAGAATCGAGGCATTAAAAAGTTTTTTGAAAAAGGAAGAAAACCATTTTACATATTTTTTAAAATGTTGACAATATGTTACATTTACCCCATGGTACGGGGTAAATGTAACAAACAGTTCTAAAGTGCAATATAATTATATAGAAAAACATATGAGAGCAATTGTAAATACATATTTGATTCCTTTAAAATTTGATATGCTGTTTATTTATTTATTTCAAAAAATAACAGAGCTACAAAATAATAAAGAAAAAATGAGAAACAAACCCTGTCTAATGTACAAAAGAACTATAAAAATAATAATAAACATTAACATAATAGGTAAAAATATTACATTTACCCCAGTCTACCTTATAGCAAAATAAAACTATCTCCGAAAACCGCTTGTTTGTATGAGGCGTTTAAATATTATAAGCTGATTAAACGGGCTGTATTGGGACACCCTGCATACTGTTAAATCTAACTTTAACATAACACAGCCAACTAATAAATTCTTATTGGCTATTAGTAACATTAATAGTGTACACATGACGACTCTATTATTTAGCGTTTTCATCAAAACAACAAATAATAAAAAAAAATCAAGGTATTAAAAACTTTCAATAAAGTTTCCTATGAAATGAACTAATAATTTTTAAAATCATCCATCAAGTATAACAATTCTGTAATCCATTTCAACTTTTAATCCATTAGCCGATTATAAAGAAATATCTTGTTTTTGTAGAATAATTTTACTATTCAAAGTTTTCAAGTTCATTATTAGAATAATGTCTTAAAGTATTAATATTTGTCCCACTTATTTTATCATATTTTGACTACATACAAATTACCTAAACAATTAATTTGTACGAAAAAATATTCTATTCCAAAAACGGTTACACAAAATGATCAATAATTAATCAGTTATTCATCGCCTATCTCCCTATAATAATTGATACATTCATAAAAATTTAAGCAATGTACATACCTTACTATTATCTTATAATTAGTTACAAATAAATCATAAAGATAAGATCATAGAGATAAGAAATTACATTCTTTCATCGTCCGCGTCATGTAAAACTTCCCACGCTGATGTTGATACTTGATAGAGCTAAATTCGCCTTATTACAAAGTTAAATGGCTTAATTTCGAGTGATTGTCAGCGTACAAAAGGCTCTGCATGGCTTACCTTAAACGATGACAACATGCTAATTGCGCGCCAAATCTGCCTCCCTATTTATTGCGCCACATTACGAAAAACCTCCAAAACTTTTTCAGCGTTTTTACGCGAAAATTGCGCACCGATAACACACTTATACCGCGAACACTAGGATGAGAATTGTTTGTATATCGAGAGTGACCTCGCTTTCGATTTAATATCCACAATTCGTTTCGTCGGGGATAAACTGGCCAGAATCGGCGCAGTATTCTGTCACAAAAAATTAATACCCGGTGTGTAAATTAACACAAAAACTCAGAGAATTTTATTGCACACTTCCGTGAAATTCTATGGAGTTAGTAAGCTCGTTATCATTCGGTTGTGTTTATGTAAAGCGGGCACCTTCATCGATTTTGTGATAGGCGAACTGGGAACATCTATTTATAAAAACTGCGATTGATTTAGCGCGCGTTTAAAAATGAATGAAGCCATTTACGTGCTAAGGTGTTCCTCGTGCTTGGCTCGAATTTACATAAACGTGTCTTATCTATTCAAATTAAAACGGCCCGAAGCCTTAGAAATTAGATCGATTTCGTATTAAATAATTATTTCTTTAAATATTCTGCAAACGAGAAATAAAGCGTACGAGTTAATTTAATAATTGTAATTGGAGGTATATCAACAAAGTAATTCAATGTTTGATTATAAAAGTTAACAGTTTATACACTTAAAAAAACTGAAATAATTGACTAAATCTAAAACAGGGAATAATGTGTATGTACAAAAAATTCATTTGGTATATCTAAATTTATATAATATTTTATATATAATAAAATCACAGACACTAATGTAAATGTAGCTTATATACATTTCTAAAAATAACACTTATCTTTGTTACAAGAGAAACAGAAATTACTTAGAGCTTAAAGACATTTTCAGTTAACCTAGGCGAGAATTAAAAAAAAAATCAATAACAAGCAAGATAAAAACGACGATTTCCAAGAGCTTAGGCTAGAGACCTAAATAGTCTAAAAATGTTATCTAACGAAATTAATTTAAATTCTCTTAAAATTCGGGAATTTATTGTTCGAAATATAACATTGTCAATAGTAATTTATCAATCATATATCCATAATTTCGTCTTAGAGCCCAGTGGACATAAATTTGAAAAGAAATGGTTAGATTTTTTTCGGTTTTTGGATATGTTTTGTGTCCCAAATTGGCATGTTGTTTTATATTTATAATATTACAAAAGAGGATATAGTAAAAATAGAATTTTTAACAACCTTTTACAACTGGGCTATTTTAGGTTTTTTTGTAACTTTAGCATCGTACAGTAGGTTATTTTGAGAGAAGAATCCCTCTTATCCCTACTTCCAAATTTCACCTTCAATAAAAAAAAAAACATTTGCGCATTTTAGGTCTGCAGATTTCACAGCTTTAGTAGAATAATTATTCATCGCTTTACGAGAATGAAAAAAGAGCTATAAAAACAACAAAAAATTTAGGGAATAGGACAAATACAGGCGAACCTATCTGGACATATTTGAGTACTTTAATTTCGAAAACTTCATTCACTAATAAAATAATATTTTGGCAATTAGAGCGTTTTCACACGGTTCAATATATTGAAATATACAAGAGTTAATAAAAATTATCGTATCGCATACGTGTGAAAACTACGCATTTGAACACATGTATTTTAAGTGCAATGCAATAAATTGCTGCAATATATTGCACCGTGTGAGAACACTCTAATAGCCAAAATATTGAAATGGCATTTTCTTAATACTCAAATATGTCCAGCGATGCATCAGTATTTGTTCTACTGCCGATATTCTTTGTTGTTTTTATAGCTTTCTTTCATTCCCACAAACCGATGAATTCTACTTTACATATTTCATATAATTTAACTGCACTCCCACAAAACATAATCCTGCAACTGCCGTGAAATATCTCCGAACGAAAGTAACAGCACAAACTACGTACGTATTTTGAATTCGAAAACGAAGCGGATCCTCTCTACCTTTAAGGTTTCTTTATTTTATTGTTATCTTGCATCGAGTGATACGGATAGGAGAGCCTGCCGTGCGCCATCAATTCGGCGTACAATTTCAATTGCTCCGCAGTGGGTACCGGCAGAACGGGCGCGCTATTCAAATTGTTATTCGAATACAAATTCTGCATGGCGGCGGTGTAATACATGGCGGGATCTATCATGGGGAAGTAGGGCACGCCCTTGGCGGCCTGCTCGTAGAGCTGCGTCAAATAGGGCGGGTAAGCGGGAGCCGGTGGGTGCTTCGCGTTGGGCTGCTGGTAGTTTCTACTGCTGGCCGGTTTGGGCGCGTCGGGGTGCATCTGCCTGTGCTGCGGCTGCGACCCGTTGGGTTTGTACCTGCCGTTTTCGTCCGCTCTCGTCGGCTTCGGGGGCACGTAGTAATCGGCGGGGTATCGCTTCTGCGCGGGAGCGTGGCTGTGAGACGACGACGACGACGGCTGGTGGTACATCTTGTGCGCGTTCGGGTAGGTTTTGTTGGGACCGACGAGCGTTATCTCCAAGTTGGGACCCAATCGACGGTTGTCCATGACCGGGGTAGTTTTGTAGAGGTTCTTCGTGACGCTGTCGCGGTTCGTCGACGACGATTGGGGCATTCGCATGATCTCGATGACGGGTTTCTGGGGGCTGTTGACCGATAGATCGACCGGATCGCCGCCGGTAGGTTGCCTGGGCGGCGCGTCCGCGAATTTGGGCGCGTGCACCATAGGCGATAGGATGTCCTTGGGGTTGCCGTAGACGGTTTTCTCCGAATAGGAGTAGATGGATCGCGACTGGACGACTTTGGGCGGCGTGGCGCCGTTGACGAACTGGAAGGACGTCGGGGATTTCTTCGTCGGCGTCGTCGGGGCTTGGGGCGTCGCGACGTGCGTCCGTTTCATGGGCGCCGCGCTCGCTGGCGGCGGCATCGATTGGGGCGCCGATTGAGCGGGGTGCACCGGTTGGATGACCGACGGGCGGCCGTCTCGGCTCGGAGCCGATCGGACGGGGGTGACTTCGAGACCGCCCTCCTTCAGAATGTCCAGTTTTCTCTTCTTCATTTCGTGCATGAAGTTGTTTCTGTACGATTCGACTTCGACGTTTATGGTTTCTATGGGTTTCGGTCGGTACGGCGGCTCGACCACTTCGGCGGGTTTGATTAGGGGGATGTTTTCTTTTCCTTCCACCGGCGACATGACCTCGCTCATGGGAACTTTAACGGCTACCGGGGTAGCGGCGGAAGTGACGGGTTCGGATTTAACGGGAACCACTTCGACTTTCATTTCTTTGCTGTCTTGTTCGTTTTTTACAGGCACCGGCGCGTTTTCGACTTTTACAACGCCTTCAGCTTCCTCTTTTACAGTTGAGCTTTCCGTTTTTAAATTCGTCTCTATTTTAAGGGAAATCGTAACGGGTATGTTTTTACTTTCGTATTTGATTTCCGTGTTTTTCTTATCGTCGTTTTCGTTATTCACCGATTCGTATTCTATTTTGACGGGATGAGTAGGCGATATTAACGTAGATAGTTCCGTTTTAACGGTCATACTTTCGGTTTTGATTACTAGCTTTTCTACGGTGGACTTGAAATCGCCGGCATCTTCCGCTTTAACCGGCGAATGCCAATTTTCATTGTTGTTGTTATTGTTTGAGGTGCTCTCTTTTTCGCTTTGAAGCTGCTTGTCTTTTTGTCTATCTGTTTTCACTCGAACGCTTCGCAATGATGACGGTTTGCCTTCGGGTTTAACGTTGTCCTAAGAAAATTAAAAAAAAATTAGTAAGTAAACAGGTGTAGAATTAAGTACTATTTTCTCAACTACAAGTGAGATTGTAAGATGGTAATCGGACCTATCGCTAACATTGAATTTTTGCTTTTTTTCTAGTACACCCCTTCACTCGTATACAGGGTGTCTCATAAGTTGATACTTTATTTTTTAACTGCGTATAGATCTTTTAATTCTAAGCAACTTTTTCAACAATTTTTTTCAATATTCTGAAAAGTAAAAAAGCTGGAAATTTTTAAAATTTCTTAAAATTTAGAATATTTTCCAATACGTACCTGCCATTACCATACAGGTGTCAAAAATATCAAATCATATGGTCAAAATTATTAATTAATGACAAAAAATTAAGTTTTCGATTGTTGAATTGAAAATGGCTCATTTTTATAGAAATAATGAATTGGTGTATACTATGCTGATTATTTATAGAGTGTTTCCAAAGCGTTTCCAATCAAAATGGCGACAATTTTGAGCAGTTCTTTTAACTTTTAATGAACAAGGCCGTATTAACTAATTTTTTAATAAATAAAAATTAAAAAAAACATGCTCTTATTTTCCAGAATATTAAAAAATTTTACTTGAAAAAGTTGTTAGGAATTAAAAGATCTATACGCAGTTAAAAAAAGTATCAACTTATGAGACACCCTGTAGATAGTAAAGGAGAGAGTTCGGGTAAGTGATAGATCTTCCGACTATTGTACAATCCCTATTTAAGTTGCTTTAGTTAAATATTATCTTCTTAACTACAAATTGGACACTAAATAAGATTGTAGGATGGTCGGCGACCTATCTTGTTCCTTTTCTAGAATACCCCTTCACTTCGTACAGATAGTATAGGAGCGAGAGTTAGGGGTGAGCGATAGGACCGACGACTATTATACAACCACTATTCGAGTTGTTCTAGCTCCAATTTAGAGTTAATAAGGTGCGTATTTCAGTTTAGTTGTATTTTCTTACTTTATTCTCAGTTAGAAGACCGGGAACGGAGGTCTTCCTAGAGGTTGAGGGAACAGTTGTACTGTCATTACTTGATTCGGGATCACTAACGCTCGAGCTGCCGCGTTTGTATTTCAATCTTCTTCTCTCTGACGCCGGCAGTGGTTTGTATTCTTCACCTCGTACGTGGCGCTCATACGGCAATAAAAATCTGCAATTAAAAATTGGATGTAAAAAAGAAATTATCAATAAACCTAATAGTATATTTTTAATGTGCATTGAAGAATTTTAGTAGATTCGCTAGGATTTTGAATAGAAGATGGTGAAAATAAGGAGTTTATTACAAAATTACATCGATTAAGTGGATATTGCATTTTAAAACATACTAAATAATTAGAAAAAGCTGTGTTAAGGCATTTTCGCAAAACATTCGATTGACTTTGGAAAGGTTACCGATAATGATGGATTACTTAATGGGAAATTTAGAAGTTATCTGAATAACATAATATCAAATGCAGTGTATAATTCAATGCAGGAATTCCCTTAATTAATATGGGTAATTTGGAAGACAAGATTAATAAACACGTTAATAAATAATTAATTAATAAATAACGTGCGAAATTAAAACACGTGTAAAGTAAATTAAAAGCGGTAATCGATATCAATTGGAAAACCATTTAGTATTCGTACCTTTCGTAGTGTCTTCTAATAACCGTGGCAGCGCTGGTACTATTTTGATGACCGCTCATTTCGTCGAAAATCGATTTCCACAACCGATTAGTACTGACGGCCTCGTATCCGCCCAGTTTTTGTACTCTCGTAAAAAATTCGTAAAGATTCACTGAAAAACAATAACGGGACATATTTTAGGTACGGTTTATTTAATTTCGTCGCTTCGATGCGAATAGTATGTGGATTAAAAATTTACATGTCTCGAATGGAACAGCGCGCAGTCACCGACATTGGCGACATACCAGGCGAATTTTTCCTTTTTTTTAAGTTTAAATAACAAAATTGCTTCAAGAAAAATTCCTTGCCTACAGGGTGTTAATTAATTGAGTGCCGATACTTCAGGATGTGAACATTTGGGTGATTTTAAAAAGAAAAGTTTATATCAATCTATGTCCTAAATCTTTTAGTTTTTGGAGCTACAGGTTGTTACAATTTTAGAAAAAAATAACTTTTCTATCATAATTTTCTTATTATTCCAGATATCTTTTATGAAATTTTACCAAACTTTTTAATTATTAAGGAGCAATTTTTGAGACAAAAGATTTTTTTTAATTTACCAGTTACTGCGTACGGGGTTTGAACTGAATATGTTTGAAGAAAACATGGTACGCCACTGTTTTTTCTAAAAACCAAAATTATTTTTAAAATCCTCATTTATTTTGTAGTAAAATCGGTCAGAAGACTTTCTTTCGTACGACGCACCATTTTCGCGTAAAAAATAAAAACCAAAACAATTTTTCCCAAGTTCATTTAGACTGCTTTTGATATTTTGTTGAAATTTGGTAGGCGCCCATCATGCAAGGAAACACTTTTTTTTGGGACAAAAATTAATTTTCTACTATTACCAGAGACTTCCACGTCTAAAAGTTCATAAAAATATCTGGAGTAATAAGAAAATTAGGATTATGAAAAGTTTTTTCTAAAACTGTAACAGCCAGTAGCTCGAAAACTAAGAGGTTTAGGACATATATTGATATAAACTTTTCTTCTTAAAATCATCCAAATATTCCCATACTGAAGTATCAGCACTGAATTATTTAACACCCTGTACATACAAATATTCTAATTCACATCGAGCGACGAAAAAGAAAAACTACTCATCGCACTACTCACGTTCTTTGTATCCTAACGATGGAATCCTTCCGATCGGCGTGAGGTTCGATTTCATGAAAGCGCCCAGTTTCTTTATGAACTCTTTATTTTCGTTATTTTCATGGCATCTCGTACTGCGTCGAGGAAGACCCGTCGAATTCAATTCAATACTATTCCTACATTCCGCCTGCAAAATTTTCCATATGTATTAGTTTAAAACACTCACACATTCCTACCGTTCCAATATACAATTGAAACCATAAAATAATGTATTTTATATACAAAGTGTTAGTTTATAACGGGCATAGTTCATAGGGAGCCTAAAATTTTGAAGGCTGTTGAATTCTCAGGAATGCAGCTTTGTATAAAGCTAATCTAGGCTCCCCTACATACTTCTGTTCCAAATGGAGATTCTTATACATCTTATGCATAAAAATACACCAATATTAAGGCTATTTACCACTAACAATAGTAATAGGTACAACCTATCGCTCAGCTAGAATTCTCGTTCCTTTAACTACCGATATAAGATGAGAGTTGTACTAGGAAAAGAGCGAGAATTCAAGGTAAGCGATAGGTCCGCCGCCCATCATACAGTATTATTAATACCTTAATTGAGGTACTAACGGAAGATTCAGACTCATTGCTCTCGGATCCCGGCGACAGGCTGCGTTTTTTCCGCTTGCCCCTCGGTCGGCCCTTCAGCTTGGGCGCCAGGTGGTTGCAGAGCAGCTCGTGCCCCTCCAGCTCGGGATAGTCGAAGGTGTCGCGGCAGAAGAGCACCCTGGTGTTGGGATGGGCGACGTAGAAGCCGCCCAGGGCGTTTACGATTTTGTATTTCAGGTAGACGTCTTCGACGCCGTCGAGGCGCTTCATCATCGCCCTGAATCGGCAGTACTTCGGGAAGCTTAAAATCACTACGTGGGGATCATCGGAGGTCGTGGAATTTTCTGCAAACGAGAAATATAAATGTGTTATTTGTGGATCTGGATAAGTGCAGATTTGTTTGTAATATGGTCAATTCTGTGAGTTGAACAACGGAAGATTATTAAAATTACAGTGGTTATAGCGAGAAAGTTGAAATCACACAATATCATTTCTTTTTTCTTTGTATGAGACTAATGGAAATTGTCTTTGTTACACCCACATTGCGTACAAATTTGGATTTATGTGTATGTATTTTGATGAATGATTCAGAATTGTAATTTTTTTAGTTTTTTTTGTATTCGACAGGTGGCTTCAACTTTACGAGTTACAGCTCTTTGAAATTCAAACCTAAAAATATCAGCTCTAAATAATTCAGATTTAGAAGTTTCACAGACATTTTAGTACTCTTTTAAGGGTCAATTGCACACTACATTTTTACTGGCGCTGTTAAATATATTTCAGATGAAAAAGGAATTTGATGATTAATTATAGTGAGCTCCTTAATACTTCCGCCGTTTAGAAAAGTGAAACAGGTACCTCTAATTTTCAAATTGTTCTTGCCATTTTGCCATTTGACAATTTTAGAAATTCTTAGATTATGTTAATTCTATAAAAGTTCTATAAAAGTCAGCACTGCCTACTTGTGACGTAGTAAATCATAGATGAGTGCATTAAAATTTGTTTTGCGCCAACTGCATATTGCAAACTAAATTAAATCAACATGTATGTATATTTTTAAAATGATTCAGAATTGTATTTTCATATTTGATAGGTGGCCTCAACTTTACGAGTTACAGCCCTCTAAATTTCAAAACTAAAAATTCACTTTTTTATCTTCAGAATCAAATACCAGATTTTTTTGCTTAGAGCACCTTGTAAACACTGTTACAATTCTTAAAATTCCTTTAAAGAGAATTTAAACAACAGTGTAGGTACTATTAAATTGGATTTTTTTATCAGCATGTTTCCTAAGTTTTCAATAAAACTTTTGTAATACTGATTATGCCGTAAAATATTAAAAAACGATCTAATTTTTTTATATAAACGTAAACCTCATTGACCTAAATAAAACTGTATTATACAAATATGAAGTTTTAATAATCACGTGAGGAACAAATAAAACAACTCAATCAACAAAACAAATGTTTGAACATGCGTTGATCACCAATCGGCATTGTTTGCTGTCAATAGATAAAAAAAAACGTATAAAATGCATGGAATAATTACATCAATGGTTTAGTTTTGTTTTTTTGTTTTTAACATTACTGTATTATTTATAAGAATTATTAATCATTGTGTTTGTGATATAATTTTTAGGAGGTGAATTCATTAACATTAATACACATTCTAATTCATAAATATGAACATTAAATTTACTGATAGGGCATACTTAAAATAATATTTGAATTTGTGATTATTCGACGACATTAATTGCTGTTAAAATCAAAAATTAGTTCGTTTTTAACATAATTTCAAGAATTCTCTTTCTATTTACAATCGTGTTGCTGTTGTGCAAGAAGTAATTAACGAACGAAAAAATCGCGTTAGGTAAATATTTTGCAAATTTTCAGAATGAATTACCTACTTACAACTTTATTGTCCTCTTATCAATAACGAGGTTAATACTGGTTTTATTCGTATGTGACACGCTTATGTTTTTCTCGAGAAATGCGATAATACATATTCCTAAAATATGCTGGTAAACCCACATAACGATAAATAAAACAGCAAATAAACCGCCTTCACGGCTTTGTTTGTCGAATAATTGCACGGAAAAATATATAAAGAAAATCGCTTCAATTTTTCTCTTAATTTCCAGAAGTCATCGCGTGAGCTAATACAATCCGTTATGGACAGAAACATGTTTATCGTTTGCTTGGTAATAGTTGTAGCGGCTATTGTTGTTGATGTTGGGCAATGCTCATCCCTAGCAGGGATAAGTAAGTTCCCTGCGGCAGAAGCGAATAAAATCGATGACAATAACAAACAATGCGTTTGCATGAATTGGAGATATTGCGAGGGAACTATTAATTCAGAGTAAGTAGTTTAATATAGATAATTATTTTATTAAATTATACAGGGTGTATCTAAATAACACCGAAAAAATTTAACGGGTGATTCTGTGATGAAAATTAAGGGTGGTACTTGGTATAAAATTTTTTGAAACAAATTTTTTTATTTTTTGGTTAGCATTTATTTTTTTTCTCCTAAATGCTAAAGTTTTGGAAAAAACTTGTAGAGTTAAAAAAGTTAGTAATATTAAAAAAAAATCATTTAAAACAAAGTTGTAAGAAAAAATATCTTAGGGGTTGACTATTTCAACCCTTTCTAAACATACTTTAGAGTTGAAAAAAATTCAAAATGTGTTGTTACATTAACAAATAATATTCCCAAAGTTTCGTCTCTTTAGCTAAATATGCAGGGAAAATAAAGAAGAAAGACCATTTTTTTTTCAATCGTCGGAGGGATATAACTTTTCCGGGGAGGGTTATTCAAAACATTGTCGGTATTTTCATCACAGAATCACCCCTTACATTTTTTGGTGTTATTTAGGTACACCCTGTATAACTAATAGCAGATCAATAGTTGGCGTTGCTTTTGTGCCGTAAAGCAGTTCTTTTTGTATCTACGATACTGAATTTTTAATTAAGTTAATTTTGAAGATCCCTTTTTAATTAAGAAACGAACTTGTAATAAGTTCTAAATATGATATAGTAGGTACCTATGGTTTTAATTATGTTATGATATTTGTTTCAGTGTTCAATGCCCATCCAGTTACTTTCAAGTTTGCTGTGTTAAGCCGAATCCGCCATCAAATCCGCATATTTACGACTACTACAAAGAAAATCCAGACAGGAAAGTAATGTTAGTGTAAATATTCCTTTTTACGATTTGTTATTTATGTGTTAAGATTTTTAATGTTAATTAATGTTCCTAATGAAGTTTCTCTAATAATACAACAATTCCTAATTGAATCTTTTTTTTATTACGCAAAACTAATTATCAACTCTTTTAATAGTTTGTAAAGAACAAAAAAAAATATCGAAAATCGTTCTCTTACTCACGTGTTTCTTAATTTATTTATATTTTTCATAAACAATCTTCGATAATATAAGTTTTTTTCTTATTAATTCAAACATCGTTTTATTGCATGTACTCGTACTCGATACGAATGGTTTTATTACAATGTTAGCTTTCCGTGTAACATAATATAAAGAAGCTAATGTATTTTTGATGGCTGAAACCGACTCGAATCTAGCTCAAAATAAACACGCCACAAACGTAAAATACTTAAATTCCGACAAAAAAACTTAATTTATTCCTTAAAATGCAATAATTTCCGATTTTAAAAGCACAAGCCGAACCTAATTATTTATATCGCAATTAAAACAATAGAACTTTATTCTTTTATGTCCACTTTATTAATATTTTATGGGAATAAATTTATAGGATACCCCAAATGAATAATAATTAATTTCAGATATTTAATTACTATTCGTTTACAGTATGGATTTAAAAAATTTACATTAGGTATCTACTAGGATATCGCATATTTTAGGCAACTATTTTTTATTACAAACAATTAAAAATTTTATGTGCCTATTTTGAATTGAAAATCAAAAGAAGGTCAAGAAAGAAAGTATATTTTTTCTCTCTGTTTAACTTGAAACATACAGGATGAGCTGACACGTACTATTAATTCAAGGAATTGGCCGTATCGGGCAGTTTAAACAAACTCCTGCGTTCATCCAGCAAACAGGTGCTCAGGAAATGATGGTCATATCTGCATATGTACATTTTAATTCGTGGATTCGCTGAATCAATGAGTGTTCGAAAATTCTACATTTTTACAATACTGTTTTATTTTGGTACACAGTGTCGGTAATTTAATTAAAGATTAATTACTTTTATAAGTATAGTATATTATCGTGCAGTTTATAGCCGTTTAATGGTCGAATTTTATAGGAATGTAAGATATAAATATAAACAACGAAAGTCCGTTTAAATGAATTATAAAATATGAAATTAGCATTTGGTTGTATACTTTTAAGTTTAATAAGTTTTATTAGCAGCATTTTTGGATATAGACAACATGATAGAAAAACGCACCAGGATGTTCAAACAGGACATGAAAGACATCGGCCCTCAAATAGACCTGTAAGTAAATATTTTCGAAAAAAAACACTCAATAATTTAACTTTTAATCAATTCAAAATTAAACGACACACATAAAAATGAACGAACTATTAATTTATAGGAAAATCTTCGATATTGGAAAAAGTCAGATTACGATTTGAAGAAATCTTCCACTAATAATTTGGGAACGTTTAATTTACAATTCAAAAATAAATATTCAGGTGAAATCGACATAGAAAAGAAGGTAGGTGCGGATATAAGAAATATGAATTAAGTTAAATCAACATTAAATAATTTAAGTACCTATAATACTGATGCATTTCTATAACTATACAGTCAATACCGTACGCATTTTTATCCGAAATGTGCACATAATTATAATTAATTATGTGCACAATTAGGGCACATTTTGTAAAGAAATTTAAAGAAGGTTAATTATTTTTGCAGAAGCCTAACAGAAATACATACGGAAGCATACATCGAATAAAAAACCCAAAATTACGGAACATTTTCTAAGGATCTTCAAATCAAAAAAATATATCTAATCTATAGAGAGTACCCCAACATTTTGTCAAAGAACGGTATTAAACTCTTTTGATATAGGTACGTAACTACTCGCATAGTTGCAAAAACCATAAACAAAAGTAGAATTATTAAACCTATTTTCAATTATTCTCGGTGTGTTATTTTCCTTTTAACAACTATTTTAAATTCTAATTAACAGGTAATGCTTGACAACATCCACATAAAACTGCCCGTATTCAAATGAGTGTTAACAACAGTAAAAACGCAATGTTAAAATTCCGCCTAATCTGGTCGCTTCGGGAAATCGTAAACGAATTGAATTACATTTGTTCGCTTTTTTTACTTATTCCAAAAGTAGTTTTAATTGCACCTACCTAATTAACTAGAATTTATTACAAACGCTGGAAACGTGGGCAATGAAAGGAGCAAACTTAATTAAAGTCTTGTCAAAAAGTAACCGAGCAAGTTGTAATTTCTGACTTATTTTCCTTTTATTGCTTAAATAGCCTAGTAAATAGTAGATTCCAGTGAACTACGTACAAAAATATATTTAATTTGTTAAAACAAATACATTTATTTATAATAAATTCTTACGAATATGCCTTTAAATAAACACCCCTTTGTGGTTCAAACTAATGAACTAATTAATTTATGTATTAAAATAACTTTCGATAAAGAATAAATAATAGTCGAATCGCCGATAGGCTAACTCGATAATTTTATTTTATATAAATCAGCGATAATTTTTAAATTGACATACATAATTATTACACCATGCGGAACGTTACGGACGTGAAAACGCTAATTTCTTTATTAGTGTTAACATCGCTGATAGGATTAGCGGCAAGTTACCCGAATGAGCGCTTTTTAATACCGCCGTGGTACAGGGATAATCCGTACTTAATATCATCAACAGTAAATACTGATCAATGCGTTTGTATGAATTGGAAATTCTGCGAGGGGACGATAAACTCTGAGTAAGTAAACATGAATTTCTGTATACATATGCATATCAATTGGTTCGGGATTTAATTTGGTATAATCATTACAGTGTTCAGTGCCCGTCGAGTTATTTTCAAGTTTGCTGCATAAAACCCGAACCTGAGAACAAGGATGTGCCCTATTATAATAGTGAGGATGATCACTATGATTCACTAGAATTGGAAAGTCCACCTTTCATACCACCAGGAATGGAGGAGGTTGCTCCGTACTAAATCGACTTAGTTGTAAATTCAGCAACTTAAATTTGAATTAAGTGAATTCAAGGAAATTAAACACTCCATTGTGAATAGAAATTCGTACCCACAAATTCTAATAAATATTATTTATTAACGTTGCTCTTTAATTTACTGATGAAATATTCGCTAACTAGCATACATTCGAGCAATTCCGAGAAACTAGATAATGTTCTAATAAACATCTCGGTGCATGTAGATGAATTTTCCACTTCGTAAAGTTTATTTTTAGCAAGAATGCAATCAGAGCCGCGTATATAAGGGTTAATTGCACCCGGGGCGGAACTGGCTGATGCTTCGCCACCTTATACCTATAAGACTATTAAATTTGTACTATAACTACTAACATCTAAGGGAATATAATTTTTAAAAGTTTCGGGAACGTTAAAAATAATTAAAATTAAAATTATGAACCGGAATGTACGTTGAAGATAATGGAATGTGTACTACCTACTTGTAGGATTCTTCCGTGCATTTTGCTTCGGGTTAATACATCAAGAAAGGCAACTATGAAGTTGAAAAATTGGCTTACTAAGCTCATCATCGATTGTAACATTGCATAATTTAAATTGCATTGACATTACCCACTTACCTAGACTATTTTTCTCGTTTTCGACATCAGCGTAATCCAAACCGTTATCGTGGATGGTGAAACTAATGCCGGCTGGTTTCCTGGGCGGCATATTGTCCTCGCTGGATTCGTTTTCGACTGGTTTAACGTCTTGTTGAGACTTCGCCAATCGCCCCCATGTCCATTCCGCCTCCACCGTTATCCACGTTATCAAATCTTCCACTCTTATCACCACTTTTTCAGATATCGCCAGAACTTCGTCCTAAATAAAACAAGAACGATATAATAATATTGATTAAGAACAATTTATTACAAAGTATCGTTACTTTAAAATTATATTATAGAGGGTGTTAAATTGGAGCGAACTACATTGAAGCTCCTACAGTCGGTGCAAAACAAATTTCAATGCACCTCATCTATGGTTTACTATGTCACAAGTAGGCAGTGCTGCCGAACCTTCATAGAGTTTACAAAATCTAAGAATATTCTAAAATTATCACGGCAAAAAAATACACGTTTCTAAACGGCGGAAGTATTCAAGTGCGCACTATAATGAATCATCAAATTCCTTTATCATCTGAAATATATTTAACAGTGAGAGTAAAAAAATTAGTGTACAATTGACCCTTAAAAGAGTACAAAGTGAAATTTCTGAGTAAACTTCTGAATCTGAATTATTTAGAACTCGAATTGTGTCATTTCTAACATGTGGAAAAGATAACTACGCAAAAATATTCGTATTTCTTGATGATTCGGATGATCGGATGACAACGGCAACTATGCAACTTGACAGTCAGTGCTTACCAACCTACTATAAGAAAATAATAATAATTTTATGTACAAACGTTGAATTTTGACAATATACATTTTTTTGGATGGTTTAATTCTGTTTTTTAACATTTTCTATCATCCCTTGTTAATCTATTTTGTGTGTTGATTTTTAAAAGTTGGGCACAATGCTTGGCAAGTAAGATGATAGTAGTGATGTGCATTGATATTTGTTTTGACCAACTGTATATTGTCTATTTTTCCTTCCACTTTTACATTGTTTGATACACCTAAGACGTATCATTCTGTATAAATGAAAGGTTAAGGATTATTGTTTTATTATTTGTTTACTTCCATAGAAAATTATTTCACAATAAATTAAAATCAAATTAGGTTTCAACAAATCTCTATTTACTATTGGCAGTAAAAAATTTAGTTGTGTTTACAATTGGAGAAAGCGATTGTCAGTTTGATTAAAATTATATTACGTAAATTATTTATAAAACCAGCACTAATTGAACTATTTTTTGCAGAACGAATACGAACGTGATTATTCTCAATGTGACACGTTTTTAAGAATAACGTTCATTTAATTTTTTCAAATTTTCCAAAACTTATCGCTATATTCTACTAAATTACTATTACTGGTTTATCAATATTTGTTCAATTTAATTTCCATTTAAAAATCAAATAACCGAGTCGAAAAATACGGTACAATTAAGTACAAGAAGTTTCGCACAAAGCTTGCATTGCCGAAACGAAAATTTATTTACTCCTAAAGCATTTCCATATTTTTGCGAGAGAAACACATTAAAATAGCAATTTCTGAAGCGAAACGGGGTCGCTTCCCGCCCGCCGAGTCCCCTAACCCACCTCATACGAGCTCCGGGTCGATAAAGGGAAGGATTTCCCTCGCTAAATACACTTCATGGAAAACTAATAAATTCCCAATCTCTGACACAATTCGAGAGCTTCGAGCAGGTGTTTCAATCAATTACTCTAACTACGTATTGTTCGTTATTAGTTTATGTGTAATGTTATTTACACAATTCCGGTGGATAATTTTTATTTCTATACGTGTTGGAGTAAAATAAATAGAACGAAAAAGAGGAATAACGATATTGTCGATACAAAGTTTTCTCGAATATGCTGGGGAAGAAAAATAGAAGTTGACTAAAGTTTTTACGTCAATGCGACGAATTTAATACAATATTATTGTGTTTTGGTACATGGAAATACATAAAAAAATCGACATTATTGGAATAAATAGAACTACCTATTAAAATATTCATTTTACATTTTACTAAAATTAGGGAGTATACTTAGAGTATTTATAAAATATATCTATTTAAAACACTCTAATATCAACTCTCTAAGTAATTTCTCCTAAACGAATAATTCACAACATATTATTTGTGATTACTCAATAATTAATAGAAACTTTCTAATAATGAACTAAATAGGTATCTAGTCTGCACAATGAGGAGTTTACAAATATCCAGAGGTTTCTCTTGAGATAAAATCAATAGCTTCAAGTGACATTAATTAGCTGTATGTTAAATATTGATTAAACGTCATGTAATTTTACTTAAATGTTAAATGAAGGTCGACTTATCTGAATTCGTGAAATTTGGTACGAGATAATTCGAAAACAAAAAGTCGACAACAAAATTTTATCGATAAAATCAAAGATATATTATATGAATGAAGCAATGTACTTTCCTTTCCCTGCCTAATAAACTTTATATTTAATTACCTAATGCAAAATACTCCTTATATGGATGTTCATCGTTGCGTAAACTTACAACTGTGTCATTACAATATTATTCATTGTTTTCAAGTAAAAAATCCAGATAATAGGAGAGTTAAAAAAATAATTACTAGAAATGGAAATAAATTAAAAATCGATAAAAACTTTTTAATCTTGAAGAATAAAATAATCGGCCAATTATTCATTGTCAGGAATAAAATAAAAATACGATGACCTTCGCCAATTTAAGTTGAGTAAACGAAATATTGTTAAATTTCAGTAAACAAGTTATTTACAAATGGAGGTTGTTAACATTTTTTGGCATCATTTCTCGTATCTGGATGTATCAAAAAAACCTCTTATGTGGCAATTCTATATTGAGTATATTATATGATTCAAACTGATATTAATTATAATTAAATTTAAATTAAACTCAATTCTCGCTCGAATCATATTAAAAGTTATCAAAAATTTTATCTATTATAGAAATTAATATTTTTTTCATTTCCAAACATTATCATATTATCACTATATGAACTACCTCAATACCATTACCAAATTTATCGCTGAAAAATTCCATTATCAAAAAAAAATTAATTTAAAATTTAAATATTTATGGATGATCAATGTTATCTAATTAATTACCTACCTAAAAAAGCAAAGATATTAATTGCAAAATTTATTAAATTATTGTTAAACCAAATTATTAAAAAAGTTTTTAATCAAATGAATTTTGAGAGTGTATTTATGAAATTCTCATCACACTAAATAATTTATATTTAAAACAAACATGAGCTTATTATTAGAAACACCGAGCTCGAATGTAAACGAACGTGCCACTCAAAAATAGATACAATTAAATAGAAAGAAAAAACGTTATTGGGAAACTGTCAAATAAATTTCAAACAGTTTGGTACTTTTTATATTCATAAGCCCATAAATTGAAACAAAAATTTAATCATAGAAATTGATGGCCTAAAATTACGAATTATTATTAATACAAACATAATTGGCATTAAAATTATACATGTGTATTTGACATCATTAAATTCCAATCTATCGAATTTATTAAAAAATACAAAAACAATTCAACGCCTTAAACATAAACCAAGGAGTCATTATTTAAACATGTAAAATAGTTTGAATAATCAAATAATGTTTAAGCTTATAAAAATGGGTTGCGTGCACTTTAATCACTACTTATCACTGATACACTTATGTATGTAGACAAATAAAACAGTGATAACGGAAAACGCAATCATTATGAAAAATAAATTTACAGGAAGGACCTGGAAATTGTGAAACTATTCCAGAAAACAAAATTTATTTCTACTAATCGTAAATTAGATATTCTTTAATATTAACCATCAATAATTTTATTAGCAATCCTTTTTAAATTAAAATTTTCTCCATTAACACATCTATCCAAGTAAATACCTAGGTAATTATTACCAAATTGAATATATTATCCATTTTATGCAATCCTGTTCAATTATTCAATATATGTATGCATTATTAATAATTTAATAAACTGAGTTCCATTTTCATGCGAAAATTATTTTTTATTTGCACGTATGAATAGAAAATACAGAACTAGTAGCGCGTAGTAATTACGAAAAAATATGTTTAACAAAACGAGATAATTAACAAATCTATTAATTCGATTACGATTCTATATACTAGATAGATAAAAGTAAATTTTTAGAGCTCGACTGAATTACGCAAGCACGAAAATCGACCTCCTTGAAGAAGATGCTTGGGAGGTCACGATAATGTCAGTGAATGTAAAAAATTTGAAGCAGTACTTGTAAGTAACTAGGTATTAAATTAAAATCCAACGTAATAATAATTACAGATGAGAAAGGCATGACTTGTAATTAGATCAATAAATATCGTTTGGGAATAGAATCGTACAATTAATTAACCTTGAAGATATTACACAAGTTTTTGAATTTTTAAAGTGATTTAAATTTTAACGAACGAAATTTTACAAAGGAAACTACGCATCGTAAGTAATGCTTACAAACAATAGTTTTGATAATAATGAATATTAAAATTTAATTGCGAAATTTTAATAAACGTTTAGCTATTTATGTATTTATTTATTGACCTTGCCCTGTTCCTAGTTCTATGTGCTTCTATCGAAATTAAAGCATAAAATTATAAAACGTTTATAATAAAAAAACCAGTTCTCAAACCATGATTTCTCCAATTTTGAATTTATAATAATGTTCGCCAGTATTCATATGTACGTATTTGCAATAGGTTTGTTTTTCATTCTTACATATTTTAATCATGTCTAATAAAAAGTTAAATTTTACATCGCCTTCATAACATAAATACCCAAGTAAATATTTTGATGATCTACCTACTGTTTCCATATTATTGTTTTAATGTGTATAATTTATTGGCTCAAAATGTACATGAAATAATGACACTCCTGAAATTTGTAGCCAGATTTGTCACTAAAAATTGGCTTATTAATTATACGATGATATCATTCCGTTATTTTTATAGCGAAGGTAACAATCATATAATAAATTTCAAGTAAAATGATGAAGATAATTTAAAAGTGACAGACTATAATTTCTTTGTGATTACGTAGCTTCATTGAAAAAAAAAGTATTTAATTAGTAGGCATTATGTATTAAAACCTTTCCCTAGTAATCCAAAGAATACATCCATAAACTTAAAGGGTAGGATTTAAACTGAAATGACCCTTAATTCAACATCCCATCGAGAAATGTACTTAGTGCTTCTCGGGTGGTGAATTTCAGAAATTTCAACATTCAGAGAGGATTAACAATGAACAACCCCAATATAGAAGGGTAGTCGTAAAACCATAGGGAATAACAACGTTAAGTAAACTGAGAATACACGTTTTCTAAAGTAATAAAATATTTTCCACAAAACCTAATATTATTTCAACTAAATAAAATTTAATTTGTTTTCTAATAGGTTGTATTTTCGAAACCATATTTTTACAGGAAGCCATGCATTTCAAATAGCTTTTTAAATACATAAAAACCTCCCTTTAGGGCATTCCCAACAGACAAGGGTAGAGCGGGCAGGTACAGCTGGTCTTTACTCGGAACCGATCGATTACTTTCTCAATGTCAATTACATCATTCTTGTGTTCCATCCAAATCAAAATAAAAATCAACGGAAATTTAATCTAAAAATCGATTAATCGAGAAAAACGTCTAGAAGTAATCTAAAAAACGTATTTATCTACACACGAAAAATTTAAGTACCGAGTACTATAACTAGGTATGAAATATTTAGAATAGATTTCGAACATTGATACCTATTCAAAATAGCTTCGATGTAGCGCATACGCAACACATAGAAAATAGTTACTTTGTGAAATAACTCGATAAGAATGAAGTAGAAGGAGACGAACAATTTAACAGTGAGAGAATGTTTAAAAACCGGCTCAAGTGTAATTCTTTAGCGGTGGAACGGCATTCCACAATTTGAGAATAGCGGCAAACATTTTTCTCGTACTGTTCTAAAATAATTACAATAATGAAAGTGATCGGAAATGCATATTACAAATAGAAATCGATTGATTCATCGACTACGAAGAATGGTTTGTTGAAATTTTAATGGATGTACTACGCTAATAAAAAAGAACGATTTTTCATAACCCAATATAGGTATATAGGGTAGCGTGTTTTATAACCCATTTATACGAAATAATTGTGTAAATTTAATTAAATTTAACACATTACCTACTCGAGTACTTGTAGATAACTAGCAAAATCGGCAAAATTTCGAAACAAATTTAATTTATAAATTATGTATAAATCACATCGGTGATGTTTATAAAACTAGACCATTCCCTAAGCTGGCATTCCTTTAGTTTCGCAGATATGAAATTGTACAATAAAAACATACATTATTATCAAATCATACGAGTATTTAACAAAGCATTTTACCAAGTATTCCGAACCATTACTTACGAATCAACAAAAACCTCGACGTATTCGAGGAAATGTGAAACATTTGCAAAAAAACCATAAATTATTCCGGAGACTTTCAATAAACAAAAATTATACTTACTAATTTGTTCATCAAAAAAATTAATATTTCATAACAAACAGGCAATTACTACTTAACAAGAGTTTCAGCTTATATAATTAACAAAAAGGGAACTAAGGAAATTACCCGTTTATTTATAGTTCCTTATTGATTTTAATCTAATAAAAATTGTATAGAGTTCAAAATTCCCTTATTCTGCAATGTTATACACTTTATATCATTATTATATATTTATAACATTATTATATCCTAGATACAGAAAAATGAGCTAGAATAAAATTAACTCTATAATTTGCGAAAATTATGTAACAAAATTATATAAGTAAATTTGTCGATTGAATACAGGAAATGGTATTAATATTTAATAAATATATTGTAATAGGATAACATATTATGCTATTTTGCATAGGCTAGGGAAATAATTACTTTCCAATAATTTACAGTGAAACATTTTACGAACAAATTTCAAATAACATTTAAACTGGCGTTGGATAAAATTATATCAATAAACAAGATAGATTAAATTTAGAAATGCAAATAATTTTATTGACAAAAATATTATCAATTCATTAGGCTCCTATCAAAATTTATTTAAATTATACGTAATGCTTTTAGAAGGTACGGTTTTGCATTATTTTCGATTAAAAATTGATTCAAATTTGTTAAGTCCACTGCGCAAGGCGATGATTGTGCAATTATACGGGATAATTAGATATTTTTTTATCTTAAAAGCCCAATGAAACAGATTTTTGATTATGTGACATTAGAGTAGAGCAACCTGTAGATAAATATGAGTGTATTTGCTAAATATGTGTATAAAAATAACCGGTTTATCCTACCTACTACATATCTATAGAGTAATTACCTAGTTAAAGTGTAAAATGCAATAATTTTATACATTTTAACAAATTCATTACAACAATCGATAGATACTAATTAGGTAGGTAATTCAAAAAATGGCCTAATAATCGAAGGTAATTAGCCGTTGCTGTTAAAAGTAAATAGTTTAATAAAATAAAATTAATTAGTAATTAGTAACGAGGAGCGATCAAAATAGAATTAAAAATAGAGCGATATTTTAAAATCGTTATCGTTTATTATGTGCGTGTGTATGTGTGTGTGTTGTGTGTATGTATGTATGAGTGTAGCATATGAAACGCTTATAACTAAAACGTCTACTACTTCCGAGGCACCGCATTCACTCCATCGCATCGATTAAACTCTACGGAAAAAACTAAACAAAACAAAAATAGAAACTACATTTACCTCTCCGTGGTCCAAACGCCCCTCCGGCGTATTTTCCGGCAAAAAATACAATCTAAGACTGGCTAACACTTGTTCACTATTTTTGTCGATCCAAAGCAATTGCAATTCACCGATGCACAACAAATCACTGTCTCTCCACATTTTAACAAAGAAAAACTCACTTAACGTTACTATTCTCCAAATTCCGTTTTTGTTGTATTTAAAGGCCTTGTAGAAGGTGTAAGGTCCGTGTTGACCGCAAGGGCCGCCGACCAACTGCAAAGGGAAAATAGAATAAATAGAACAAACGACAATCCTGTTTACATAATTTATTATATTTATTATTATATGTGTGGTTTTTTCTTTCGTCGTGTATCAAATAACAGAACGTCTGCTGGATCGTGTGTTGCTTTAATGCTGCTTGTAAATACGAATTCAACAAGCATTACCGAAATGGGCGATTGCAAGTGATCATGATCGCGATCACATACACACACAGAGATACAATAATTATTTTGTTTAAGAAAACGGAGGAAAAACAATTACATATAGTCGAAAACTCGTTTAAAATACCTTGAAATTAACAATTCTGATAATTAAGCAATAAATAGCACAAACTGTGCAGGTAGATAGATTAAAATAACGTCGAAATTGATAAGAATTATAATTTTCTTATGGTGAACGTTTTAAATACATCTAATAAAGGAAATTAAACGAAATTCTAATTTCTGTTTGTCGAAATTTAACGAATTATCATCGAAATAACGAAAATCGATCGTTCCAACAACATAATTGATAAAACTTTTTTAACTGATCAAGTAAACGGGTTTAACTTAATAATAGCATCGGAATTAATTAATATTTATAGAAAGTCATAATAATAAAACGGCAATATCTCCGCTTAGAAAGCGGCTAAAATTACGGGACCTTCGGCAAAATATCCCCAACGGCTTTATACAAAACATGCGTTAATTTCGTACCTGTACATCACTGTTTCCCATATTTTTTTCCCAGTTAATCACAGAGCACATTACAAACACCACGCTGACACGGCCATCTACTTTGTATTTACTCTAATTATATGACGTCACGATACAGAACTACAATCGTAAATATTCGTAATGTTTCGTTGTTTGTTCGGCTAAGCTGGCGCTTTGGCTTCCTAATTTCATTTTCAATATAACATTTTTACTACGAGCAGAAACGCTGAAACGCACGGCGGCAACGACCTTCCGTTTCTGTTCTCTGTTTTCTGTTCGAGCGACGCAAGATGGTCGGAATCGGTTCGGGCCGATTTGTTTTTCCTGGTGAAAATGCGGGAAAATGCGGCTCATTCACTAAAGGTAAATCATTTTGCTTTTCGCTACGACGGACCGTCGACTTTGTCGAACCGAGTGGCTCGGCTCGCAGGTAATCGGCGGACATGTTTCTCAAGTGGGGGATTTCGGAATTATTGTATTTGTCTCTTTTCGATGCATTCGCTTAGACCAGGAAATGATGTTATACCTGCCTACTTGATACTCTATCTAGTTGATTTGATACTTGCATGCTTGATTATGTTTGTTTGTTATTCAATCAATATTCAATAAGGTTAACCTCAACATTTATGTGTGTTAAATGGGTGGTAGGGGTATTGGGCGCCAAATTAATGTTCAATTTGTACTTGATTATAATTCTAAAATGACATTGTTTTTAGCAGATGCATTAATTTTTTATTTTTGGAAACCTTCGAGTGTTTCGTTCAGAGGTCATTACATTGTAGGAGGATGTGAAATCGTTTCATGGTATTGTTCTGAATTATTACCAATTAAAGTAATTAAAATAACTTTTTTTTGATTACAAGTTACAAATAACAGTTGATGTAGTTAATGTCCTAATGTAATACAGGATATCTTAGAAACCATGGTCATATAATTAAATAGTTCATTAATCTCAATGTACAAATATGGATCTATTAGTCAACAATTTATTTTTATTAGTACTCAAATAAAGTATCAGGCGTTGGGTTTAAGAACATCAAGCATACAAAATTATGCCACTATAGTCACTCTATTTCCTATCCCAAAAAATGTACACAGAATTCATTTTAGTTTACAATATAGGCTACGCGGGGTGCAACAATGACAACTTATGACCATTAGTCTCATATAGAGGAAAAAGGAAGTGTGATATTAGTCCATATTCATAAATATGAAGCATTTACTTTGAAGTAAAAAGTAGATGCAAAATGTAAGAAGAAAAGGTTTTAAAACTTATTGCTTTAAAACTTTAAAGCAACAACAAGGTCCTCGAAGCAAAACCTCTCTTCCTTCACTTTTTATTATGCATATACCTTGAAACAATTCCTTCATTTTTTTAAAGGTTATGCTTCTTTTTATAAATACGGCCTAATTGTGTAATTGCAACTTTGTCACTTTGACAACTGTTAGTTTAATAGTCTTACTTTCTAATTTCTTATTATTATTGAATAGTCTAATTTCTTGATATTTTTAGAAAGGTGACTCTTGAACACTTTATGATGAAGGTGAACAAATCAAATGCACAATATCTATGGAGTATTTCAATACTTTCCAAATATGGAACATAAAAACAATGGTATGTACTGACATCACAAAGAATACCTAATGCAACATTTATTGAAGGAGAAATAAGGTAAGTAATTCTATAAAATTAGTAAAATTTTTATATTAGCTATACATGTGTTATATCTCTTTTAGTATGGAACAGAACCGGAACAGCTCAGAAGTGGCTTTATCTCTATTCGAGCTGTAAATTCAACAGCTATTTCGCAAATGAAATATTTATAAAAGATATGTAATATCAAATTTATTATCATCTAATAGAAATTAAAGTGTGTAAGCAGTATTGTCGATATTCAGTCTTGACACTTCATTATCGATCCACGATCTAAATTGGGACACATCGCCATAAACTCCTGGAATGTTCTCGTCACCGCAACCGATGCCCCAAGCTACTATACCGGCTTGCATGTACCTGCTGGGATTGTCTGGATCTGGGCATACCAACGGGCTACCGCCATCTCCCTAAAAATTACATTCAATAATTATCTAAGAATGTATATTTGTTATAGTAAATTTGGGACTAGATTCTCTGGTGTATTTTATAAAAATTACATTGTGTCCCAAATTTATTAAATGTTTAAGCACACCTCATTGTGTGCTTAATAAATGTCTTTAAAAGTTAAAGACGCCTCATTAACTTGACAATTATACGTTGTTGCTATGGAGTAACACTATCGACTTTTTTATGTTAAAGAGACCCTCTAAAGTCGTGTCTAAGGTTAAAGTGGGGCACTAAATGCGGGCCTTTAACCTTTAAGAATAAGGCAGAGATATGTAATCTATAAATTCATTTGTGGAATGAACTCAATATTTGTCCCATATTTGTGGATATCTATAGATTCATTTTGTGGAATGATGGTTACTTTTAAAGTTTAATCGAATAAGATAAAAAATCCACTTACTGTGCAGACATCTTTTCCTTGTTCGCCACCAGCACAAACGAAACTTTTGTCGAGGATGAATTGCCCTCCTAATCTAGTGCCTCTCAAGAGGCGCTGGCATCTGCTACGATCAACTGTCGGCAATTCGATTTTCTTTAGTATGGTTTGGTACTGTCCACTCTTACCTAAAAATGAAAATTCAAATTAATAGTAACTGTATGAAAGTATGAAAGTTAATACTATTTGTGACAAGACAAACATACAGATAACTGCAAAGTTGTATGCAATATGGATTATGGGCGCAACAAAGACAACTTCCATAGGCAACATGTTGCCATTGACGCATGCGACTTCACTACAAAATATTACCTGTTGCTGCCGATCCACAACAAGTGGAAAAATAGGCGACTATTCGTGCGATTTCAAACGTTTTGTCTGTATTTTGAATATTTTTGGTATAATGATAGAATGGACAAATGAAAAAAATGTAATGTTTATTTAGGATTGCCGAAATAACGAAATAATCTGGATTCACCAGTTAAGCGAATTCAAGAATAACAGGAAAAAGATGGATATTTTCAAAACATCAAATGGAAAATATGAATGCGATATTGCAAATTTAAAGGCAAAAATAAAGAACCTTCGCACCCAGATTCATCGAGAGCATGAGGCACTCATATAAAATCAATTTTGTTGATTTGATATAAATACGGGTTCTCACATGTTACAATAATAGCAATAAACATTGTGCGATTGGAGACGTTCCCAAAGTCTGTTGCCTGCTACATGTTGCCAATTGTTGCCTTGATGTAAGGCCGCCTTTATACCCATATGTATAATTAATAGTTTGTTACATAAGTAGTTAACCTCGGACTAATTACGTCCGAAAAATCAACTCGTCTGTTCGTTTTTGTAGTCTCAAATTCTTACCGAATTGGTCCTTTCCCCAACCGCTAACGAAACAGTTCCTTGACGAAATTCGTTGCCCTTGTCTAGGTAAACAAATTGTACCGACGTTGTCGGCTTTAACGACAGATTGCTGTAGTATTAAAAGAGCAAAATCGTTGAATAGATTTCCATTGTTGAAATTCGGATGCGTTCTAATTTCCCGCACGCCAATTTCTTGATAGGGTATCCTTTCTCTGGTCGTTTGGGTGTCCCATTCTCCAGCTCTTACCGCCAAATCAAAGTTCTTCGACCTGCAAAATATACGCAATTCTTAGCATTCTAAAACAACCTCCTCCAAAATAGTATTACTTGCTAACGCAATGAGCTGCAGTTAACACCACATTAGGCGTAATCAAAGAACCCCCGCATATCAACTGATTGGTCAAACCCAGCGTGCGGTAATTCTTGTTGACGATCGCCACCACCCACGGGAACTCCCCGTACTCGGCCTCGTTGTCCTTGGCTCCCGTTATTTTGAAATCTATTCCATTGGGATTCCTTATGCCGCAGTAGCTGGGCTTCGTCGAGATGGGTATCACCGGCGTCTCGGTGTTCACCGGCGGTTCTTCTGAACTGGGAATGGTATCGGGGAAGGTTACAGGGCCCACGGGGCCCGTCGGGGGCTGGGTGGTTCCGGCGTCGGGCAGGGGCAGGTTGGGGTCCAAGCCGCCCTCGGGGATTCTGCAGCATACTTCGAGAAAATGCGGACAGGCGTTAGTGCCAAACCTGGAATTAGAATTGATTATTCGAGTAGTTCTTGGAGAATGATTTCACCAGTTTGTGGTGCCTTTTGGCAAAATTTATCAATACAGACGGATGTATATTTCCTTATACCTACTATAATCTGTATGTGTGCCATAATATCCTATTGGGTAATTAAATTTGCGGTTACCGCAGTTTCCTAAAAAAGTTAGATGTTTCCTCTAAACAATTGGTCGTCTTTTCCGGTTAAAGTTAAATATTTGGCAATATATATAGATAGATAAATAATATTTTACAATAATCAACATACATACATTCCAAATTCGTTAGCTGCAACTTTTTCTAATAGGAAAATAGTTATGTTAATGAATTTCAAATTAGTGTTAAAATTAAAATCTAGATTCCTACATAGGTAATTAGTTTACCTACATTAATTTACTTGAAAAAACTGTTACATTTAATATAACTAAAATTTGTTATAATAGGAGCGTCCGAGAAAGTAAGTTCCGTTTGGCAATTTAAAGAAATCGTAGATATAGAAAAAAAATATTGCACAATAATCTACGATTCAAGCTACATTTCTGCGCAGGTCTCGAAATTTTCTGGATATTTTTTAGTGCGTGGTACCAATTTTTGAAAACATGAAAGGTTTCCGCAAAAATTTTCAAACTACCACTTTTGTGTAACAATTTCATGAACTACAGTCATCGAGTGATTTGTGGAAATTCCATAGGAGCATTGTGGATTGTAAACTTCCGGTCGTTAATTTTTGATTCAACTAGATAGTGGAAAAGCGCGCGTAGTTTAAAACACAGGCGGCTACCTTCTATGAGGATGACATACAAAATCTCGTGTCACGCTCTGAAAATACCCGGAAAATATTGGGGCATATTTAGGCATGAAGAAATGTAGCTTAAGAATCGCAGATTATTGTGCAATAATTGTTTTTCTATAAATGTGTAAATTACTTTCTGGACCCATTATTACTAAACTACGTGCCTAGTACCCATTATTACTAAACTCAAAAAAATTATCTGATTTAAAATTTTCCAGTGACCATGTGATCAATAGAGCTTTACGAAAAATTATTGAAATGTTGTGTAGAGTTTAATTAATGCAATTTTCCCTAATCATTGCCAACAACAATGCAATACGTTGTATTTCATCGGTTTTTTTTAATCTACACGCGAATGAAGGATATTATAATTTTGTTTACTTATATGAATATTACAATTATTTATTTGTTATTCGCAGCACAAATTAAAAATTTATTCTTTAATTATTTGCATATAAATGTAGCAATTATGAATAATATCAGATTTTCTGACCTTATATCGATAATTCCAAAACCATCGGTAACCCCACTTTGTATAATTGTATTCGTCTTTCCATCGCACATGTGATAATTGACACACATTCGCAACCCTCTCGTGGAACCTTCCCCGCATTTTTCCGCCGCTCCATACGAGGACAGTGTCACCGGATTGACCTCTTCCATGTTGCTGAAGAAGTCGCCTCCATCGGCGCCAGTTCGCGTGGGGTTCGAATTACTGGTGTTGCCCTGAGGGAATAATTCGTCGATTTTCTTCTTCGTCTCATCGTCGACTTCTTCCTGGCATCGAACGCACAACGCCAAAGCGACCGAAACAATTACGGCGATCTTCATGATTTCGCTGCTGACCAAGGCCGGTCGGATCAAAATCGGAACATAAATGCAGCAAATACGGATTGATAGTCGACCTAACCAACTACTTTTGTGTTCAATTCAACGTGAAGATCGACCACATGTCTGTCCGTGTCTTGCTCCCCACCAACTTATATTACAACGAAATCGAAAGCCTTGCTGGAAATACCAGATTGGATTTTTGTGTTTTGTACGATTTTATCATTTATTTTCGTTTCGATTTAAATAGTAAATTCCGACTCGAATCTGCTAATTGAATGTTAACAGCGTTTTTCATCGCAATCAATTCGTATTATTCTGACGCTTATAATGCGTCGATAATGTGTTTTTAATATTCTATTGAACTTTCATCTCTTCTTATATAGGGTTGTCAAAGAAGTAAAATAATATAGCCCTGAACTCTTCCTTTTAAACAAATCTTGAACTTATTGTTGAAATTGAAATTGTTCCCAAATCATAGGTTCTAAAAAACAATTATTTTTTTTACAAAATGTTTACTCATTCGCTTTTAATTATAATGGAAGTAGATGTTTGTGTGAATATTAGATGTATGCAAAGCGTGACGGAAACACTAAGCAATTTCAAGCAGGTACAAAAAAGATAGACATTCTAGATTATGACATCACATTTTCATTTATTTTTAATTCTTTCTTGAATCATAAACAATTATTACGAGTTAAAGGTCAACCAGATTTCGGATTTCGTATCGGGGATTGTGTATCAAAAACGTTACTATCAGAGGAATTCTAAGAAAACAAATTACGTTTCTTTTTCCAGTAATTAATTAATCCGAATGATTACCCCTTAAATAATATAATTATCAACGTGTCAAAAAAAATGTATATTAGGTATCACAATTACAAATTACAAAATTGACAAAAACTACCGAATGGCAACCGATATAAGCCACAGCGTAAATGAATTCTCTTCCGCGTTTTGTTCCATGCTATCTGTGCCGTTTTCCTGCGGTGGTAAAGTTAAATTTTCCAACAACCTGCAGACCAAACGCTCAACACTATCACATTTAACGACCACAGCCGTTCCCGGCTCGCACTTATCAATCTTCTCGATGGCGCAACCTTCCAGGTCCCTCGGATGGGGATCGAACAGATAGAAATACCCGGCTTTGGCAATCAACGCGACCCATTGGTTTTTGTGGTAAAAAAGACAGAAGGGCTCCTGCGAGAAAAATATACCCAACACTCTCAACAAACTCGTACAAACAAACTCATCGGTCACGATCGGCTTATAAATGGTGACTTTAATGGTAAGGTGCTTCAGGAAAAATTTTCTAATGATATTTTCCGGACCGAGCTTCGGGTCCTTGGGACCGTACGCTATGTAGGAGTCCAAATACAGTTGGTTTCCGGTGTCTAAAACTAGATCCACGTTTTTGTAGGTCCAGTTTTCAATGGAAAACAGCACGTGCATGACCAGCGCTATAATCGACATAGGTAGATCCTGATTGTTTCTAGCGCTATCTGGGTAACATTCCGAATTCGTGCTTCTGTAACCGCGGATAATCGAATCGCCGTTGTTCAAAAGGTAGTAAGCCCTGCGACCGATCAATTGGCGTCTCCTGTACTCTTTCCTTCGTCTTTCGTATTCAGCCTGAAACATTTTACCATGTTTAGGTACCATGTTTGCAATGGATGTGTAAACCTACCAGTTTTCTCATTAACCGCTTCTTTTTGTTGATTTCACCTTCTCTACAACGTGGCAGTACCATAGTACTTACACTATCGACTTTCCTTAACTTCTTGGGCGTCCTTTTAGTACCGACGACAATTTCCACAGGCAATATTTTGAAGGGTCCTAAATAATGGAATATTACATTTATAACTGAGATTAAATGAATGGTTTAAAGATGATGTTACTGAAATTTGGATGCAACAAATGAGTCAAATTGACAGTTGATAATCTGAAAGTTTACGAAACAGTTTTAACCTTCTGAAAACTTTTTCAACTATACTTCATCCATCCAACCAACGGAGTAACCAAAACAAGGTTAGACGTCTGATCACCATGCACATTTGCATCTATTGGGTAAAATAAAAAAGCGTCCTTACGCTGGCCAATCACTGGTGATCACGCATTGATCCAGCGTCTAATCTGGTTTTGGTTACTCCATTGGTTGGATGGATGAAGTATAGATACCTTTATTTTGACTGAATTGTGATTCTGGACACCTTTCAGATATAACTGCAAAAAAAATAACTGATGCATTTTACCTAATTTATGTTCCGGTTCCAAGATACAGCTGCAAATATGCTTCGCTGCCATTCTAGGATTGAGACAGGATATCAAACAAGCGACGCCATTGTACGTCGGTAAGCCGGTGGGACCTCTCGAATTCGGATCGTATATGTAAATCAACGGATCGCTATTTTCGATTTCCTCCTCCCAAATGGCCAGAATCATGTATTCCGTTACGACTATACCGTGAGTGTTTTCATCGAAGAATCTATCAATAGCTGTAATTTAAGTAATACAAACTTGTAAGTTTATTCTTTGGTTTGGGTTCTACGGAAAACCTTACCCATACGTAGGTTCCAAATGCACGGATCCGTCGGTTCGATGATTCCCTTCTGTTCCATGTTTCTCACTTCCAGATTGGCTCTCAATACACCGACGTAAAAATCGTGCTTTACTTGACACACGTTGAGATTGTCTTCCCAAGGATTGTAGCTGTAACCTAAACTATCCACCGTGATGTCGTAGAGCTCGTTGCCGATTTCGATAACCTCATCGACGATCGGCTTAGACCAAATCTGCGTCTTGTGAATGAGCGTCATCGTTAGGGCTATGAAAGCGATCGGTAGACTCAGAGCGCCCGGCAGTTTGCCGAATTTGGGATCATCTTGATTTATCGAGCCGCGGACAATGGTTTTGCCTGTAAAAATTTCGATCAAAGGGATTGTACGGGTGTTAAGATGTTTTGTCTTACCAGGTACGATTTCTCTACAAACGTTGGCGATGCAATCTATTTTAGGTGGGATGTAAGTAATAGGTGTTCGAACTCTCGGGCAAATGTCCCGGCCGAAAGTCACCGCGTGAATGTAGAAATTGTTTTTTCCCAATCTGGTCAAATTAGCTACGAACGTTTTGACTAAATGCTCGGTTTTAATGTATCTGGTGACGCAACCGGTGCCGCATGCATCTGTTATACCATTTGGACCTCTGTTCATCCCGTCGCACATGTAATACAGTTTACCACCTCTCCAAATTGCTACAGCCAATTCTATACAAACTCGAGTTTAATAAACACTTCTTCTTCCCTTTTATGCAATGTATTACCTTTACACTGCAAGATACCAAAGCGATTTTCCTCGAAAAATTTATCCACTCCTCTTTGCACGTCGATCAGCCGAAGGAACGGCTCCGCTCGAATATCACCAGTCACCACCTCAGCTTTGCACTCCACGTGGATCATAAACTTCCATATGCATATCCTCTTCGGCACGTCGTCGACACCGAACTCCTCGTGTTGCAGTATCCAATCTATCTCCTCGTCGCACAGCTTATTCGGATCGTATTCCTGCATTTGCTGCTTCCTGATTTTCTTGCACCACGTCAACAACCTGTCTCCTGCATAAAAATTACCATAATTGTTTAGTGCAAATATTATTTTCTCGTCGTAAACTTACCGTATTTGAGTATGGTGTCGACAGTGAATTTGTTGAAACATATCACACCGAATGTGTAGACAATACCCAAAGCGCAAACTGCCATCATAAAGCACTGTCTACCGCGGTTGAATGATGGGAATGTCTCGTGAATTAGACTGAGCGATCCTAAATGAAACATAAATTTCATGAAGAAATTGCGAATTTTATAAGATTGACAAGAATATTAATTGTGCCTACCTCTTAAGATCCAAACGCCACGTTCGATCTCATCGAAATCGTACCACTGACCCTCGTAAACGGTATTCCTAATGTCTTGAGGTCTCATGATGTCTTTCTTTTCCGGACTGTTAATCACTCTGATCGTTTTTAATTCATATGAATCGCTCCATCTTAATTTGGGACGGATATTCTTGATTATGTGGTCAATCAGCGCGTCTATAGTGGTAAAAGCTAGGGCACATCCTCTACCGGATTTTGCCAGCAAATCCCAATAGGAGGCGCTTCTCTCTATCGGCGGGGGGAATAGAATACCTTCCACTATCGCTTCGCTGAAATGAAATCAGTTCTAGTCCATTAAACTTCCTTTAACAATTGATTATAATATGTTGATGAGGTTATGGAGCATACTCCACATTAGTAGAGATTTTTCGTAGAGAGGAACCTAATAGAGCTTAAGATAAGACTTAATAGACAAAGCATTTGGTGATGATCGTAAACAACTCACTATTCTCCATAAGAAATAGGTTGCTCCTCTCCCTCTTGACCATAATCTTCGCCCATTTCTTCACCTTCCTCGAAATTATCGACGGCCACGACGGCGCTGGGTTCCTTCTTATCGGCGTCTCCTTCGCCGTCGTCGCCTCCGCCGGCAATGCTCTTCGGTCGATCTCCTCCTTGGCTCGCGATACTTTTCTGTCGATCGCCGGCCGATTTGGCCGAGGCGATGCTCTTGCTGCTTTTGGTTTCTTCCACCGTAGTTCCGGCGGCGAGAGACTAGACAATAAAAAAGCTGTGTAATAAACTACCAAAACAACAGAAGCGGCTGCGCTTACCTTCTTAGGCGCCGGTCGTCTAGTTGCCAGCAACAATTTCCTTTGGGCGGGCGTCAAGCAAACGTCGCTCCAATTCGACGCGCCGATCACGTTGCCGTCAATGTCTCTCGATTTGCAGTCGAACAGATAGAACAATTTGGAGTCCCTCCAGATGATGACGGTGAATGTTTTGATTAATATGAGGAGTTCCCTGTTGGTGTCGTCGGCGGCGGCCGACTGGCCGGCTTTTTTCCCCGACGATTCGTCGCCTTCCGAACTCGGATCTTTGGCGCTGCTGCCGGTTTCCGATCTGTCGCCCTGGTCGCCGCTTTCCAGCGCTTCCAGGGATTCGTAATAATCTCGCACGGCTACTCGAAGATCGGGTTCGATGATGCCTGGTGTATAAAACAAAGTTTATAAAATGTGACCAAAGCTGCTAGTATATGCTAGTAATTGATCTACCTGTGCCTACATCCTCGTGTAGTACCGTAAATTTGTTCAAACCTATGTTGAATACTTTTCTCATTGTCTGCAAGTTGATTTCGATTTCTTCGTTAGGAGCAAAAGTGACCTCAGCTCTACTATCACCATCGCCTGTAAAAATGTGTGGTAAAATTTATGAATGAACGAACAGTATTCAAAAATACCTTCAGAACTTCCAGTGGTTTCGGACGGTTTGGCTGATCCCATCGAACCCCCATCTGATCCACCTCTACTACTACCACGTTTTTTTCCACCTGGATAAACAACGTGATCCATAGTATCTCCTATAAATTTATTTTCCTCTTTCGTTAAGATGTCAAGCATCGATGCGGTGTATAAATTATCGCCTTTGTTCATTATTTCATCCACATCCTGCAAGAGATAAGTTGTGTACTGGCCGGAGAATGCATGCAGAAGTAAAAATCAATTTACCGCTTGGTTCCATTCCTCTGATGGTTTCAATTTATTGTAGCATATCGACATGATCAACATAGGTATTTGCTGTTTGCCCGCGTTCAATTCGTACCGGCTACTGCCGTCTTGGTATAGCGATCTTACAATGTATTTCTTCTTGTGCACTCTCCTATAGTGCATGAGAACAGGTTTAATTATACCCTCAAAGTCCAACTCGTAGATTCTCATCTTGACGTTGGTGATGTTAAAGTAATCTTCCGGATTCGGAGCGAAATTGCACAGAATCATGTCGACGATGTCTTCCAACGAGCAGCATCTAACTATGCAGGCAGTACCAAAGGCTGCAGTAAGAAAATCGTTAAATTAATTGTGCGATGATAAATGCGTGGGGCGTACGTGTTGTAAGGCCTTTATCGTCTCTGGAATGGCTATCGCTGTAGAAAAACATGTCTTCGAACTTCCAAACGCCCACCGACATGTTCCGGCAAGTTATGATGCCATCGTCGTGAGATAGGTAATAATAAGCCATCGCTTTGTAGAGATTCATCACGCCTGTGTCGCATTTCGCTGTGAATATTCCGTTTTGAACGCATTCCTCCAATGTGAATTCCACGAGTTTTCCGAAGAATTTGAATTCCTTGTTTAAATCGCTCAATAACAGCATTTTGTTATTGTAGGAATTCTTTTCTCTTAGAGTGTCAATAGTCTCTCGATAGAATCTGAAATTAGACTATTCGAAATATCGTATCTTTTCTCAAATAATTGTTGATGTGACTTAGGAATATAATTAAAATGTAGTAGAGATTTGTATTTTTAGCCATTTGGTTTATTACCTATCTCCGTAGTCCAACAATTCATTAACATCAGTATCCGCCCATTCTTTTAAAGGTTTTATTTGCTTCATCGCCATTAAAATCATCGATGTAGCGGGGCTTTGAAAATTTTTACTTACAATATCGTATTTTCTATCGTTTTGATTGATAGTTGCTCTCAATATCCATTTACCAGGTGCGAAGCCTTAAAATCGATAAAACTTTTACGTTTTCAATCTCAAAACGAAGCTTAAATTACCTTTGAAATTAGCCCAAGCTTCGGGTATGTCTACCCAATCGTGCACTTGAACTCTGCTGAGATAAAAGGGATTCGATTTGTACGGTTTTTCCACGTTTCTCATGTACAAATCGACCAAATCCTCGACATTCGTGAACCTCAATAGGCACGCTTTGCCGTTGGGGCAAACGCAGTCTAGTTTTCCAGGGGGATCTTCGAAATTGCCCTCAGCATTACCTCGAGAATCTCTGAAAACATAAGGTGATTATGCATTGGAAAGAGATACTCTCTAGGAAAATTACACCTTTGGTTAGGATCGAACATGTAAATGTAACCATCTTCTACCCACACAGCCAATACAATAGGACCGATAATAACGCAGCATTGGTTCTCTATTAGGAAACTTTCCAATGCACCGAATAGATCAAGAACTTCAAATTCCTGTATAGAGCAATTGTTGATTAAATGAAAACATATGTTAAGAAATCACTTGTACTTTTGATGACAGTCTTCCAACAACCACATAATCCTCTACAATGGGCAAGAAGTACTTGCCCATATATTCGGATTTCTTCTGGAAATTCGACAGCTTCAGACTTTGCGTTCTAGGTATGGAAATCATCGCGTCTCTGTACAACAAATCGCCGAATTTTAAGATTTTATTCAGCAAAACCGGCACCCAGTGCTTCGATTTCCAGAATTTCAGCATTATTAGTGCCGATATGGCGTCGCCCATCACCTGTCTGCCCATGTATTTGGTGAAATTAGGGTCCTTGATGTGCGTACCGGCTCGCATTATGGCTATCCTTCCTGGCTCGATATCTGGAACGCATATAACAAAGTTGTAACCAGGTCTTTTGGTTAATTAACACAATTAATAATAATGATGATGATGATAATTCTGGTCAATTTCTTCGATTGTATTTTAGATCTTTAGTGTTTGCTTCTTCTTTCTTGTTGCTGAAGTATTGGGTAAACAATATTTACAAAAAATTATGTGGTTGAATAAGGTTTCTTACCGACGAAGAAAGACATGGCGTCTGGACGTTTATCATAAGGTATTTCAAATTTGCAATGGTCGCTTTTGTCGAATTCTTCCTGTAACCAGGAAGGTCGCTTGGTCATCGAAAATTTGTTGTCAACTTCCGGCGATAATTCTTCAATGGCCAATTTCTTCGGATCGTTGTCTTGTTCTTCGTCCTCCAGGAATTTCTTCAATCTCCTGTCCCATATGTCCACCGGCACCTCCACTAGAAACGAAACGGACTATATTATTAGACACTTTTTGACTCACGTTGCAAGTTATTTCTAAACTACTAGTAGATACTTTTTAATTAACAGAGCTATTTTTCAGCAGTTGCTGTGGATTTGCCAGTAACAACTATCAACTATCTTAATATCAGGAAGTACAAGTATGACCCTAAAGATTCCACCATGCTTTGAAGAGTTAATTAATATGATTAATCAATTTACTTAATAGGGCCAATTGGGATTCGGTGGGAACGGTTTGATCCATGTAGTGGGATTTTAAGCCTTTAATTCCGGGACAGGGGCAAACTCTGAAACACCAATCGTGCGGTGGCATGATGGGTCGAACGTCCTCGTACGTTTCAGGCGGTGTGGTGTCTATGTCGGTGACCCTTAGAACCATGCAAGGCTCGACCCAAAACCTCCCTTTGCATATTTTCGAAGTGAATTTGGAATCCAAGGCTCCCCAGCAATGGCAATGAGCCAAGCTTTCCAGTATTATACTGCCGTAGCAAGTTATGTTCTCGTACAACCTGTCTATGAAGCATTCCATCGTTTTACAACGATATACAATGGATAAACCACCACCTGAAATAAATAATGAAATTATCTAATTCAAGCCGATGTTGTTCATTCATTATCCTACCGGGCCAATTTGCCCATGTGACTCCGCAAGAAGTGTGAGCAGTCGGATCGAATAAGTAGTACCTCCCTTCTTTAAACCAAAACGCCAATACCTTCTTGCAACCGTGCATGGTGAATATTCCGCAAAAGTATATCTTAAGTACACCTTCTATGACTTCTTGAAACCTTTTCTTAATTTTATCTTCATTCACGGCAGATAAACTGCAACGAATTAGATATATCTACTCATGTAGTTTTTTGATGTTACTGGTAAATTACATTTCGTCCACTCTGTTCTTTTTGTCGATTTCGAAGGACACCTTCTTCCTTCCGATGAAAAGGGAGGTGTACACTCGTTCCGTGTCGATTTCCGTCCAACACCGATCCGGATCCTGCTCCAGACTTTTCCGGAAGAGCTGGTCACCGAGAATCAAAATTGTATCCAGAAGGTACTTGTCCCAGAGTTCCATAGGAAGGATGTGGGCAAAGATGCATGCTATAGCGCAGTTGCAGGAGGCTGTGGAAGCAGAGATTCATGTGTTTTTATAAGTGTAATAAGTATTTTTTTAAGTGTATTTTTGCTTACATTGGAGCCCGTTGGATTTGAAGGTGAATCTCTTGTGCGTTTGGGAGAAGGTTCCGGTTAAAATAGCCGTGTCGTCGAAGAAGAAGAACCGACGCCATATTTTCCACAAAGCCGACGGTTTAACTCGTTGGTCCATTCCGGGGGGTTTTCGGTACCTCAGCTGCGGGGGTGGCATCACCCTCTTGTGGCGAAAATCCGGGGGTATCCATTTTTTGGTGGGCACCGGGGGGTAGACGATTTTCGGCCGCGGGTTGAATTTTTTGCGCTTTTTCTCGTCACAACTGAAAATCATTGATTTTATTGTCCTACGAGTATAAGCCAATGAAGTCTACCGACGACCAATAAATTAAATTATTACGGAATGGGGTTGTTTTATTACATTTTATTTGTAGGAGAGTAGGAGGATTAATAAGAGATAATTAATTTACTGAAATTACTTACACCATAATTTAAAATAAAATAGTCCGATTTCACTTAAATTTGGAGCTGATGTTAGATACTTGACATCTATGACATACAATAATTTGTTTATTAAATTGTCAATCGATTAGGCATTCATGAAGGAAATTATAAGGTGAACGTTCCGGCCGTGCTATTTAAATTTTAATATTTTCAAGGTTCGGTATATCAAAATTTTTCGTTCAAAATGTGCGATCCCGATGAAACTAATAACAAGAAAATAACGAACATCATGGGCCCTGTCCAGTTCCCTGAAAAGTAAGTAATTAAAAATTATATTAAGATTGAAAAAAAATAAATATAAAAAAATTAAAAATTCATCCTTATTCATCTGAAGAAAATTAAATATTTAGTGACACAGAAGAAAGTAACAAGATGTTGGAAAGGCTCTTATATGACTACATAAACTTTTAAATATTAGGTAATATTACGAAAATATTTTTAGAGAGGAAGATTCTGGCGATGAAGATTTGGAGAGGCCAAAACTCCGGCTAGATATGAGCGGAAATAGAGACCCCATAGCTGAAAAGAGGAAAAAAGATCAAGCCGTAAAACCGTTGCCGTTCATATGTATTTGCAAACCTAGCATTATTATTGAACCTACAATCAGGTACAAATATTGCTAATGCACCTATGTATCTTCTGTTACTTCTACCACACTATTCCCAGTTATTCCCAGCTCTTTTTTGATATTAGCCTTGATTTTATTTAGTGCACGCACAAATGTTAAATACATCAATACTGACACCTGTGATGAGAATGCTGTTCCCCACGTGAAGCCGAAGCCCTACGAATATCCGCCGACGAAGAAATTCCTGCGACTTCAGAAGCAGAACAAGACCAATTTGACGGAAGATTTTTGCAACTGGCCCTTTGTCAACGTCAATAAACCTCTGGCGAAGACTAAACTGGACCTTGATGTAAATTTGAACTTGCTATTTCCTTTGCATTACATTAGCATTAGAGTTTACCTTGCAGGATCAAATCGGGAGTAAGAGGAAAAAAGTTTCTAAGAAAAAATTACCGTAAATTAGTATGAATTTTAAAAATGAGTTTTAACAACGAAATTACTACCGGAACTAAATAAAATTCATTTAGTAATGAACGAAGATTTTGTTAATTTTAGAAGATCCTTAAAAATATTCTTTAATTGCTATTATTTTATTAGTTCGACGTGCCATCGCCTGAACCGAGTAAGGCTAAAGTAAAACCGTTGAAAACCTGCCCGTCATTGAGTTTGTTGTATCCTGCTCCTCAATTGCCCGATCAATTGGAAGCCAAAAAGCCGAAATCCGGAACATTCATAAACGAGCCGCAGAATGAAAACGCTTTCGAAGATTACGACAGCTTCGATTTGCTTTATAAGAAAAAACCCAGACCGTAAGAATTTAGCGTATTTTACAAGAGATACTTGGTTGTAATGAGATAAATAAAAATTATTCGCTTGCAATGCCTTATGCATGGAAAAATAGTTTTTAATTTCCTTTATCATTTTTCAGTCCCTGGCCGTCTGTAGACGAATGCACAACTGGCAAAGTTGGCAATTTGGGCCCCTGTCCGTGTAAGCCAAAAAGCAAGAAAAGCAAAACTAAAGAGGACGATACCAACAGGTGCATAGAACCTGGAGCAGAAGAGGAAGAGGTGCCTCTGACCAAATTTCTAAAAAGACACGTTTCTTTGGTAAAACACGATCATCGATTCGTTCGATACTCTTCCTTTACACTCTAATTTCTCAGCTATCCGCGACGACTTCGTACAACAGCAAAGACTACCCGGGCCCCGAAGAGGACGAATTCCCGCCGGGCGTCGCCAAAATCCTGCAAAAATTCAAGCGCGAATCGGACATCAAGAGATTCGGAGCCCACAGGAGGAAATTCAAACGGGGCACCTTGCAAAGTCATTCGCTTACTGACGTTTGTCAGCCCACTCTGAAGGACTTCTTCTTTGGATCCAAAGAAGGCACCATGCACCAAGGTTCTTTACTCCGAGATTATATTAAATGTATTTCATTAAAATTACTTACTGCTTTTAGGAGATGAGAGTTTTCCCGATAGAATAAGAGACAAGCAGGGAGTTTGCATGCCAGTAGCAGCTTTCTGCTATTCTATCCTGAAGCACCCCAATAAATGGACCAGGGATAACGTAGATGACGTTTTAACCTTCGGTAATAATCTACTGAACGAATCGTTAAATGAAGCCCACGTTCACAATCTCCAAAGAGTGGTACCCATTAATGTGCTAAGGAAATATATTACTATAGGTACTTACGTTGAAAAAAAAAAAACGATTACTTGTCGATATTAAATGGAATTTTCTAATTTTTTTAGGCGACAAAAAGTTGCGTTTCCATATAGGCGAGCCGGACATAGCTGGTTACATCAGATCCGATGATAAAATCGTTTACAATATCACAAAGGCGCTGAATATATTCTTCCACAGGCACAATTCGGGTATACTGAAAACCAAACACTTTGCCATAGGCCTTTGGAAGCAAAAATATTACTACATGTTCGACGCAAGGGCCAGAACCAAAGACTTGTATTATAGGTGATTCTACTGATTTTATTCTACTGGACATCCAATCTTCCCCTTTCAAGCTTTAAGTCAAATCTACCTATATTTTAAACACTCTTTATACTATCTATTGAGGCTTGCACCGTTTGTGGTGTTTCCCTTAATTATTTAATTAATTTATAATATACTGTAGTCCTGGCGGTGCGGCTATAATGGCAGTATTTTACGACGTTGCATCATTGGCCACGATTCTTCTAACTCGATCGAATTTCGGCAATTGGCCTTTCGCTATTCACCCTTTGAAAGTCTATCGGGTCATACCGGCGGAAGATGAGGAAGTCGATTCCCAAATAGGACTGAACATTCGAAGCGAGTACAACATTCTGAACGAAAACAAAGCGGTGGTGCTGGGTTCGTTTGACTTAGGCGACAAATGTTTCGACTTCACCAGGTACAAGCAATCGCTCACGATGTCGGTGATAGCTTTGGTAAAACGAATAAGCAATGATGTTACGAGTTTTTACAATTATATAACGCGCTTGCAGGTTTATTCGCGATTGACTCCGCCGAGTGCGTGGCACAGGAAAACCGTGGATAAAATCCTGGTGATTGGAAATCTGCTCTATCGAGAAGCTCTTTGCTGTACGAACGTCGACGAGGTGAAACTGGAGCACATTCCTGCTATTTTCACTGTAGGACCTTACATAGTTGAAATTTACATCTACGCGAGTGTTTTCGCCGACGTTATATTCAGAAACTGCGTGTGCCAATTGCAATGTTGCTTGGAGGTGTTTTTCACCAAATGTACCAACGGCATTCTTCAGTTTGGTAATATTTTCGCATTCCAATTACAACGTTCCAATGAAGACATGTGATAATTTTAGGTAAATGTCATTTAGCAGTATGGAAGCAGCGAAACATGTTCTACTGCTTCGATCCGTATTCGCGTGATAACGAAGCCTACAGGACCAGAGATGGATGCGCTTGCGTTTCCATGCATTCCACTTTGGAATCCTTAATCGAAACTATCGTTCACAATTTCGACAAAGACGCGATTTTCTACATACACGCTTTGAAAGTGTGCAAAATCCATCGCGACCCCGTGCAAACGCACGTGTTTCCGAAGCACCTTTGCATGGACGAATTCCCCCTGGACTGTTTCAGACGCTACAAGATGAAGAAGTCGAAGAAGAAGGCAACAGAAAAACCGGTGACTGTCGATTATTCGGCAGTGGCCATGAGAAGGTTGTTAGCAGGCGAAAGCCCAAATGCATCCATCGTTGAAATTGGATCGCACGTGGAAAGTTTAGCATTGGAACAACTCAACGCGCTGATGAAGAAGTGCCCTTCGAAAACCTGCGTTTGCTTCCATCCGCAACCTATTCCAGATATTGCAGATTTAGATTCGCCCAGTTTACAAGATACACAAGTAACTTTTTTCTCATAAAATTCGTTTGTACTTTTCATAATTGTATGTTATTTTACAAGATTGAACCGTCTTTGCCTCAACAAATTGACGAAGGTATAGAATTCATGGATGTGGATTCCTTTGGACCCACCATGGACGAATTGGAAATGGAAGGCGAAGGAGAAGGAGAAGAATACGGCGAATATGAAGCGCTTGTGGAAGGAATGTTGTAAGTTAATTGTCTAGAATACTTAAAGATATGTTTTCTTAAATAGTACAATTGGAATTTTTCTGTATTATATGCATTTTTTTCCAGCTTGGACGAAAAAGAAGGTGAAGGCGAAGGTGAAGATTGGTACTATGGTAAAACTGGTTATTCGCAGTACGATTTGGCTGGTAAAAAAACATCAGCACAGGTATGACTCAAATACGTCATTAATGACACTATTACAACAAATTCTAAAACATTTCTCTATACACATTCAACAAACTAACTACGGTTAATTTCAGATCAACACGGAGATTACCTACTTCCCCATCAAGCGAGACATCCTCTACCCGACATGCCTGAAGGGCAAGCAAGCGATGAAGAAACGGCTCGAACGAATGAAGTACAAGGACGATTGGGAGAACTATCTACCGCCCTGTCCGCCGACCGTGACCCAGTCCCAGGAACTCAGGTTCAACACGAACTTCGCCAAATTGCCCGACAACTCCGAGATCATTTTGGGCACCAAGAACTTGGTGGGCGCGATGATCGGCAGCGACGTGCCGATCGAATACGTAGCGCCTTTCATCTGCATCATGGCAGACGTGGTCGCCAAGAAGTACACCATATTGACGTGGACCACGGAAATCGTGGATTACGTTTTGAAATGCGGCAACGAGCTGTTCGGTGCTGCCAAGCTTCGATACGATCAGGTAAAATCTTGTGCTGGGAATCGCTTGGTACAATTTACGCGAGCTGTGTACCAATTTGCAGGTGTCCAAATTGGAAATACCGAAGATAACTTTGGGATCCACTGTGTTTGCGGTTCTTGTTGAATACGTTTTCGACAATTACACCAAAGCGACCACTTTGGAATTAGCCTTGGATAAAATACTATTTGTAAGATCTAATTTCGGTGTGATAGTTACGCCGGCGTATGCTTGTGCAGTGATGTTTAGAAATCACCTGTATTATCTGTACGATCCTTATGGTAACAACGAACTAGGTCACAGCGAAGGTTAGTGACGTTCAAACTAAAAAATTCCCTGTGCAATTCTTAATATGTTTTTAGGACTGGGTAAAAATGGTGTGGCCGTTTTCGCTCGATTCAAAGACATCCATTCATTGGTAACAAGAATATTGTTCAACAAGCGGAAAAGAGAAAACAACGAAGACATTGCGTATAGTAGATTTGTAGTGAGCACTGTAAAGGTAAGAGAAATTATCGATTACGCTGGTGAGAAATACAAAAAGAAAGAGGAATCTAAGAAGAAGCCCAAACCCGAAGTTATTTGCGTTGGAGCAGACGAAGAACCTGCATCCAGGAAGCCTGAAAACAGAGTAGGGTGGGTTTTTTAGAAAGCACTAAACGTTTTAAATGTTTGATATCGTTCAATTTGTTATTAGTTACTACTTTGAAGACGGAATGTGGATACTTCCGGGTACGAAAGTTTTGACTAACAAATCAGAAGTTTGCGAAGATTTGAAAGAAGATCATTTCATATGCATATGTGCTTGCCTTATGCTGTTTACTACTCCAATTGAAAAATGGTCCACGAAGAAAGTAATAGGCGTAGTAACAGTCAAACATATTTTTTATTAATTTTTGTTTCTGTTTTTTGTAGGTCAATTCAGCTTATTGTATCGGGAAAAACGTTTATTGTCATGCTGAAAGTTTGCTTATCGTCGAGAAAAGGTATATAAGAAATATTTTAATCGAGAAGAATTTCTTTGATGTCATTGTTAAAAAGTTGGAAACGAGTACTAGAGGAGAACTGTGTGCAGGTACTTTTCTTCTCCAATTTTAAAATATACATTTTGATGCTCCTTCCAATGGCATATGAATGGAATTAATAAATTTCTTTGTTCGAAATTAGCGGTAGAAAGTGTGGTAGCCAGAAGAATTCACTATTTCATGGTGCAATTTCCTAACGCCTGCTACCTCATACATCAAAGCCCCGATGGTGTTTTTCACTTTTTCGATCCGTACGGAGTCAGCGATGGCAAACCGGCCGGTTGGATAAAGTGCTGCAACGTGCACGAAGTCGAATGTAAATTAATAAATCGAATATTAGAAGGATGCGAATGTTTCTCGTTGTTCAACTTCGACGTAATGAGAATATCGAAGGCTCCGAGGAGCGTTATTCTTAGTTACAAACTGGAGGTATGGAGTAGTCGAGTTTTTTTCCCTTTATTTATTATAACGAAGTTTATATTTCTATTTATTCGTTGATAGTTGTTCGATATGAAACCAAAACCGCCCAAGAAAGAAAAATTGGGCAGAGCCTTCTACGAAGACTCCGATTGGCTGGATATGGATCCTGTAGCGTGGTCGAGAATGAACCAAAGGGCTGCTAACGGCAATTTGCGTGGAACGATTGAAAACATGTGGTACAATTGGGATATCGAATATCCCGATGATTTATGGTCGTTATTAGGAAACATTAATCAACGTAATATCAAGTAAGCACCATTTTATTTTGCGACAAACTTTTGCTTCAGTAAATTACATAACGCATGGAATTTTTATTTTAGATTCTCCGATGCAAGCAGAGGAAAACAGACTTTGGCGAATTTGGTAGTAGCCGTTGGTATGATTAGAATATACGAATTGACCGAGTGGAATTCGGCCGTTGTCGATTCTGTTTTGGTTAACGGAGAAAATTACTTTTTGCAATGTCTGGGAGATAATAAGCAAGAAAATTACGAGTTGGGCATGGACGATTTAAAACCCGATTGTTCGATATTTCCCTTTCAATTCACAGTCGAATGGTCTCCTGTCGTTGAGGGCACTATGTTCCTGGTTAGACCGTCTCAGTTTAACTTATACAAAGCTCTCAGGTATGATATTTATACAGTATGACAATTTAAAAACTTACAATGGATATATCTCCCAAACGAAGTATGATAACAAAAAATTTCAAAACAAGATATGTAGCACCTCCTAAATAATATGCAGCTGCAGTTAGGATGGGGTTGATGGGGGTGAATTATTTTTTATGCAATTTTAGTTTCTTCTTCATATCCTAGAAACGATTTTAGGCATTTTTTGTTTTCATCTTTCGTTTGGGAGATACAGCCATTGTAAGTTTTTAAATTGTCATATTGTATGATCAATTGGGGTATTGCTTTTAACCGAAATTAACTGAGATTCTCTGTTAATCTTAGTTGCTTAGTTATTATAACTGTTCTTTTTACTTGTATCAACTGATATTGATGTGAGATTTTGTTAAGAAACTCATTTTAACTGGGCTTGCGTTTTACATGGTTCTCAAATGAGATAAGTCCAGGCAAGTGTAAATAGGTATGTTCTATTTAGACAACAGAAACTAAATTATTTAAGTCAAACTAAGATACTCAACTCAAAAGGTCTTAATTACTTGGTAAAAGGAATACGCCCTTTATTTATAAAATACTTGTAGGATCTTTCTAAACTTTGTCACCTCCTACTTATTTAGGTGAAGATTATATTTTCATAGACTGAAACAGAAGAATAAACTGTCACCTGTCACTGCCAAAAAACGTCAAAATTGTCAAATACAAACAATTATTTGAATTTTAACCGTCAACCTGTGTGCAACTATTTAATATTTGTTTTACACATTTACATCATCTATAATGGATTATACAGATTCTAACTCGAAAGATCCAGAGCTTGCAGTGTCTTTGAAGAGCCACAGCAAACCGGTAACAGATCTAGCATTTAATTCAACGTCTACATACTGTGTAAGCAGCAGTGAAGATCACACTCTAATGGTATGGAATCTAAAAAGTAACGAGAGGAGTTACTGCATTTCCGGACACACGGACGTTGTTACGAGCACCGATTTTTCGACGGACGATTCGCTAGTAGCATCTGGTTCAAAAGACTGCAGTATTCGATTGTGGGTACCTTCAGTTCGAGGTGGAGCTCACACGATCCATGCGCACACATCCAGCGTCAATTGCGTAAATTTCCACCCGAACAACAGGAAGGTAATCACCTGTTCTAACGATAAATCCATCAAACTCTGGGACGTTGCGAAAAAGCAGTTTGTATCGAGCTTTTTGGACCACACGAGCTGGGTCCGTTGCGCCAAGTACTCACCGAACGGCGATTACATTGCCTCAGCAGCCAACGATCATACAGTAAGAATATGGGACGCTAAAACAGGCCAATGCGAAGCCAAATTCGATACACCAAATCGCAATCCGACATCTGTAATGATACACCAAAATAACAACTCGGTGGCTGTCGCAATGGACTCTGGTTCTGTTCGAGTGTACGATTTCAGGAACAACAAACTGCAGCAACACTATACCCTACATGATGGTGCTACAAAATGCGTTTGTTGGCATCCCACAGGGAATTACTTCTTGAGTTGCGGTGAAGATGGGAAAATTAGAGTTGTAGACGTACTGGAAGGCAGGCCTATTTACACTCTTTTAATTCCCGGGATAATTAACGTGTGCAAATTCAACGCAGATGGAGAATCGTTTGCGTCCGGTGGTGACGATAGGTGTATTAGTATTTGGAAAACAAATTTTATTGAATAAGTTTAAAATCCAAGTTTTGTGATAAGCATTAATTTATTATGTATACTCTATATTTTGTAACTTTAGGTTTATACTGCTTTGTGAACACTTGAACTTTGTTTTAAGATCGTTCTTTGCGAACGTTAACTGTCGCTCTGGAATCGTCTTGTTAACAAAATGCCAAATGAAGAGGCAAGTGGCATTCGGGAAAATTAAGGAAGCCGAGTATTACGTGTTCGACTGCGATTGTCGAGGGAAACCGATGTTTGTCAAAGACCAAGATGTCGCATACATTCTCCGTATGACGAGCTTCCTGCGGCTGCTTCATGTGCTCACTTTAATTCTAAGAGGAGGAGATTTTTACATTTACGATGTGGTTATAGGCGATATGAAACCGATGAGTTAGAGTTTGAATGTGTTTTGTTTTTTCGATATGCTTGTGATGTCTTTTGATCAATTTGAATAAATGTTAAAATATATTTTATTGGTTTATTAAAAGAAGAATAAGATTTTAAGAAGATGAAAACAGGGTGTCTGCTATAAAAACTGCCAAATTTCAGGAGTGAATTTTGTTAATTTCATAATTATTTAAATTATAGAAATGAAATCTTATTTGAACTTCTTTCACAGCTTATTCACTATAGCTTCTTTTATACTGATAATACTTTTCTTATAGCAAATTTAATGCACATTTATTTTACTTTTAACGCAATTTTAATTCACTTTGGTATGTGATCAAAATAAATGTAAATTTAAATTATTCGATTCAGTGATATTTTCGTCTTAAGACGGTTTTCCATTAAACGGACGGTAGAGTTTGTTCTGTTTCAGTTTTTTGGAACCTGGAGAACAAAAACAAAACTGAAACAAACCAAGCTCCATGTTATCGCTTTCAAACACAGGACTAGAAAAACAAAAACAAAAACTTACGTAAATCGAAGTCTTTAAAAAGCTTGCGAAAAGTTTCAGTTTCGTTTTCATATTTCGCAGGCATGAGTTTAAGTTTTGTTTCTGTTTTGTCCGTTTAATTATTATTATTAATGGAAAACCGTTGTTTCCACGGTTGTTTCCACTGAGTAGATTAGAGTTTTAAAGCCGATTCGAAACTGTCGAAAACCTTTTGATGTTGCCGCTTTTGAACGGGACTCGAAAAACAAAACTCAAAAAGACTCAAAAGTCTTCAAAAAGTTTCAGTTTTGTTTACTTCGACATGAGTTTAGGTTTTGTTTCTGTTTTGTCTACTTAATGAAAAACCGTCATAAATATGGCATTTTTCATTTTTGGTTCGAAATTACTTGTATAATCACCTAATCACTCCCTGAAAATGGCAGTTTTTATAGTTGACACCCAGTATAGTGTAAGATAAATTCAATGAAAATTAAACGCAATTTATAAAATTGCATACAAATAGAATTATCAAGAATATAATTCAATAAAAATAAAGGATATATTAAAAATAAATTAATAACACATAGATAATCGTGTAACCAAAAACATAACCTTGATCAAAATGACTATTACGACGTAAGAAGGTTGATAAAGCGTTTATAATGAATGGAATTATTAGGAATTTCCTTTGGCAAGGTTTTTCCCTTGTAGAAAGTACCAAATTCGTGCTGTTGGAAGCAAAATCAATCAGATATCGAACAATCGTACAGAAAATGGGTTGTTCTAATTCAAAATCGATCGATATTACAAACTCCAAAACCCAGGACAAATGTGAGTATATTATTTTCAACAAAAACTAAAGTAGAAGTAGGCCTTTTGTCGCATTTTTTATTTTGACATGTCAAATAAGTCAAGTGAATCATCGAGGAAACATAACCTATCTTTTATATTTTTGTTATTTATTTTTAAAAACAAAAATGTTTACAACTTTCAAATGTTCAATCGTTCAATTTTGCGGTTTTGAATTTACTAGGTAAAACACAATTTCCTTTATTTGATTTTATTTCAATAAGCCACAATATCACAACCGAACTACATAATCCTAAACCAAATGTTCTATTAATAGAACAAAATGCTCTAAAAATTATCAAACATTCAACATGTTACTACACGGACGTTAGCTCTACCATATCCATATTGAGCAAGTGCAAAACTTGTATCGATTTTTCTACACAGTCCTATTTCTATGATGATCTAACTCTTTACATAACCAACAATCCTAAATTCCATATAAGCAATGTTAACTCTAATCCACTGTTTCTCAAAAGGGTTATTTACCGCAACACACCATTACTTTTCAGGTTCGATGCAAGAAAACAAACCCGAGGAAGAATACGTAGAAGATGTCGTTTGTAATCTAAGCGACTTAGCGGAGAACGAACTAAAAACGGTAGATTTAGATGAAGGGAAGGTTCTTCTGGTGAAACAAAGAGGTGTTGTCAGCGCTATAGGCACAAAATGCACGCATTACGGGGCTCCTTTGGTGGGGGGTGCTTTGGGAGACGGAAGGGTGAGATGCCAATGGCACGGAGCCTGTTTCAACATCCTTACGGGTGATATAGAGGACTTTCCCGGATTGGACTCGCTCCCTTGTTACAAAGTCACTATAGACGATGGGAAAGTTAAAGTCAGGGCTAAAAAGTCCGATCTTGCTGAAAACAAGAGAATAAAAAAGATGGTGACGAGGGACTCGAAGGAAGACCAGCATATTGTTGTCGTAGGTGGAGGCCCATCTGGTGCTGTTTGTGTGGAAACATTGAGACAGGAAGGGTTCTCGGGGAAGATTACATTCGTTTGCAAAGAAAAATACCTACCTTACGATAGGGTGAGTTTTTATTAAATTTTTTGTACTCGAGAAATTAATTTGAAATTATCGATTTTTATCGTAGTGGATATAACAAAAAATGTAATAACCGTCAATAAAATTCGATAATCAAATGAATTATTAAGATATAAGATAAAATTTTACAATGTTGATTTAGGTATTCAAATCGCATGTACATGGTGTTAATTAATTGAGTGCCGATACTTCAGGATGTGAATATTTGGATGATTTTAAGAAGAAAAGTTTATATCAATAATATGTCCTAAACCTTTCGAACTACAAGGTGTTACAATAAAAAAAAAACATTTTTCATGAAATTTTGGACGTGGACGTCTCTGGTAATAGTAGAAAATTAATTTTTGTCCCAAAAAAAGTGTTTCCATACATAGTGGGATACAAAATATCAAATACAGTCTCAATGAATTTAGGAAAAAAAATTTTTTGTTTTTAATTTTTTCACACGAAAATGGTACGTCGTACGAAAGTAAGTCTCCGGACCGAATTTGCTACAAAATAAATGAGGATTTTAAAAATAATTTTGGTTTTTAGAAAAAGCAGTGGTGTACCATATTTTCTTCAAACAAATTCAGTTCAAACCCCGTACAGACGTCACTGGTAAAAATTAAAAAAAATCTTTTGCCTCAAAAAATGCTCCTCAATAATTAAAAAGTGTGTACAAAAATTCATATAAATATCTAGAGTAATAAGAAAAGTATGATAGAAAAGTTATTTCCTTTCTAAAACTGTAACACCCTGTAGTTAGAAAACTAAGAGGACATATATCGATAAAAACTTTTCTTCTTAAAATCATCCAAATATTTACATCCTGAAGTTACGGCAGTCCATTAATTAACACCCTGTACGCTTTATTGCATTGCTCTAAAACAATCTAGAGCAAAATTATAATGTAATATTATTAACCATTTTTTCGGAATGACTGAAAAAAAGGGGCATCGAATTACCACACTCCATAATTAAATTTCTAATGAATTCTATTCTTCCCAACAGGTAAAAGTTAGCAAAGCCATGGGTTTCGAAATCGAAAAGACAACATTCAGAAACGAGTCCTTCTATAAAGAAAATTGCATTGACGTTCTTCTCAACGTTGAAGCCACTTCAGTGGACACGAATGCTAAAACTGTGACTTTAGGTATGGGTAAATCGATAAAATATGACAAATTATACATTGCTACCGGCTGCGTTCCCAGAAAATTGAGAGTACCAGGCTCCGATTTCAAGAATGTTGTTCTTCTGAGGGATTATGATGATGCTAGGTGAGTAAATTAACGAGGATATTACTTAAGAATACCCTAACAGTATTGTTTCATTTCAGCTACACCAACTCATTGCTATCAGAAGACAAGGAAGTCGTTATTTTAGGAAGCAGTTTTGTAGCTATGGAGGCAGCTAATTATTGCCAGAATAAAGTCAAGAAAGTTACTGTAATCTTTAGAGGAGAACTACCTTTTCAGCCATTTTTAGGACCAGAAATTGGTGCTGCCGTACTAGAATTATTCAAAAGCAAAAACATCAATTTCGTAACAAACAGCGGCATAACTGAAGTTAAAGGCGATAATGAAGGAAACGTCTGCGAAGTTGTTTTACCCAACGGTAAGTACTATACAGGGTGTTAATTAATTGAGTACCGATACTTCAGGATGAGAATATTTGGGTGATTTTGAGAAGAAATAAGAAAATTAATTTGTTTCTAAAATTGTAACACCCTGTAGCTCGAAAACTAAGAGGTTTTAGGACACATACTGATATAAACTTTCTTCTTAAAATAATCCAAATATTCACATCCTGAAGTATCGGCACTCAATTAACATTCTGTATACGTTAAATGTTGTACAATGCATTTGAACTATTTAAATTATTAGGATCGACTCTACGTGCTGATATACTCATAACGGGAATCGGAAGTACTTACTCCACGGATTTCGTAAAAAATTCTGGTATCCAAATGCGTTCTGATGGAACAATTGAAACGAACGAATATCTTCAAACTAATGTTCCGGAAGTGTTTGTGGGTGGTGACATAGCATTTGCCCCAGTATGGTGCCATAATAACGAAAAATCTGCTATCGGTCATTATCCTTTGGCTCATTACCATGGAAGAATAGCCGCATTGAATATTTTAGGAAAGAAGGCCATTTTGAAAGGAGTGCCCTATTTCTGGACAATGTTGTTTGGAAAAAGTATAAGGTATAATTTTATTTAATTCCACATTACCTACTAATACTAATAAAGAAAGATTATTAAAATAACAGCGGGCTAGAGTAAAAAGTTGCAATGATAATGATACAATATCAATCTTTCTTTTTCCTTTATAATTAAGTGTTTAATGGAAGTTGTCTTTATCGCACCCACAGCCCATATTACTTATATTTCAAACTAAATTAAATCAACCTGTATAGGCTCCTAAATAATCCCTTTTTTTTAGATATGCTGGATATGGAAGTTATGACAAAATAATATACGATGGAGATGTTTCCGATCTCAAATTTGTAGCATTTTATTTGAAAGACGGGATCGTAGTGGCTGCGAGCAGTTGCAATCGAGACCCTGTCGTTTCGCAGTTTGCAGAACTGTTGGCTCAAGGGAAGAAATTGACTGAGGAGGAATTGATCAAAGATCCCTTAGGGTGGACCAAGAACATTGTACCCAATTAAATGATTGGCTCGCTATAATGACGATGACGAACATTTTTTTGACATTAACTTAAAGCGTTTTTAATTGTATGTTAAATACATCTATTACTAAAAATAATATTGCTAATGAGCGTCGCCTTATATAATGTAATTAATATGTAATTTTATAATTATTAACCATCAAGTGAGATGTTTGCTGTTTATTGATTAGTTTTATTTTTAGAGCTCGTTATTTCCTGAATGTGCCTTTGATATAGTTATTTCTTAGAAATCAACAAATTACAATATATTTATGTTGTTATAGCATGTAAAAGTAAGTTCCTGTTATGTAACTTTGATTTTCCACTTGAATTCAATTTAATAATCCAGTATTTTTGTAAACAGTATTATGATCAATAAAACTTGTTTTTATTTTAACTTATTTCTTGTACTACAAGCCTTAGAGCTTAGTTACTTCACTTGTTCGGCTTGTTCCTGTTTCTTACATTCCTTTAAATACCTAAATTGATGAAGTAAAAATTTTTACTATTTCTAAATTTTTATTTTCACTAACATACCTAATAAATTAACTATTTAAATTTGAATAGTGTGATTTAAGTATTCAAGCACGGATTTACCATCGAACAAATCTTTATTACTGTTTAGACCTATTTCATTTTTAATTTTGTACTCTAGATCGACACACTATTCAGATTTAAGCACATGGTATAGAACGATTATAAAAGATTTCTTAATCCCAGGATTCGTTGATTCTTAAATGCCCTAAACGGGATTCTAATGTAACTTTGTCATAAAAAGGTTTAGCTTTGGTTTTGGTTTTAATAAAATTCTCTTCGTTTTTACCCAAAGCTTTAGCATGTCCATAAGATTGTTCCTGAAATTCCAAAAATTACAGTATATAACCGCTTGGTTTGTAAATCTGCAACTTACAGGCGTTAGATAAGAATGCCTCAAATAAAACATGTTTTCTCTTCAATTTCAAATGCATTCTTCAATTTCAAGACATCCTCGATTTTAGGTTCTTTGTAGATCCTGTGCTTTCCTGTATGTATATTACCATTGGGCATCTTCCTCCTTAACAATGCGTAAAATAAACGCATTTTGTATCTTAAATATTCGAAATTTCAAAAATATTTCTTAAATTATTATAAGGTTATGTTAATAATTGACAATTGACGTTATTGACAGTGACATATTTCTCCTTTCTTCTAATTTGAGTTTTAGTTGTTAGTACATTAAGTAAAAGGTCCTAGAGAAAAAAAAAACAGCCAAAAATATAAGAAGAAAATGTCACTGTCAATTGTCATTACGCAATTGGTTTTTTGGAGGAAAATATTGAAAATAAAATTTGATTAATCTTATTTAATATACAGAGGGTTTTATAAAATGTGGTTTGAAATTTTGCCTAGTTTCGGCATTATTTGCGTAGTGATGGCCGTTCCTCATGCATCTGCCTACCTAATAAACAAGGTGGCTGTCGGGAACATGTTCCGGAGGAACTTAGTTGAACGTGAACATCGATTCCACTACATGAGGGATATAAGACTAAATGGAAACGCATACAAAGTTCAAGGTTTAGAAGCAATTCCCGACATGTGAAATTTGTAAGTACCTAAATAATAAATAGCTGCTGTTCAATCAGAAATGTTTCAGTGTATCTATTACAGATAGAACTAGATAAACGATTAAAACTAGGTTTACCAGGGTAATGTGCGAAGTGCAGGTAGGGTAGGGTGGATTTACTCGTTGCATAACGAACCCAAGAAGCCCAAAAAACGTTCCCTAATCTGCCCATCATACTTGAGTATTTCGCACTTTACCCGAGTAAACCTAGTTTTAATCTTTATCTAGCTTTATCCGTGAAATATCCAATTAATCGAGATGTATAAATGACCCAAATTAATTAGTGTCTTAAAAGATTTCATAATATACACATTCGTATTACACAATTTGAGCCATTGCACCACCCAGTTGCAAGCAATAACTATCATATAAACTCATAATTCCCTGCATTTCCGAAACTAAGGGGTTTTTGAAAAAAAAATATAACGAATTAACATTATTTTTACATGTTCTATCAACTCCTGAAGTTATCCAGATAAAATCTGAATCACCCTGTAGATTTAGTTACATTTACTTTTAGCAATTAGCTAAGAGTATTGTTCAATTCATCTGGGTAGTTAAATGATGCTAGTACAAGTTAGAAACGCATATTTTGAAAAAAAAAGTGTTGCTCATTTATGTGATTAATACAAGTATATCTCGATATACCAGAGCATACTATATTTCTTAATAAATTGTTCTAATTATTTATTGAATATGCAGAGTGGTGTGATTTCAATGATGTACACACATGTCTGGACAGATAATTCATAATACTTTATTTCAGGGGTCAGAGACAGGATCAACTCAAAGTCAGTAGGATATTATTATTTGTAAATTTATTGTAAAATATACAACTTATATTAATTAAAGCGTTTTATTTTACTTTTCTTTTGAATTCATGTTTTATTGAACTATTTCTTATCTAATATTGTCTCAAAGAAGAACGATTCAAATGCTTGATTATAATATTTATAATAACTTTGATTAAAATTATTTCTTATTAAATATTCATTTAAATTCAATCCAATCTTGATCCAATTATAAAGGAAGAGAATTTTGTTATTCTTTTTCCATGCTTCTCAGGAATTATTGACCCACTGAAGGGATTCCATTTCTGTAACAATAAAAAATAACTTATTTATATGTATATCAAAAAATGCAAGATCAGAATAAAAAATAATACCTAAATAAGGCGTAACATGCATTAGTAACAAATTTTCAAATACCAAAAAAAATAAAACAAACTCTTACCATATCAATCATCCAAAATGTCCTAAGGAAGAATTCGACGTTTTCACTTTTTAACAATCTTCCGGCTCAACATGAAGCTTCTGGCGCTGCCTTTGCTGGAGGAAGAGCTCAAGGAACTTTGCGAGCTGGAACTGTGCCTGTCGATGCCCATTTTGGTGTTCCTGGAGCGAGTCAGATCGAGGAATCGATCGATAACCTGGCGCACCTGGCAGTGCGTTCGACTGAACGGATTCGTGTACATTTCGAAAAACCAAATAGCGAATACAAAATGTAACAATAACAATAATCAACCGGTAATGGATCGTTCAAAGCGGTTCTGCGTTTTGACGCTGGCTTGTTTTGTTCGCGCTTTTATACATGTTTTGGCGATGAACTTGATGGCGTCATTCGGATAGACCGGTCAAATGAAATGATTGGTAAATACGTTTTATATTAGCGAATTTTGAGATGGATTTAATGATGATCTAAAAATATGTCAAGTGGTTTTGCTTATCACATTTCAACGTTATTTCATTTAATTAAGGTCTAGGTAATTTGATGTAAACAAAAATATGAATTCTGGTGTTTATGTTTTAAAACAATCACTCTAAATTTGAATAAATAGTAATTATATAATGTACCATTACTAACCGAATATCCGAATTGAGGATATGGCAATGTTAAATGGGGTGTGTTATTTATTTGTTTATGATAGATTCGAGATGACGCAAATTAGTAATGAAGAAAGTTTCTCTACCTGATGTTACAGAAATGATTCGAGAAAAATAGCCAAAAATTCATTCAAAACTGAATTATTGAAATAGAAATTAAATTTCTTCCAGTTTCTCTGATGACGGAAGTAACTTTTTTGGTGCTGTTTTTCAATAGAACGATTGCTATGGGAAATTCCTGAATAGATAAGTAAATTTAGCTGCTTCTAAAAATATTTCCATCGCCCACATTTTACTGTTTTGTTTGCATTTGTAATTAGCAGTTTTTTGCATAGCGAGTTCAATTCACTCTATTCTAATGCAGTTGTATAATGTCATCTTACAGTTTGTATGGTAGTGCGTTTAAAGAATTTTTTTAAGTTCGATTCATAATATAATCCACTTGATAAGGAATTTCCATCTTACATATTTTAATAGTGGATATCAAAAATTTTATCAAGTTTATTTTTTATAATATTTTACTATTAATTGTTGAAAATGTGGTCCATTTTTGGTCTTAAACAAAATTCGTAATTTGAAAAAATTAAAATTAGTAGGCATTTGAATTGTTAATGGCATATTGTGTTTTAAAAATGGCACGGTTTTCGTCCTTGCCATTTTAATATGTATATTGTATTTACGTAGATAAAAATCGAATGATCTGTTTTAAAACGCAAATGTAATCGATAAGGCCAATGTTTGGGTAAGTCGTATTGAAAATTTATTCATGAATTTTATCAAAAAAATTATTCATAATATTTCTAGAAGATTCTGAAAAAGATTCTATAGAAAAGAGAGTTTAGAAAACCTATAAATATCTTTCTTTTTACAGTTATTCATTATTTATGTTTTTGAATTTTGAGTTAGTTTTTAATTATTAAGGCTCTAAGAAGTATTCTGCAAAACAACTTAATTATTTGGTTGATTGGGTGTTTCTCTATAATAGGTCGAATTTACGTCGGGTATATTTTTAATAAGCGGTTAAAGATCACCGAATAATTACGTTCCCATAAATATTCATTAGATAAATCTGCAAAAGTTTAGAAGAAACTGCTTGAACTTGATCTTGACGTCAAACACATACTTAATATAGGTTTTACATCATTAACTTTTAATGGATATTTTTCAGCACATTAATGGCAAAGCAGTCATTATACTTAAAACGAGCATACTTAATCTACGTAATCCGACAATAATAAATAATTTAAATAATTATTGATCGTGTAATTTTAGAATATTGAAATATTGTTTTTATGAAAACATTTTTGAAAAATTTTATGGTTGATACTTTCAGTAGATTCATAAATTCCATAATTACAATAAATGGTTGTTCCAATTACGTCTTTTTTACTTCTCCAACTCAGGTTTAAGATAACCTTTTGTTATTCTAATCCTACATTACCCATTATTTTATCTTACCCACTCCCTATTACCTAGCAAGAAAAATTAAATTGTGCTATATTTTATATTCATGTTGTAATACATATAAAAATAAGCCTACTTCCTCAATATCCTTTCCTATTTTTAGTTATCGTATGTAAACAAAATCATAAAACACCGATAAAGTTATTTTTAATCAAAATTCATCAGGAAATGTCCCTAATGAGGATAATCGTTATCGATTATCCTGAATCCCAGAGGTTAAAATAGTAAAGTTCAAGCAACTTTTCAGCAATGTCGACGACCTTATATTTGTTTCAGCGGCTCAAAAATATTATGAAAGGCGACCAAAACCATCAAAGATTGTTTATAATGCACCAATGAAAACGATGTTAAAACGAAATAGTACTATACGTAGTGAAATTGAAGAAACGGATGATCTATAAATAAAATTGTCACGTCATTTTCTGCTATCAAACAATCTTGATTGCTTAATGGGAGGTCAAAAGGTTATGTTATTCAGAAAGAGGTCGGCTGTTGATTAGCGTCAATTTAACCTAATTCGAGTTCGTAAAAAGTTTCTGTAAACAAATATTCGTATGATAGCTAATTCCAAAGACCAATTATAAAAAAAATAGACTTCTTTAAATATCTATCTACGAAACCAACGTTTCTAGGAGGAAGAGGAGGTCGTATCCTTGAGGGTTTTTACTAATTTCATCCATGCAGTAAACACCAACAGAACTGAAAACAAAACTAACACTCGGATTGAAGGTAAACGACGGTCTGGTTTATTTACAATGAGAATATTCGGGACAGATGAATATGTCGTACTTCATTTCACGTATTAGGTCGGACAGAGTTTCGGAATGCATTGCCTGATCTGCACTTCTCTTCCTTCTTGCTGGCAAGCCGGGTCGATGCACCTCCTCACTCTAGATTGCACTCCTATTCCACAAGTCACGCTGCACTTCGACCACTCCGACCATTGGCCCCAAATTTTCCTATCTGCAGGCAGCACGGCGGGCCCCTCCGTGTCGTTCTTCGCAGCCGGTTTCTTCACATTGTGCTTGACTTTCAGTTCCACCGGTATCAGAATCGTGGATATTAACAGTAAATAGGTGATGTAGTAGTGATACATGACATAGCAAATTTTTTGACAAACGTGTTATATGGTCGAAAGGACGAAAACATGTTCTAGCCTTACTTAATCGACAAAAGTCAATAGTAAAAAAATAACTTTGGCCTTTTATGTCTTGGTAAATATACGGCCTAGTGCATTATTTGACTTACTGTTCTTGTGGAATTCCACTACCTTTATACCTAATTTGATAGAGCTTAGAAGAGTTAAAACATTTAATACCCATCAGGCTGAATTTATCAGCATAATATCACTTGCTTTAATGAAGCCGAAATGAGCAAATAACAAAGTACCTACTACAAATTATATCTGATAATTTTTAATTTTTCCAAAATTAATATAGTATCTATAGGAATTAGTTACCAAGAGAACTCATATTTCATCATAAAATTGATTCCCGGTTAAATCCTAAAAAAATCTAAAAATGCAACAAAGAAAATGCGCCAATAATAAAAAAAGATTAATGTTCAATCAGCCGTTAATAACCGACTGGTTATTATTCGTTATCAAAAAGATACGAGCATTCATGTTATTATAAAAGTAATTTAATTGCCTTCTTTAAAGTACCATTGTTTTGCTTTAACACTCGTATGTACATCACCATAAACATTCTAGAAAATCGTTGATTTATTTTGTTGATTGTTTAGTAGACAATTAAGGTCGCTTAATCGCATTCCATAATAATTTGGTTTAAAAATACTAGATACATACTACATATAGGTAATAAATAAGCGCAGTCGTAAAGATAGGCTTTTTATTAGAATAATAAAATAATATAACATCATTATAATAGTTTTTTTTATATTATATGATATTATCAATATGTCTTTTACTGTTATCCTCGGTATTATCTACAAGTTTTTCAATTTAATGTTACTACCTATCTTCCTCTGATTATTCTTCTCTGTAGGATTTTTTACGTACAATACTTGGTGGTAATAACTTAAATAAAAAAATCCATTTAGAAAAATAGAGTTGTCTGCAGATTAGCTTTAATAACAAGCAAAAACACGTTTATAAAGTTATAATTAATTACAATTTGCTATTTCTGAATGCAACGTTTTCATTAAATTACACTTAACTATTAAATGGTAAATTATAAGTTTCACATAACGTACGTAATGACCAAAAGCACGCACGTTTTGTTTAACGATTTACTAATGAAACATATTGACGTAAATTTTAAATTGATCGTCACTATTTTATTTTTCAACGGAGAGCAATATTTATATTAGATGTAAATTTTGCTATATTTGATAAATTGTTATATTATGTTAATATTTAAGCGTTTAATGTTAGTGATTTATGAAGAAGATTCTGTTTTAAGATACAACGTCATGGAGACTCTGTGAAAACGGAATTAATTTGAATAAAATAGAAAAGAAACGTGCAGAGGAAGAAGGAAAGCGAATATCATAATTCAGAGGATATAATTTGTAAATTAGTAACCAAATAAAATTTCAATAATTGCTAATGGGATTTTAATTACTCAGGAGCATATCACATTACCAAATTAACATAACTATAATAAAAGAACAAATTTTAATGATTTAGTTCCGTTCGCATAATTCAATTTTAAATCCCGATTTTGGAATTATATTAGACAGTTAATTACTGCATTTTTTTCAATCGATCGACTTACATATTTTTATTATGTTATATATTCTTATTATGTTATTTGCTCTTTATTCTTTACTTACATATGGTTTATAAAAAACAAAATCAAATGTAGGTACAAGATATTTAAATTTCCTACAATAAATTGTAATTTACTCGCATGAAAATATTTTGAAAATATGAATGTAATTAATAACAATATTGATATTAATTTAATGAGGCGGATTATAAAGTCGGATGTCATACTTTTGGGTAAGTACTCATATTTTTCATAAATTTATTTACTTAACATTAATTTATAATTTTGGTTCCTTTATTTTTTTTAATCCATTAATTATTTGCCTCGCTTTAAATGCTAAAATTATTAATTTTTATATACTGATTTTGCCTTTAATGTGAATGCCCACTTAGTACATACGTACCTAATGGAACATATTTTTGTAATTTATGCATTGTTTTTCAAAACAATAATTAAGAGTAAAATTTGCGTAAAAAGGCTATTTACTTAGGTAATTGTTGTTTTTGTGAGATAACTTACTTTGACGTGAACTAACTTAATTGGTATTAGCCGAGGTTGATATCTAGGAATAAAACATTCCACATTTCTTTTCACAAGTAGGTACTTAGTTTTGCAAAGGAAAACAACGAAGCTTTACGTAAAATTTGAAATCAAAGTGCAAGGCGATGTGAAATTCTTGGAAAGGAATTATGTACCACATATCATAAAAATATCTAGTGTGTATTAAGAAAAATATCTACCTACCTATAGATGTTGATGATTCTGAAGTCCAATTCTCTCATTCAAAGAATAAATCTTTCTCTGCTTAAAAATATTAATGATACATCAACAGTTGGTAATCTTTATTGTAGATTCGAAAATCTACGTATGTATAAACTGCACATGTGCATGCATTATTTCCAATAATATACCTACGCAGGTATGTATAACTAATTGTCTTCTCATTATTTTCAATAATATATTTCCAATTATAAAAATTAATTGCGTTCTTCATTACAACAAATAGGCAAAATAACTACCTAAATATACATTTTTTAAAGCCAGTGTTATCTACATGTGGGTATTTACCTACATTTTATTATTCGGATATAAAATTAGTAATTATTATTAAAACCTGATGGCGCCAAATTTAGTCTTTTTCTTATTAAAAATAATTACACGACTTTTTTACTTTACACTAAATTATTAAAGTAATACTTATTAGTAGCTAATATCTAATTGATTAACGCATTATGATGCAAGAAACGAAAATATTGAATTTATTCATTTTTTTTCTGGAAAAACATTGGTTTTTCAATACGCTAATATTCTGGGAAATCCATGTAAATTTTACCATGTTATTGTAAATTTAAATTTGTACAAACATATTAAACAATTTATTTAAAACTGGCAATATGTGTAACACGTGGGTTTTAAATTTTGATTTATTTGAAACAAACATACGAAAAATTGGTAATAATTATACACACATTTAATAGGTATTGTAATTTCCACACATGCTATGTTATGATGATGAAATATTAATTTAAATCAATATCCAATTAAAATTTATTATTGAATAGATAGGTAAATTAGCCCACATTTACAACGCCTGTGTAGGTAGATTATTCAAAGAAACTAAATAAAAAAATATACATTATATCGTGAACTTGTTACAATAAAATATATCTTCAGTTAACACGAGCTAATAAATGGAATTGTTATGCTTTTTAATATCATATAATTACATTTAATTAGAAAATGTGTACTTGGTTATTATCAGAAACTATAAATTTATTCATTTATAATATCAATGTTTTCATGCGTGCACTGCGGGGTTAATGAAATACCGAACGAGATTCCGATGAGAAGGAAAACAAATTTGTCGCAAGAGTTCAAGAAATTCCAAAAGTTTGTTTTGTATTGCACTTTTGACTCGTATTTTTCGTAAATAAGTTTAAGGTCTAATTGAATTTTTTTCGCGTTAAATTATCATTTTAGAACATCTACGAGTTTGATAGGGTAATTTATTGAAGCTTCTCCTGTGCAACACCTGTCAGTTTTTTTCCATTAATTTCCGTACTCGGTAAACTGACCCCAATTATATCAGCTGTTTTACATAATTTAGATAAATGTTTGCCTAAATTTTAGCATCTTTTCATATAGCGGATACTGCAATGGAGAAAAGCTACACTTATTATTATGCGCCACAATACTTTTGTTATACCTACGCCTTATCCAGTTTGTTTTATTTCATTGTCAAGTTTAATAGCTACAGTAGTGGACAAAAATATAACACTTAAGATTGGCTGAATCAATTTATTATATTGACAAGGTTGGAATATCTACAAACTAATTTATTATTTTATGTACAAATGTTATAATGATATGCTAAAAAAATACCTATCTACATACAAAAACCGACGAAGCAGAAAGAAAAGGTCGATAAACTAAAAAAATCACAGAAATCCTTAGTAATGTTTAATTTAGGATAATTGTATTAAATTTTTGATCAAAATTTCCAACCAAGTCTATTTCCAAAAATATGTTTCATACAATTCATATAAGGTAGACTGGGGCAAATCGGTTGTAAAATTTGAATAGTTCAAATTAAATCCTAAAATGTGGCTTTATTTTTCTCTTATTAGAAATGCTGATACCACATTAAATTCACAACTTCCTAAACTAGAGAATCGAGGTATTAAAGTTTTTTTGAAAAAGGAAGAAAACGATTTTACATATATTTTTTAAAATGTTGACAATATGTTACATTTACCCCATGGTACGGTTTCTAAAGAGACGGTTCTAAAGAGACAATACAATTATATAGAAAAACATATAGGGCAATTATAAATACATATTTGGTTCCTCTAAAATTTGATATGCTGTTTATTTATTTATTTCAAAAAATAACAGAGCTACAAAATAATAAAGAAAAAATAAGAAACAAACCCTAATGCACAAAAGAACTATAAAAATAATAAAAATATTGACATAATAGGTAAAAATATTACATTTACATCATTTTTACATTTGTCCCAGTCTACCTTACATAGGTACATCATGTATTGTTTACATATTTGATATTCAGTAATAAGGAGAAATTTCTGGTTTAAGTTAGATGTACTTTGTACGGGTATGAAATTATTTATTTCAAGAGAAATTGCTTTCTAATATTTAAATTTAAACTACACCTAACGCAAAGATTACAATCCCAAAGACGCGCAGTTTAAACATTTTTCAAAAATTAAATTTATCAATGTTATGAACAATAATGCCTGCTGATCGCTTAATGGCATGACGTCCAAATAAATCCCACAATACAGAAACCAATCAACAAAACAAACGTTCGAATTCATTAAAATTAGCAACTGACAAAATTACGGCATTCCTCCGGCCGATCGAATATGTCATGAACTTCGTCCACGCACATGGGGTATAAAGTGTATCTTGCAACGGATCCAACGGTTTCGGCCTTGTCTGGCCGGCCTGTAATCTCGGTGACGGTGACGCGCCTTCCGTCGACGGAGGTCTATAAATTGCCGCGGATCGGCACCAGCTCCAAACAATACAGCACGCGCGTCCGGCCGGCAAACTTCTCCACTGGAAGTTGTAACAGCGAATCTGATTCAAAACGCACCATGTACACCAATCCGTTCAGTCGCACGCACAGCCACGTGAGGCAGATCATCGACAAGTTTCTCTATGTGAACCCCAAGCAAAGGAGCGACGTGAAGAGAAGCGGCTCCTCCAGCTCTTTCGGTTCCTCCACGTCCTCGTCTTCGGGAGGCTCTAAGTGGAGGTATGGCGGAAGTGCGGCGAAGCTGTTCAAACACTGAACAGCTTTGGAGAATTTGTTTTATTTGAATTCACTTCGTTTTTGGTAAGTACTACCACTATTATTAAATACACATATGTCCAAATATTTGGAATATATTGTAAATTTTTCACTCTAAAAGAATAAATAGTTTTTTGCACATTGTTTATCTAGCTTTGAGATTGATTTAATATTAGTGTGACTTTTAACTTTTAACAAAATGATGTTTAATTGTTCAGAAAAAATTATAGATAAAAGATCATCATAGATGAAATATTCTAATATTCCAAACTTTTGGACATATGTATACTGTAGTTGGATTAAGCTTATTTGAAGTTGCGTTATTAATATTATGTTGAAATCGGTTTTAAATAAATATTCATTTATCAACGCATCAGTAACCGTTTTTATACGTTTGTCTTTCGTTGAAATATAAATTTGTTATTTCATTAAAACTTAATTGATGATAAATTGGCAATCAATTCTGCAAAGCGAATCATTGCTATTGAGTTATTTCTTTCTAGAATTGTTAGATGAATTTATTGGTTTAAATTAATTACGTGGGCTTAATAGAAGTTACTTAAGTTAAAGTAGGCTATCTGAATGTGTGACCCGCAAGTCGAACGATAAATCTTTATCTTGGCGTTGAAGAGAACGGAATTGTCACTGATAATTGATAATTTTAGAAAAATTAATACGAATTAGTTAGAATTTTGTTTCTTTAATTTTACATGTATGTTTATTTCAATTTGATTTTTTTGTTTCAGAATAGCCATATCTGTCGTAATTTCAGTGAAATTGAAGCCGCATTAGAAGTAGAGGATTGCGCAAATGATTAATTTCTTACACTTAATATTATTCGAATCATTCGTTAATATAGAGAAAGCCATGTGATGGAAAATTAAAATAATTTTCTTGTACTGATTATCTAGTCTTGTAGTTGTTAAGTTTATTTATTGTGATATAATATTTAAAATAAAAAGTGAAAATTATTTGAATCTTTATTATTAAACCTACCACATAATTTCACAAAGTTATAAAATAATGAATGTTATGTCTTCTTCAAATTGTTTAAAATCCTGCACATATTAGACACAGAATATTAGAAAGAAATTATTCAAAGGTGCTACTATTAGATACCTATACATACCAATGTCTACGTATTTTTTATACTTATCAATAGATTTTCTTCGTTTTCTAATTATGAACATTAAAATAATAAAATAGGTTGAAAAATACAAGTCTTCTAGAAGAGTTAAATTATTTATACATTCATACTGATGCGTATGTGCATAATTATTTTTTATTAATTAATTGTAATATTGAAGCGTATCAAAACGGTAATATCGCAGTTAATATCAATGGAGTGTGTACTTACAAGGACATAAATTAAATTTAGTTTAGAGTGAGTTATTTTTAGATTTTTTTGAGAGCATGTGTTGGAGTAATATTCTCAAGCAAATTACTGTAGATAAATTTTTCACTTGTCGTTGTTACGTCATTAATTTCAGGAGTAAAAGAAACGTAAAATGCACTTAAAAGACCTACATCCTCAATTATTATACGTACACAAATATGATTGATGTATTTAGAACAAATTAAAATTTAAGAATCTTTGGAAACGCTTATCATAATTAAAATACGGACGACTTATTTTAAAAGTAATGAATAAAGTGAAACACTAATTAACGTCATTGAAAGATTAGTGACAAAATTTTGTAATATTACAGATATGTCTTTAATCTAAACAACACTCATTTAAAGTTTTTAAAATCTCTAACTGGTTTTTATTTGGAACTAGTATATTTTGGAACTAGTACACTAAGTATAAGGTAGACTGGGGCAAATGTAAAAATGTAATATTTGTACCTATTATGTTAATGTTGTTATTATTTTTATAGTTCTTTTGTGCATTAGACAGGGTTTGTTTCTTATTTTTTCTTTATTATTTTGTAGCTATTTTTTGAAATAAATAAATAAACAGCATATCAAATTTTAGAGGAACAACCCCTTTTCCCGTACCATGCGGTAAATGTAACATATTGTCAACATTTTAAAAAATATGTAAAATCGTTTTCTTCCTTTTTCAAAAAAAGTTTTTAATACCTCGATTCTTTAGTTTAGGAAGTTGTGAATTTAATGTGGAATCAGCATTTCTAATAAGAGAAAAAATTAAGCCACATTTTAGGATTTAATTTGAACTATTCAAATTTTACAACCGATTTGCCCCAGTCTACCTTATTTCATTCTAATAAAATTATTATCTATTAAAAGAAATACCATTTGAACTCACTAAAAATTAATTTGCCTATCAAATTGCGTTAATTAGGTGCATCATAATTGTTGTATGCTAAACGTGACAGTTATTTACTGTTTTTTGAACTGCCAAATTACTGCTATACAATGGTATCCTGAAATAACAATTTACTTACTTTCGCATAACGTATGTAGGCACAGATAGATAATAGACAGAATAATGAATTTTAATAATAGATAATAATGTAATTTAATTTCATATTTTCGTGTTACCAAAATTGCATAAAAACGTATTTCAATTTTCAGGTATATTTTTGTATTTGTTAACAAATATAACAATAACAAAAATTGTTTCCAAAAAGTCTAATAAAACCGTCTAGTTTTATATTTTAATTGGTAAAATATTTAAATCTTTATCAAATTTGTAAATTTTACCGAATTTTTAAAAAATGGAATTTAAAACAATTCACAAAGCTATAGAAATATATCCTTGAATATCCCTCGAACGCCTATCGGCGTTCTACGCAAACACAGTTAAATTTCCATGGTCTCGATCGCTGCGCGAGCTCAATTTGTTTACTGTAAATTACGATGGGCCCTGCCGCATAGACCCTTTAGACACTTCAAACTTCCAGGTGCGTTATTAACAGTGATATCCTAGAAAATACATTCGACTGTTTTTCCAAAACATTTCTAAAAAAACAGCTAAATAAATAAGCTAAAAGTGGTGCATTTTTGGCATATGGTTATATGGTACTATTATCAAAGTCTTGTTAAAAAGGGCAGCAGAATCCAAAAATGAAGTCAAAAATGGTACTTTCCATTTAAAATAACGAAGTTGACATCTACTTCCGGTATAACCGGAAGTCACATATGGTTGAAAATATTTTAGAAAAACTCACAACATTGAATATACCTTGCTCCTGAATTTTCAGGTTCGTAATTCTTCAGGAACTCCGAAATGTTCTAATGCCCGCCTTACGTGGGACACGGTGTATATGTATTGTCAGTTTTTTTGATTTACATTGATTTAAATAGAAATTTTTTAAATTTGTCTACAATGTATTTTTTTGTCTAATTGAACAAATTATTTTTTTTTCAGCCCATGCATACACTTAACATTTGTAGATAAAAATATACTTGTCATTAGAGAAAACATGAACATTACCTTTAAAAGAAATTACCTTGATGTTAATTAATAATTAATTATAATTTTAAATAATTGTTTAATGATAGTTTAGTTTATGTAAGAGCATATTCACGTGAACTAATCAGAGAACACTAAATTAAACCCAAATAAAAATCAGCGCACAATAAATAATTAACTATTATAGTTCGATAATTAATCAAAAAAATGGCCAGGCAATTTTTCAAACGGTTAAATATACACATATGTACATATGTATGTACCACAAAAAACAATATTTTTCAATAATTATTTGCTCAAATATGCCAATAATGTAATTAAATTTGTCAAGGACTGAACTTAACATAAATCAAAAATATTCTACTTGCTGATCAACAATGTGCTGTTCTCCCATAAATATTTTCGTCTAAATATTTCGAACTATTATTTTCGAATCTCCATTTTTTAACCACTTGAATTGTCTGCACTTCATCATAAGTAATAAATAAAAAAATTAGATAAACATAATAGTCACTGCTACTTATCACTAATTTTGAGTCAACGCTTTGTTATATGGTTTTCATTCCTAAGCACTTTAAGGAAAAAAAATGTCAAACAAATCACCTGCCAGAGTGCTACCTGAAGTATTTTTTATAACTAAACTTGTGAAAATGAAAGAACAGATTTCTATTAAATAAATTTTGTTGCTTACAAAATTGCGGCTCTTATTTGCCAATTCTCTTGGGCAAATGTAAATAAGCACTAAATAAATCAAAGGTAAGAATAATGAGCTTTAGAAACTTTACCTAATAATAGAACAAAAATTGCTTGTTGAGCGCAAATTTAATGGCTACATATTTATGTACATCAAAAAAGAAAGTGAAAAATTGATGTTTACGGTTCGAATGGTGGTGTGGCATAATTTCACCAAGTTAAATTAATATCTTTTAGTAATAGTCCGCTTCCTGTGTAGATTACTGCGAGAATAGTACAATTTAAATTAATTTTGCTGTCAAGCGATTTTCTGTTATCATGCATACATAGATAACACCGTTAATTAATTGCTATCCTAAATAGATTCATCACGTTTTGTAAGTTGTAAAAAACTCGTGCGATCTATGTAGGTAAAACTAGACAAACATTTCTATGAAAATTAAGTCTATTTTTACTTTTATATGTAATAATTATTTATTTTTTACCAAGGTAAGATGAATTAAACGCGAAGGTTGTTTTGATGCATCTGGTTTCTCAGGAAATAAAGCGCGTGGAAATAAACTAGAAACAACGTTTATTTCCTGTTTTTTTAGATTTTAAGGTTCCTTCTTGGTTGAAGTGCAAATCTCCGTATTATGATTAAATGTCTTTAGGATTTTCCAATCGAGCCGAGACGAAAATAAAACTATACATACATGTAGACATTTCAATGACATCGTGTATTAACCTTTTCTGACCGGAAATTTTTTACGTTGATACATTACCTATGTTGTTGATGAAAATTGGGCGCAGGGCGACATTGATTAAAAAAAAACTGAATATGTATTTTTAATAATACCTACCTATGTATACTGTTTGGATGTTTCATTTATAACGCTATTTATTTTTTTAAACGGAATAGGAGTATCTAAACATAAGTAAATAAGTTGTCATTACAAATTGACAAAGTATGGTAAACTACAAATAATTGCACCTTCATAAATACTTGTTTAGGTTTAATTAATTTTTTTAGTTTTTATTAGTTAATTTATTTTTTTGCGGTTACTGTTAGTTGGAAAAATACTTGCATAAAATTGTACTACAGTTTCAAAATAATATGCAGAGACTCATTCTTCAAACCCCGCTTACATATGCAGTTTTTTTCTTAAAATGGGTCCAAGAATCACCCCCTTAAATATTAGCATGTTATTAATAGCATGTCACCCTGTATACAAGAGCTTTCAATGAAGATTTAAAGACCTCCCAATATTTCTTCGGAATTCGCTGAGACCCGTCAACTTTTGTTATTGGGGGAGATTTTTGACAGTCAAGCGCTAAGCCATAGACAAAATAAAAGCCATCTTTCTTTTTCTATGCGCTAAGAGCGCATTCCTAGCAATTCCAAATTTAGAATTTCAAATGGAATTACCCTAGAATTACCTTCTTGATCATCCTAAATTTTTCTAGTTTCTAAATATTACTAATATTAAAGCACATCCATAATAGAGAGATGCATTATATTTTCAATATTATAAAATTATAGAAGATATTATAGAAATTACAGAGAGCTGAATTCCTTATTAGGCAGTGGTTATATTATGACATCTGTCAATGTCATTTACTTATAACCTATTCGTTTGAATTTTTACTATTATTTTTTTATACTTCGTTTCTCGTTTTTTATTTTCTCGTTTTACGTTTTTTGTGTTATGTTGGTGTGTGCACTGTGCAATTACACAAAACTTCTTTAAAAAACTTAGTTTTAGCCCTTTTTTTGAATTTTTAAATTATTTTAAAATGGTTCAGTCATGTTCAGCCTATAATTGTACCCAAAGGTATACGAAAGGCATTAAATTTCATAGGTAAGATGTTTCAAATTATAATCAAAATGATAAATAATTTTAACTTATAATTGTAGATTTCCAACGGATGTGAATTAAGAAGAAATGGATTGTAGCTATGCGACGAGATAAATTTGTTCCTACGAAATATTCAGCTATATGTGGGAATCATTTTCAAGAGAGCGATTATTCCTTAAATCCGTATGGAAATTTAGTGCTGAATAAAGACGCAGTACCGTCTATATTTCAGTTTCCGCCAGGGGTCAATAAAACGATTAGCAAGCCTCGAAGACCATTAAATAGGCATTATAATTCCATTGGTATGTGTTTACAAACATTAATATATTAAAAATTATGTCTCTATTTATCATTTTGCGTTTCACCACTTACAGATACTCCTTCTACATCTACTGCAGGATTGGATGTTTCTGATGAAAACTCTAAAGAGCAAACTCAATTGCCCACAGTAGAACAGTCTACCGAACATCATGGAAGAGTCCACTAATATAGATCAGTGTACAATGGAACAGAAAGAGCCGAGAAAGGTTACAAAAAGGTAATATTTTTGGTATCTAAAAATATTCGATAAAAGATTAGCAAGGTATTGGGTTAAAATTTTTATATTATGAATTTATTTTTTAGGAAATTCAGATATATAGGGGATTTTCAAGTGTCCGATCTTGAGTGTCCAAAAAAGAGACGCCTTTATTGGAATCCCACACAAAAATTTATGTCCAGTAGTAGACGAAAATATGTGACACTAAAGACCAAAATTCACAGACTTAAGAACAGGATTAATTATTTAAGTACTTTACTAACGGAACTGACAGAATGTGACAGAAAGTTTCCTGTTCCAAGATCCATTGATTTCAATAAACAATTTGTTACAGTGGAATTAATTCAGGGACAGTTTGTCCCTGATCTCATGAATTTGATTATTCGTTTTGCTGATTCAAGTAAGTAATACACGACGATTTTAATGAATTCAACGTAAATCTTAACTCTGAGGAGAAACCAATTTTCATTGATTTTCCACAAATGATTTCTATGCAGCATCCAAACGCAGAACAATTCTTCAATAGATTACAAAAGCGAGTTGTATCCCAAATTCTTAGATGTCCAAAGGGATGATGGTTTAGATGCTGAAGTGGCATGTTATGGATTTACAAAGCAAATGGCTAAGCATATAAATAAGAAACTTGGATACATTGACAGTAGTGATGATGATGTTGACAGATCAGGGAAGTGTACAGATTTTAATACACCTGATGCTTCAGGTGAATGCAATTCTGATAACAATTCTACGTTGAACACTAGAGTTTTTTCAATGCTTTCACTATCTTAATTTTGTTTCTTTTAATAAACAGATGACGTTGAATCGTTCTCTGATTGCTCTGAAAATGCGGATAATTTTGATTCAAGTATCAAGTATTCAATAACACCAACCCAACTCCATGATGAGATTAAAAGGAGGCTGAAGAATTAGATGGTGAAGAAAAAGAAAAAGATGCATTGCTAAATGCTGTAATTAGAACGAGGAAGAAGAATGCAAATGCTGTAAAAATGAATTGGATTCAGGATAATTAATGAAAATATTAATATGAAATACATATTATTTAAGTTTATAGATGAAAAGCATTTTCTCATTTATTTTAATGATTTAATCGAATTGAACAATGTTGTACATGTATCCAAATTGGTTAATGTAAAAAATAAGTGTTTATAAGTTCAATTTTTATTTTTTTCCTATTCGACAAGATACTTATTTGATATGTTTGACAAAAATAGGTCATGTACGCCTACAAAATGATTATTTTATTGGTTATATATACACATTTCAGTAAAATTTTTAAACGCTAAGTTTGCCAATCGGTAACATTTTAACTAAAATGTCTACTAACATACAAGCTACTAGTAGTTCTCCTGTATTACAGCTAGGGGAACGGTTAGAGAATTTTAAAAATAATGTTATGGCACAAACACTAATAATAATTAATTGTTTTAATAAATTCCAGTTTTAGGACGACCAATTTAGTATAACAGCCTATTAAACCAGAATTTATTAATTGTATAAATAAGATTATGGCATATTCAAAAATATGTTTTTTGCTATTCTTAATAGCAGTATATTTAAGTACATGCCTTAAGTGCGCAACTAATTAGTAACAAGACAGATTTCAATCCAATAAAAATTTACTGTTATGCAAGTGATTAAAAATTAATAACATAAAGAATTCAGTCAATTTTGTTCTAGAAATACTTATCTAATTTTGAGATTTACATACGCTTAGCGAGAAGAAATTCAAGTTTTAAACCACTCGTCTGCGAATCTCAAAAATTAGATTTTTTAACCAAAAATTATCCAGAAACATTAGTAAATTTTTCTTAATTGTTTTGATTTTTTTATTCTTAAACATTAATCTTACAATATTTGGTGTCTCTACACATTGTTGACTTCATTTACGTAAAAATAGAGACAATATGAATATAGTTTAAATAGAAATTGGTTTTTTATGAACAAACGTCGTCAATTAAAAAAATTTTACTAACTTTAAGAAAACATATTCGTACCAACCGTTATAATAATATGTACTGGTAGAAAAATTGTTACAATCATACCAAACTGAAGGCTACAAATCAATAAAAAATTTTGACACGAAGTGTACAGTCGGGTACGAACTGAATTTAAAAGCCGCTTAAACGAAAATAAAGGCGGCCTCTTTGACGCAACTCTTCGCCGAGCAGTTCTTGTCGGGCTCCGCCTGAACTCTCAACCATTTTCCGTGACAATGGGGCGCCGACAGGGCCGACCATCGCGTGATGTGGCCTTCGACACCGTGGCCTTGGCATCTCCATTCGAGGTCCTCGTGTAGGGCTTCCGATTCGCAACGAACACACACCTTTTCCCCTGGAAGTTTGTACATAATTTCGATTATTTAACGTTAATTGAACATAATGCTATTAGGGCCGATTTTATTATAAAGCGTTAAGTTTTTCTTTAGCAAAAGGAAGTTTTAGGAAAAAGTGTCCTTTAACCTTGTTCATATGGTGTCAAATGATTTCATAATACCAATATGTAAAAGGTTGTTTTAAAGATATTTTAAAGCTTGGCTAATTACTTAACAGTAATTCAGTAAATATGATTAATTTGATCTTCTATTTCATGCCAGAGATGCAAAAATGTTTCTTTTTTCATATGATTTTGAGGTCATGTGCTATTTCTCTAATCTAACATGATGATTTTCGAATTCAATTTCCTTCATTTTCTCGTCGTTAACATTGGTTGAAGAGGTCGAAGACGGTCCGGAACGAGACAATTCCTTAGCGATCTCCCAACTGTCTTTAAAAGTTTTGTACCATTCGTAAATATGGGTTTTTGATAAAACAGAGTCACCTTAAGCATTTGCATAGATTTGGCCCACAAAATTCCGTTCAAAACCGAAAATATGAGACAAACTCTTTGTTCATTATTTTTGTCCATTAAAAATTCTCAGAGCACTACTGAGATGAACTGATTCAATCAGCTGCTACAATCGATCTGATTGAGAAGTCTCTCTAATTTTTTGCATGCTAATTAAGAACAGTATTATCTACATACAGAAACTTGACATAGTTAAAAATATTAAGTGCAGGTAATTTAAAGCAGAATTTCCGGGTACTTTTTTTGTCTGAAGGTAAGTAAGTTCTTCATCAGACGAGCTTGAATTCGAAGTTTCAAAATTATTCATCTCGCAAAACTGGCAGAAAGTGTACAACTTGCCGGTACAAAGTTTGATTCTCATATACAGGGTGTCCAGAAAATAGATGTCAATAATTCAGAAGCGTAAATGTAATCGAAATAAAGACACACCTAATATACTAATATATACTATAATTTTGTTGTTCATTTTTTAGTCCCATTTTTGAGCTAGGTGACTTTAAAACGGATGAAAAATGGGGGCTCAAATGAACAAAATTTATATGAAGTTATAAAGGTTCTTATCATAGACCTATTAACTAATAATAGGTCTATGAAAATAATATTAAGAAATAAGAATCCAGTTCTGAACCAGTTTCATCTTACCTTCTTTGAGTAATTTATAACTTTCTTCCTTTCTGCAGGCCTTCGATGCCTTAAGAACTTCGAATTCTACGCAGTATCTGTAAATAAGAACAATAAGAAAATGAGAGGGTATTTTGCAACGTTTTTAGAAATTAGAAATTACTTGGTTGTCAAGAATAATTTATAACCTTTACTGATGAGTTGATGTCGGCTGTTAAGCTTACCTACGCATCTGTTTGATTTTGGACCCGACAAGGTTTGTGTGTATTAGGTAAATCCTATTCAACGAAACACAAATAGTGCTATATGGGAAATTAGTACAAGAGATAAAAGCGTCTGGTATTTGCTTTATTTCATTCCCTAAACCGTGCATTCTGTAACTAACACTTCCGTAGTTCCCCAAGGGAAACTTAGAGGAATAAAATATTTTCAAAGGAGGACTTTATCGCATCCCTAAAGCAACCATTTATAATGTGGTAGTAAACTTAATAATCTGCAGTACCACTAGCGACTATTTCTGCCACAATACATGATGCATGCTCACATGTGTACCTGCCTACATTGGTTATTTGTTCTGCGGTGACGCAGAACTAATTTCCACCTAAGGGATAAATCAAACTACGGTATTTGCAAATATGTTTATTTATCATTCAGACAACATTTTAACAAAGTAAACTTTATCGGTTTAATTCTAATTAACAATATATGGCTTCGAACGCGAACTGAATCTGCATAAAGGTTGTTTGCCGCCATCGATTCCGATTGTTATATTGTCGGAGTGTGTTCATATTTTAATTGTAAAAGTTTGGTAATTACAGAAATTAGTTTACAACAAACAGTTCGAAAATACTGATCAAAGGGTGTCACTAACAATAAGAACAATTTAAATAATTGTATTTGTGTACTGATCCATTGGTATAGCTGCAAATGTCGATTGTGATTTTAAGGTTTTGCTACTTCTATCGAATAGTATGATGTTCATTGTTATCTTTGAAGGAAACGGTCACGTTTTGCTTTATTTTCCTCTTATCAAACGTTTGGTACATAAATAAACGTTCATAAATATTCACATACATAACTGGTTAGTGCGAGTTAGGCCCGTATAGATTATAAATTCCGTTCGTTTATTTAATATTCATGAGGCGCGTCGGGAAGTTTGTTTCGGGAAATATGACATTGTCTCCGAAAGAATTTTTCCACTCTTGCAAACCCGGTTTTCTTTCCAGTCTGGAGTCTCCGCCTTTGCGGCAAACTTATCTCTCAACGCATGGTTCATTTAACGTTTGAGAGGATTTTTTTTGATACAATTTTCATTATTATATTCTTATTTTTTATTCAACTTAAATCTCTTTAATTTTAGTAATAACTTAAGTACCGTATCCATATTATTATACACCGTGTTTATTGTACGCGTAGGGCGCTGAAACTTTCAAGTTCCGGTAAAACTTGGGAAACTTTCTTTCTTGTAAACACAACAGAAATCTGAAAACACGACCCACCTGGTCTCGGACGTGCAATCATTCAGAGTTCTTCGGTCGCAAAAAGTCTTATCCGCTACTGACAAACCCTCCCGGAGGATACATAGATATTAACTTCCAACTTTTCGTTCGAAAACTTCTTGCTACTTGTTGGTGTTTAGCCGTCGGAGTTAGTTACATCGCGTTGTAGTCTTTCCTCTTAGCTTAATTTTTAATTAGGTATTTACGCGGATGGAGTTTCCCGACCGGATTTTTAAAAGCTGTCCTTATAATACCTTCGTTTGAATGGAAATTTATTATCCTAAAATCTTAACGAGATATTATGCGATATGTCGATTCATAAAGGCTCGTTAAATAACAAACTGCATTCGTTAAGCTCTCTATGTAATGTAATCAGGGATTTAAATTTGACAAAAAGCGAAAGCAAATAAAAGAGCTAATTAAAACCAAACAGAATATTTACAATTTTCGAAATTTTTACCATTAACTGCGGAATAATTTACGAGACGAGCAGAAGCAAACGAAAATTGTAAAAACAGGAATAATCTCGAATTAATTCCGAGGTAATCGTCAAAGGCTTCAGTGAAAAATTATTTGCGTTCTAATTAAGAGTAGGGCAATTTATATCCAGAACCTCGCTGATTAGCATAGATGTAGCCGGTAAAAAAAGCCTTTGAACCAGCAAAGAATATATTTCGACTTTCTTTGCCGTTTCTTAAATCTTTAATGATGACATTAGCATATTTGTCTTTACCACCCGATTCTTGATGTACTGCAGGGAACTTATAAACATCTGTACCAAGGTGCATATACTGTAAAGTAACTTTTTAAATGCAAAATTCGTAAATATTACCAATATTTTTCATAGGGTATACAGTGTTAGAGATCAATTGGTTATACAAATTTTTTTAAAATATCTGAAGAAAATTATGATAGAAAAGTTTTTTTTTCAAAATTGTAACACCCTGTAGCTCCAAAAACTAAGAGTTTAGGACATAAACTGATGTAAACTTTTCTTTTTAAAATCATTCAAATATTCAGATACTGAAGTATCGGCATTCAATTAATTAACACCCTGTATTTAAACTTGTTCCTCGCAGAATTATCCATTCCAACGCGATTAAGCCGAACCAACGAATAAATAAAATCGCCAAAGAAAAAAACCACCAATTTCATTGTTCCTAAGCTTTATGTAATTTTTTTTTCGATTCGGCGACTGTCGAAAGTCTCTTACTCAAACAGATTAAACTGATTTACAGAAACGTTACGGCCGCAGCCGGGCGGTTTTCCTCTTTTATTTTCTCGCGAAAATCGAACGCTACCCGGAACGATGTAACAATAAATCGGAAAAAAGAGTTGGAAACAATGCTACACAGATTTTTATTTTTATTTAGGATTCTACTCATATTCGTTACTGATTGCTGGAGCTACTTTTAGCAATATAGTTATCGTGTTAATAACATTTTCCTAATTTACTATCCTACGAAATAAATTAAAGTAGAAACACCAGCTAATGAACGAAGGGGCAGCACGTTGAACAGTAAAAACAAGCAAACGGAATCTTCTTTCGGGGCGATAGTAGATAAATCTGCGCCCGATTCCGGCTCGTTTAACGCGAATTAGATGTCTCGCATTAACCAGACCCATTTTCTGTTGTTTTTTTACTTTCGAATGGCGCCCAAGATATTTTCTTAAATATCGCCGAAGCGCTATTTTTCGCGCGGAACGAACCCCGATTCCGCACCTCCGCTAAATTCTGCTATAAAGTTCGCATTAAATGGACAGGAAGTAACGGGAACGAGAAAAATTATTGCTTCAGTATAATATAAATAGGAATAAAATGAACTGACAAAAAGCATTCATCCAGTTTACAGGATTATTAAATTCTTGCGACGATGGGTCTTTGAAAAAAACTTAGCAATGAGAGGAATGAGCATTTACCCAGAGAGCAATTTAAGCTTGTATTAAACTAGACATGGTACCCTTGTTGGAACCCAGGATATGGTTACGTTATGGAAAGGTTTTAGCAACTTTGTATTTTAGCAACATGTGAGAGGCTTGCTTTATAAGGTTGTCATGACAAAGTTATCAAAGTTACGATAAGCTTCTGATCTTGTTTAAAGCTTATAAAAAGCTTGCCATAACCATATTAAAATAAAATGACAACGTTAATCGAATTAATGTATTAATAGAATTAAGTAAATTAATGAAAAATTGTAATAGTAAAATAAATACAAGGTGTTATTGAAATGAATGTACATATTTAAACTGTGAAGAGTATTTGATATAAAATATGAATGGCACTAATTTTACTATTAAATTCAAACAAATAAATCTGACAAATACATTCATTTTAATAACACCCTGTATAACATAAAAGTGTTCTACCTTAAACATATAGGTATACAGTATACCTAGTCGTTCAACATTTTATATCGATGTGTAATTTCGCCAATGGAACGCAACAAATAATACAAACTTCGGCATTGCGAAGTTTTACTCTAATTTATTACTTCAATACTTCGGTTTCATTAATATACCGTGCAGTTTATTTATTTCCTTCGCAGTATCGTCACGTTCTGGGCGAAAGACTACGGTTGGAAACGTGACCGAGAGCAGAAATTGAAGTGTTAAAAAAACGCGAAACACAGTTATTATTGCAATAAGCGGAAAATTCGTTTTTTTTTTAATTGTGTTGCGATTTTTTTTAAATATTCTACAGATGTTTAAAACTGGTCATATCTGAATCCAAATGGACCATTGTCTTTTAGGTGGGATGCTTTTAAAATGTAAGTACTTTACTTAGAGGCTTATACACTGTAAAATTTGCATAAAAAATCTTTAGTGTATGTCCAATATACGAATAATATTATTTTTAAATTATCCTACAATTTACTCAAAGAAATTTTCAATTAGATTATACAATTTCAAATTTCGGACAGTCCTATTTTATGTGATACGAGAAAATTAACAATGTATGATAGGAAGAAACCTAGTTAATAAACTTTTCAATTAAACAGCTTTTGTGTTTCCAGTTTGTACTTGTTCCCTAACTGTCTAAAACTTTATGAATAGAATTAATTGCTACATATTTATCACATACGCTTTTTGTTTTCTGCCTACTGGTTGTAATTAAATTTTGATAGGTAACATTTGTGATAACGAATAATATTCGTTGCGATATGTATAAGTACAGGCAATTTCATAAATAATCGTCACTTTTAGCACCGCAGAATAACGCATTATTCTTCGTTGTCGTAATCACGCGTCTTGTCGATAATTCAACAGGATTTTCTGGCTTTCCAAGTGGATATTCCTTTTTGGCGAGTCTCAATAAAACATTGTTGGTATGTCAGAAAATCCCACATGATGAAATATCGTCCTTTAGGGCAACGGAAATTGGTGGATTTATCAAAACGTCCGTTATACAAAGTCTTATCGAACAGGTCGTTTCATATAAAGCAGCAACTCCTATTATCTACCTTTGCCTACCAATCCAACACAGTTAGAAATAGAAAAATGAATTAAATATATTCGTTTATATCCTGCATTAATACAGGGTAAGTCATGACGAACTGTTATACTTTACAGTAGGTATAGAGGCACTTGAAGGGGAATAT